CTCCGCGGAGAGGGGAGAGGGTCGGGCCGCGCCCGCCGGGGCGGACGGGGAAGGGGCGGGGGCGCCTGCGGCTTTGACAACACCGGCTCCAATTTTATAGGCAGCGGCATCTGCTTGCGGTCGTGCGTCTGGGTGGCAAGCACGCCGCCGCCCGCCGGAACCTCTATCCGCACGGTGGGCCACGTGCGCTGCGTGTCGTACACCTCGAGCAGGTAGGTCCCCGCAGCCACCTGTGAGCAGGGCCTCGCCGTGTGTGCCGCGCCGGAGGGGACGTCTCGCAGCCGCGCGCACCGAGTGAAAGACAAAAGAGCCGTCCTGCCGAGGCATCGCGCTGTAGGCGCCGCCACTCAGCACCACAAGAGTATCCATCAGCGACCCCTCTGCGATGCGGGAGGGCGCGGCGCAGCTCAGCGCGAGTGAGGAGCGGCGCCAGGCCGCGGCCGGGACGGTGAGAGCGGGCACCCACAACCAGCGTGCCCTCGAAGCTGGAGCGAGGCTGCTCCGTGGAGAGCTCTGTCGAGGCCGCTGTGGTGGCCCAAACGGAGCAAACGAGCAGGAGGCGAAGCATCGCGGCCGAAGGGGCGCTGTCAGCGCCGGCGCCTAACCGAGGCAACGAAAAACAAACACATTATGCGACCCGCTGGGTGCGCTTCTGAGCTCGGCCCTGGATGTGAGGCTAATGACTGCACTCCAAGTGCTCCAAGTGCTCCAAATCATCGCACGCCCTCTTCCTACTCGTCGCAGTTTCTCGCCGATTCTCGCAACTTACGGTACTACGGTACTAGTAGTATAATAGTATGTGCATGGGTAAAGTGGGTTGAGGCGGGCTAGTACTGTAGGGTGGTCGGACTGTCTATTGGGATCGACCCCAGCTATAGGCATCGTGACGCGATAGCATCGTTTGTGGCTCGGCCAGCAGCAGCAGTGAGCGTCGAGCTGGTGGTTCGACACCGAGTTGAAACATGCCACCTCGCGATCTTAGCATCTTACCACTCTCGTCGTTCTCTCTTGCTGATTCATCCTCTGACGCCGCCGGCCGCTTGGATTTTCAGTGTATGTAGCTCTTACGAACATACCCGTAGGTGAAGGAGGAGCCGCCGGATGACGCGGCGACAGCACGCCAACAAATTCCGGTGGAGAGTCGGGCCGTGCGGCACCTGCGGCATGGGGAAGTTGTGCTACCGCGTGTGGTGCTGGTGTGGTGCGGGCCGAGATTCCGGGAATTGTGGTGAACGCATCCGGCAGATCGTATCCGCTGGAGCAAGCGATCATTGCAGCGAGGAACCCGGGGTCCGGCTCCTACCCACGGCCCCGGCCGTCAGCTTCTCTGCGTGAACATGTATGGCTAGCGTGCTTCCACTGCGCGTCCGCGCCTGCGGCGCCGCCGCTGCTCCACCACCCTTTTGCGCAGCAAACAAACACCTTAAACTTTTAGGCCCTCCAAATTCGGGTCAGAGCGTAGCGGAGTGGGCCCCGAGTTTGAAAAGGGCGACGGACGCTTGCGTCCTAGCCTCCAACAACGCCTCCCCGGCGCAGAGGGGGCCCCGGAGGGATGCTCAACCGCCCCACGCCACGCCGCTTGCGGCCGTCCTATTCCACCTTTTGGCTTCTTACACAGCCCTTCCCTGGAGCGAGCCCCCCTCCAACCCACCCGCGCTAGGTCTCGGGTTTGACGCATGGGGTCACTCCCGCGAAACTCGGGAACTAGCCGGGGCAGTCGGAGAAGGGGCAACTCCGTGCACTGACGGTCGGCCGCCAGAAACCACGCCTGCGTGGATCGCGTCACACTAATCCTCGCTACCCAACGCGGCCAAAGGATATCCACCTGAGAACCTCGACAACGCGCTGTCGTTATTTTCTTGCGACACTTGGCTGCCGCCAACGCGCTGGGAATGCCGCTGCTACAGCGCTGCAAAGCTGCGATTGTGCAGATGACCGCCGTGAACGACGTGGCTGCCAATTTTGCGGCCTGTGCTGCACACGTCCGCGAGGCTCGGGACCGCGGCTGTGCAATCGTGTTTTTGCCCGAGAACTTCTCCTTCATGGGCTCGCGGCCAGGCGAGGCGCAGACCGTCGCCGAGCCGCTCGACGGGCCGACCATGCGGCGTTACCTCGACCTCGCGCGAGAGACTGGCCTCTGGCTCTCGCTCGGCGGCTTTCAGGAGCGCGGCCCCGACGGCGACGAGCGCATCTACAACACCCACTGCATCGTCGACGGGGAAGGGCGCCTCGTCGCAAAGTACCGCAAGATCCACCTCTACGACGCGCCGTTTGTTGGCCTGGTCGAGTCGCGGCAGGCGATCTCCGGCGACTCTCTCGTCACCGCAGACAGCCCCGCCGGGCGGCTGGGCGTCAGCATCTGCTACGACTTGCGCTTCCCGGAGCTGTACCAGAAGCTCTCCTTCCTGCACGGCGCGCAGGTGCTGCTCATGCCCTCTGCCTTCGCCATGAAGACGGGCGAGGCGCACTGGGAGACGCTCCTTCGCTGCCGCGCCATCGAGACGCAGTGCTACGTCGTGGCCGCGGCGCAGGTCGGGCAGCACAACACGGACGGCAACAAGCGCTGCTCGTGGGGGCACGCGGTCGCCTTTGACCCGTGGGGCAAGTGCATCGCCGACCTGGGCGACGCGCCCGGCCTCGCCACGTTCGACATCGACCCGGAGCTGATCGCCGAGACGCGCCGCAACATGCCAATGGCGCGCCACCGCCGCTACGGTGCGGCCGGCGCACCTCTCCGCCCTCCGCCCTCCACCCTCCGCCACTCCACCCACCGCCCTCCTCTCCGCGCCTTTCCGACAGACATCTACGGCGACGGGCCGCATGCGGCGCCGCTGTCGCCCGCAGACACGGAGGGCGAGCCAGACGCCAGCATCGGGTTCGGCTGAGCCTGACCGGCCGGGCACCGTCGTTTTTACGCGTAAAATGGGTTTCTCGAGACAGTGAGGTGGGAAACGGATACGGAGAGAGAGAGAAGGGAGGGAGAGATGGCGGTCCACCGGGATGCGGAAGGGAGAGCGTCTCGCGTCATCACGGCGGTGCCTGCACACGCTGCACAGCTGCGCACCCCGGTCCCCGCGCGCCGCATATGTGTGGGAGAACGATGCCGCCGCCCGCCTCCCAATACACGCAGCTCAGACACCACTCCCCGATGTCACAACAACAAACGAGCGCGAAGGGGGTGTCGCGCATCGCTTCGCTCCTGATGCCTGTGCATATCCCGCACGTCTCGCACGTCTGCTGCAGGTGGAGAGCACACTCTCTCGCAGTCGCAGCACGCGAAAGATGTCGCGGTCGCGCGCAAGCAGCGTGTGCTGCACAGCGCCCCCCACAGAAAGGTCTCGCGCCTCCTTGGCGCCCCCACCCGAGGTTGTGGCACACCACGGCCCGCCAGGCTCGAGACACGACGACGAGGTCAGTCTGAGTCGCTGCCGTGCGCTGTGCCCTTCTTGGAGAGCATGATGCGCATCATCATGTCCATCGAGTTGCCAGACGTCGAGCGCTTCTTGGACTTGGTCGACGATGCCGCGATCTTGGCGTCCCGCTTGGTGGCCGCATCCGCGATCGCCGCGGACGCCGTCGCGCAGACCCGCTCGCACCGGCGGTTGACGTCCTCGCGCAGAGCCCCAAGCCGCTCGAGCTCGGACTGCGCCTTGGTGGCGGCGGCGAGGCGCGCCTGCAGAGGCGGTGGCGGTGGGGTGAAGGGGGGCGGAGGGGGTGTGCGGAGGTCACCGCACGAGACCTCGCCTTCTTGCTCTGGTCGAGGATCGACGCGAGCTCGCGCCAGTGCGCCTTGAGCTGGTCATACTTGGCCCTCAGGTTGTCGCCCTTGTTCTCCTGGCCGCCCGACTGCGGGGCGGCGCGAGAAAGCTGCTCGAGCTCCTTCTCGAGTCGAGCTGCGGAGCCGTCCTGCAGCTGCAGCAGCTGCTTCGCGCCGCCCTCGAGCAGCTGCGCCGCCCTCGCCTCCGACTGCTCGTTGCACCCGCGGATCGCCGCCTCGAGCTCGAGCCGGAACGCGCCCACCGCGCCTATGAACGCATCTTGGGCAAGCCTCGCGAACGGAGCAAGCATCTTGTGAACCGCCAGCAGGCAGGTGTTGCGCCGAGGGCGGATCCGGGGTCCGGCCCCTTGCGCTTGCCAAGGAGCAACGGCGGCTGCCGCACGGCCGGCGAGTATCCCATGGGCGATGCGCCCGCTGCCTCCGGGTGGGCCTTGCGCTTCGACACGCCGTCCGCCCCGCGAGCAGCGACGCGCGCGACCGGCCGCACCCCGCCGCCACCCTTCGAAGCAGCGCCGCCGACGTTCTTTGGCTTCTTGGCCTTGGCTGACGCGCTGGCCTCGAAGCGCAGCCGTTTGGGAGACGGCGGCGCCTCCTCGAGGTACGGTGTCACGTCGAGGCGCACCGGCGCGTGAGCGCCGTCCGAGTCGCCGCAGAGGCCCCCAGCGAGGTTGTCGTCGGGATCGAGGTCACTGCCAAGCCGGCCGTCGCCCATCGGCGTCTCCTACGGCTCACAAGCGCCGAATGTCATCCCCCACTACTGCTCGTAGTTGTGCGTCCCGTACAACAACGCGGGCACCTTGCGCTGCCCTCCCTTCACTCGCAGCGCGGGGGCCTCGCTGTGCCACTTCCGCGCCGCTGCCGCTGGCTGTGATGCGGCCGCCTCCTCGAGCTCGAACGCGTCGACCGCCTGCTGCTCCGACTTGAGGCGGTCGAGAGGGAGCGCAGACTTGGGAGGGAGCTGACGCCTCTTGGCTGGCTTGCGGCGGGGCGGCTCGTCCTCGCTCGGCGCGTCGCGCGAGGGAGGCTCACTGATGCCGCCATCAGCCATGTCGGCAGAGGAGGCCTGCGTTGCCACGCCGGGGTAGGCCTGCGTGAGCGCATCCTCGGGCGCGTCCGGTTTGTCGTCCACCTCGTCGTCGCCGCCGACGGCCCGCGCGGAAAAGCGTGGAGAGACACGTTTCGGCGCGAGGCGGGGTGAGGCGCGCTTGCGAGCAGCTTGCGACCCGCCCTCTCCAGCCGCGCCCTCCTTTTGCGCTCCCTCACGCGCCGCTGCCGCCTACGTGAGGCGTGCGGCAGACCGGTTGGGCTTGCACTGCAGCAGGGCACGGGAGCGCGAGCAAAGCGTGAGTGTGAGCGGCTGGCCTGCTTTTCGATCATTGCGGCCGCCTCTGCAGCCGCTACCTCAGCCGCCTTGGCCTGCAAGCGCACAGCCTCGGCCGCAGCCTCTTCCTCCTGCTTCCGAGCCGCCTCCACAGCCGCAGCCTCCGCAGCATCAGCCGCAGCTGCTTCGGCTACAGCTGCCTCTGCTGCCGCCGCCTCAGCCGCCGCCGCCTCCGCCGCCGCCGCCTCCGCCGCCGCCGTTGCTGCCGCGGCTGCTTTGGCTGCCGCCTCCTCCGCTGTCTTCTCCGCCGCCTCAGCCGCCTCCGCCGCTTCGATGGCCTCGGCCGCCGCTGTCGCCTCAGCAGCGGCAGCCTTGGCCGCCGCAGCTGTGCGTGGCGTGGCTGCGGCGGGCTCGGGATCGAGCATGAGGAATCCGGCGACGGCAGCCTCCTCTGCACGGCGGAGCAGCTCCGCCTTGACCACCTTCTTCCCTGTGACCTCAACACCGGCGCTCTCGAGCAGCGAGCGCAGCTCGGCCACCTTGAGGGCCGCGAGCTTCGCGCGCTGCTCGCCGCCGAGCGGCTCCGGCTCCGCTTCCCGCGCAGCCTTGGAAGGCGTGGGTGGCGTCTCTGCCCGCGCCTTTGGCACAGCGGCAGCTCGCTCCGCGTTGTTTGGGACGCCTGAGGCGCGCCGCTTCGACGGCTGCGCTGAGTCGGTGCCGCCGAAGGTGAACGGGTCGTCCTCATCGCCGCCGAAGGCGAAAGGGTCGTCCTGGTCCGACCTCGCCGCCGACGCAGCCCTCCCCTGCGAGGAACCGGCAGACGGCGCCAAGTGGTTCCTCTCCTTGGGCTTGGCAGCAGCACGGCCGGCGCCGCTGGTCTTGTCGGAGCTCTTGCGGCCCTCCTTCTTCGCTGCTGCCGCACTCGCCGCAACCTTCGCCGCGGCCTCTTGCGCCGCAACCTTCGCCGCCTTCTCCACCTTGGCCTGCTCCGCTGCTACAGCAGCCTTCCGAGCCGCCTCTGCCGCCGCCGCCGCCTCGGCCTCGGCCTTGCGACGCGCCGCCTTGGCAGCCGCCTCGGCCTCTCGACGTGCTGCCTCAGCCGCAGCCTCCTCTCGCTTCCGTGCCGCCTCCGCCGCTGCCGCCTCCGCCGCTGCCGCCTCCGCCGCTGCCGCCTCCGCCGCTGCGACCTCCGCCGCTGCCGCCTCCGCCGCAGCCTCCGCCGCCGCAGCCTCCGCCGCCGCAGCCTCCGCCGCCGCAGCCTCTGCCGCCGCAGCCTCCGCCGCAGCTACCTTTGCTGCCGCAGCCTCCGCTGCAGCCGCCGCCTCCGCAGCCGCCTTCTCCCCCGCCGCCTTGCGCGCAGCCTCTGCTGCCGCCTCCTCCTTGGCTTTGCGTGCCTTGCTCGCCTTGCCCCCGCTTGCCTTCGTATCCTTCGATGGAGAGGGTGCCGAGGGAGCCGCGGGAGCAGCCGCCTACTCGCAGCTTGACGCGTGAAGAGGCACGTTTCACAGCAACCGCCCGCTCGGCAATGGAGTAGGCGCCCTCTTTGGCTTGGCCGGAGCGGCGAGATCCGGCTGCTTTGCCGGAGCTGCCCTGCTCGGCTTGGTCGGGGGGGCGGGATCCGGCTTCTTCGGCGGTTTGCTCTTGTCGGCCGGTCGCTGGCGTCCGCCCGCTCCACTCGCGCCCGACCCCTTCTCGCTCGGTAGCACCGCATCTGCAGGGCTCTTGCGGTCGGCCCGGCGAGAGGAAGCGGCCGCACCCGCGCTCTTTGAAGCCGCCCCCTCCGCGCCGTCCTTGTCAGTGTCGTCCGCTGCTCCCGCATCCTCGCCCGTGCGCGCCTCGTTGGTCGCTAGGAGCATCTCCTCGTACCTCTTCTTGAGCTCTGGCACGTCCTTGGCGCGCCGGCCAAGCGCCTTGGCAACGACTGACCAGGCTCGCTTGTTCTCGACCTGCTCGTAGCCGCCCTGTCGCGTCACAGCCTCGAGCAGCTGTGAGTCGTCGATCAGCGGCGGAAGTGCCTCCGGCTGCGCGGGCTTCGCCTTGCGCGGAGGCTCGCCGCTGCGAGACGACAGTGCAGGCGGAGCCATCGCGCCGCTGGCAGGCTTGAGCGGTTTCTTCTGGACTAGCACCGCCTCTGCGCGTCGCACTGCAGCAGCCTCTTCGTCGGACACGACGTACTTTTTCTTGGCCTTCTTCTTCACCGCCGGCGACTCAGGGGAACAGCCGTCGCCGTCCTTGGCGGGGCTGGCGGCAAACGTGACTCGCCGGCCGCTGGTCTGTGAGCCGTTCTGGCTGTCGCCACGCTCCGGCGCCCGCGCCGGCGGGGACGCGATCAGCGGTGAGTCCATGCCGTCGCTCGGCGACGTGGTTGCTGCCTGCCAGACCTTGACGGGGTCGACTGAGGGGAGAGGGGGATCCATCGAAGGCAGGGGTGGAGGGCTCGACTCGGGCGACTCCTCGTCCTCGCCCGAGACGTGCCCGCCATGCGAGTCGGCGTCCTCGAAGCCACCGTCAGAGTGGTTGAAGCGCTGGTCGGGGTTGAGGTGCGCGTGCTCGTCCGGCTCCGAGATGTCTTCACACGAGTCGTCCGGTTCAGGCACACCTCGCTGCCGAGCGGTCGGCGCAGTGGCGCCACGGCAGTGGGCCAGATGGATGGGCACAGACACCGACACCTTCTGGTGGGGCGCCGCCGGTCGATGCCCCGCGTACTGCGGCGAGGCGACGAACTGTGTGGCTTGCGAGGCGCGGTACGCGGCGCTGGAGGCGCCGCAGCCGTAGTCCCGAACGATGTGCACTGGCTGCGTCTGGCTGATCTTGCGCCGCGTCTCTGCGATGGGCAGCGGGATGTCGCTCTGTCGCACCAAGGAGTCGCGCGCGAGCCGCGGCTCAACGCGCGCCCGCCACAGCTCCATGTCGGTCGAATCCAGCATCATCTGGAACTGGCGGAACGAGATCGGGGTGTCGCTGGTATCCTGCCCCCACTGCTCTTCCTCCCACTCCTTGGTCATGGTCAGCGTGAGCCACGCCGACTCCTCCTGGCTGCTCGCAAGCGCTCGCGGGTTGCGAGCAGCCGGCTGGACGACGACGCTCTCGAGATCGTTCTTGGCCGGGTCGAGCGAGACGGAGATCCCGTCCGCTGTCTCGTCCTCGAGCTCTTCCGCGCCGGCGCAGGCTGCGTGCTGCACGGCGACGATCGTCGAGCCCCAATCAACCCAGCGCGTCCGCTTGTCGATGCCCTCGCCGAAGGCGTTGGTCATGATCGGGCAGACACTCAGCACACTCGAGTCGCGCATGGCGTTGAAGGCGGCCAGAAGCTCGCGCGGCTGGTGCAGCTCGTACCGGTGGTGGCCGGCCTGGTCGTTCATCTCGATGGGCCTGTACGCCTTCTCGAGCGCCTGCAGCCATGTGGCGGGCGAGCTGAATCGCGGCGGGCGCAGCCAGGCGTATGGGCGCCATGGGCGAGGGCGTGGCGGAGCCTGCTTCACGCTTGAGCACTGCGGCCAGAGGCAGAGGAGCTGGATCATCTGCTCCTGCAAGTCGTACAAGCCGGCCTCCTCGAGATGACGCTCGAGCTGAGGCAGCGTCAGGCCCCTCCACAAATTCATCGACGGCACTGCGGGACCGGAGCCCTCCTTGGACAGCGCGGAGAAGATGTGGGCGGCCTCCGCGCGCACGTCGGGGGCAAAGCGAGGGTCCTGGACCACGTCAAAGAGGACCGGGAGGCACTTGATGCGTGCCCCGATTGGGAGCACGCTCAGAAACAGGAGGGCCTGCGTCGAGAAGAAGAGGACGGAGAACTGCTCGTCGTGCGGCTCGTTCCGTCGAAAGCGGTCGACGTCCTTCTCGACGGCCAGGGCGAGCGCGGAGAGGAGATCGGCTTCGACAGCTACCCGCGCACTCTCCGTGCTAGCCTCCTGGCTCTCAGTATCCAGCTGCTGGTTCATGTCGGACAGGCGCTCGACCAGTTCGCCGTACTCCTCGTCGAGCGGCTCGATACCGCCATTCCCGTACTGGCGCAGCAGAGAGTCCAGCCTCTGCAGGCCGCGCTTTGACAGCCGACCCGGCACGTTGACCTGGCTCATGGCGGACTCGGGTTTCGCTCGCCCGATAGCGTGGAGAGCTCCTTTTGACAGGGAGAGGAGGGCGAGCCGCGTCAGCATGTGGGTGCTACAAGAGTAAACGTAGGCGGGACAAGAGTACAAGAGTCAGGAGAGATGAGGAACGGGCGGCCGGGGGGGCAGATAGTGGCGGCGCGTCGAGAACGCAGGCGGGGGAGGCGAGAGGCGCCAGTGGTGAGCCGCTTCCGTGCTGCGGCGGCTTTTGCCGCCCGCGTCGGACGCTTGCTGGGCCGCGGAGCGTAGAACGGCGGCGGCGGGTGGGAGAGGACGTGTGTCTGTGTGCGTGGCGCCGCGTATGTGCGCCGATGTGCGGCATTGGCAGGTTAAGGCAAGTGGGCAGCGCACAGTGGACGGCGGCGACACACTCGTGTCGCTTCCGCGTCTTACCTCAGGTGCCGTGATCGCAAGAAATTTGCGTCCGCCGGCTGCGGTTGCGGCGTCTGCAGTCTGGGTCACCCCGCGCGCGCGCGGTGCCCGGGGTGTGCGCCGGCGCACACCACATCACCATCACACCCCGCGCCCCGCGCGGGCGCGCGGCGCAGAGAGGCCGGCGGCGGCGGGCGGCGGGTCGGAAAGCGCACGACCGACGACGTCGCGAGCTAGCCACCACAGGTGCGCTCCGGTTTCATTTCGCCCACCGCCGGGGTATTCATTCAGCTGCGCCGTGCTCCGGAGTGCATACTAAGTGCGCCTCGGCTCCAACCCACACACGTGTGCACTCCGAAACACGGCCGCACATGCACTACTCTATCTGGGAAGGGTGGGGCCTCCGAGGAAAAGCCCTCGGACGCACGCTACCAGTCATGAGTCGGCGATGTCGGCCGCGAACGGTCCTTGTCCTAGGCAAGCTGACTACTGCTCGGAAAGATGCCCGCCTGGATCATCTCGGGAGGCGAGGGCGTGCGCATGGTGTAGCCCTTGGCCTTCTGTGGGGGTGACGGGGCGGGAGGAGGGCTGACGGATCGAGGCCGGCTGGGGCCGAAGCTCAGGCTGGCAGGGGGCGGCGCGACCTTGAGCTTCCTGGCCTCCTCGACGCCTGGCGGGCTGATGCCTAGCGCGCCCGCCCATCCGCCCTTGGAGGTGATCGGCCGGAAGAGCTCCTCGACCTGGTCCTCTATGAGCCCTCCCGACGCGAGGCCAACCAGCGCAAACGCCGAGGCGATGTACGGCCATGCGAGCTTCTTCTGCGCAGTGTTTTGCATCGGCGAGCTTGTCCTAGGGAGTAGGGACGACTTGGGCTTCTCAGACTCCTGCAGCACCAGCGACGAGCACCGCGCACCCCCGTGCACTAGCGGCACACCGGCGGCATGCGGCAAACCCGGCACTGCCACGGCAGCGGCACTGGCGGCGACGCTGCACAGCAAGAGCTGCAGCGCGAATGCCTCCATATCACGAATAAAAGAATTTTACGAGCTCTCCACTGTGACCCTTCTACGTGCCTGTCAGTGCTACTGGAATGTGGCACAGACCTGTGAGATGTGCATGCACCCTCCGCTCCGGGTAAAATTCACGAATAAACAAAACAAAGAATTTTATAGCGTCACCCATGCAAGAACGTTTTGTCCCCCTAATCGTCCTTCCAAAATCCTGCTCGTGCAGGTGTGGACCCTGTCCTCCTCCCCTTTTCCTTGTTTTGTTTCTTTCTTTCGTTTTGTCCTCCCATCCCTCCTTGGCGCTTGGCTTGTATGTTTGCTTTCTTTCTTTTTACTTTTACGTTTTGTCGCGAAGGAAGAAGCGAGAATTGAGAGAGAGATTTTTAGCAATGTTTTTGAGAATTGTGCGAAGAGAGATAGGTAGGACATAGGAAGTGGCAGACTCCCTAGCGCCTAGGGTGGGCGAGGGCTAGCGCATCACACCCCTCTCCTTAAAATCCCTGTGTGGTGGCGGCGTGCCGTCCTCCCATCCCAAGACTAGCCAAGATATCCCTCTGCGGGTCTGCGGCATAGTCTGAGGGTATCCTAAAAGTTCGGCCGATTTGGGTCAAAACGCTAAAAGCACGGCTAGCCGTAGATTTGGGGCAAAACGACAAAAGTGGGCCCGCCCGGGGCAAAATGGTAAAAGTCGCGCCGCCGCAGGCGCGCGAAAATTTTGGACATTCTACTCTCCGGCGAATGCCACTACCCCCCCAAGCCGGCAGATGGTACCTCGGCAGCTGCAACCAAGCCAGCGGGTGAAGTGTTGTGGGAGGATGCGTCCTTATGTGTCACAAACTTGTAGCGCTACATGTCTGGACACACACCGGCGGGCGCTTTCGAGGGGCGAGCGGCAGCATTGTTTTAGCCGTAGTGTGCGGGAACTACTTTGCCGTTGCGGGACGATAGGGATAGCTAGTACTTGCATAGACTTGCTGCACCCGCGGCGCGCAGCGCCGAAGAAATTTTTGAAACATGCTAAAAGTTGGGCGCTCCGAGACGACCAAAGTGGTAAAAGTCGCACTCTCCCCTGACCCGATCAAAAGCGTAAAAGCACCCGAGGCTCCAGAAACCTAACCCTCAGACTATGGGTCTGCGGCTCTCCCTTTTGCATTATTGTCTGTTTTCTTTCTTTCTTTATGTTTTGTCCGTTTTAACTTTTATTTATTTAGACACCACGTTCCACGTGAGCCGAAATTTGATTCACTCTTTCCTCTACTGCCGCTTGAAGGGCTTGTAGTTGCCACTGCCCTCCGCCTCGAGCGCGTGGAAGAGCGCCATCTCCTGCTCCTCAGGGTCGGCCGCCTCTTCGCTGCGGAGGCGGCCGACGAGGGTGTACTTGTCGTGCCACTCGTACAGCTCGACCCACCGCTGCGCCTCGCGCCTGAGGCCCGGCGAGGGGAGAGGCGCTGAGCGCCGACAGCGGGAGAGGGTGGGCCGCGCCGCAATGCGGGCCCCGCGCCTCTGAGCCTCGGAGAGGTGGGCGGTCGACGAGATGAGGCACGAGGGCGCGAGGCAGCCGGTGCAAAAGGCGCGAGTGGCGTCCTTGCCGACCAGCTTGTGGTAGGACTTGCCCGGCCCGTAAAAGGCGGCGCCGCCGCTCACGTCATACACGCGGCCAAGGATAGAGAGGTAGAGCGGTGACGGAGAGCCATCGGGGAGCGGCCGTCCGTCAAAGTCTGCGAGCTCGTCCCGCGTGAAGGAGATGCATCCGATGCAGCTGTCCGGGTCGCCCAGCGGCAGCGGCTCCTCCTTGCCCAGCAGCAGTGGCACCAGAGCGTACCGCTGGTTGAAGCGCCGCCGTCGTGCCTTTGCACGAGAGATGTCGCGGGCGAAGCGCATGAGCGCAAAATTGATTCCACCCAGCGGCTGCATGACGCCCTCGTGAGTGAGCGGCCGGCCGGCCACGGCCGCGCTCATCACGAGCCCGAGTGGCGCTAGTAGTGACGCCGCCACCACCAAAGATACGAGGCAGAGACAGAGGCGTCGGCAGAGACCGACGCAACCGCCTCTCGCGCTCCGACTCTGCGCGTGATCCCTCGCCGCAGCGGCCTCCTCGGACACAGCCTGTGAGGGTGGCACCTTTCGTTGACGAAGGCTCGTGCACATGCACAAAGGATGTGTCCGTGGTCAGCCACCGAGACGGAGCAAGAAATTCGAGCCCTTCTTTCACACCACGGCAGGCGAAGAAGGGCCGGCCGAGTGAATGGCCCGTAGACGTGCTCAAGTGCCGGCAGAGGGGAGTCGAGGGGGGGGCTCGCATCTGCTCTCAGCGTGCTCTTCTTTTGATCTGTGTCTCATCACAGATTCACAGTAAGGTAATAACTTCTTTACTAGCTTGTTGGTTCGTCGCCGGGCTCGCGCTTTGGGTTCTCGTCCGTGAGGGCAAAAGCCCAAAACATGCGCGGAAACGCATCCCCCGCGGCACTGCCGCTCGTTTAATCGAAGGCGGCGCTCGTCAGGAATTCGAGAGCATCAGAGGTGGACGGCGCGCATCACGCTCCCGAGCTAGCCCCGAGAGCGTGCGGCATGCGGGTCAGCTATCAGGCCACAGTGCGGTGCCACGGAGCGCAAAGCGTGTACAACCTGCCGTTTGATGTCACCGTGGCGGATCTCTCGGCCATGTGCTGCTCGGCGGGGTACGAGAATGCGATAACCCGCGCCGCTTCCACGGCCATCCTTTCCGACTGCTGGAGGTGCTCGCTCTGCGGCGTTGCGAATGCGATCACAACGGCACACTCGCCCATATTCCTGTTTCAGGAGGGGGAGTGGAAGTGCCTAGACGCAGCATGCCTGCCAGTCTGTTGCAACGGCGCTTGCGCGCTGGCAGCAGCGCATCGCACACGCGCGGCACGGAGGCAGATTCGGGAGGAGGCGAGAGACCGCGAGAGCCTGGCTGTCCAACATCACAAATGGCACGGCCAAACCCTCCTCCCTCTGGCGTAGAGTCTGAGGCACGGCAAGGGGGAAGCGGAAACCGGAGTAACGAGTAGGCGCAGGTTCCAGCTTCACCACTTCCACGCGTTCCAGCTTCCACACACTGGTCGAGGGTCCTGGAAAGAAGACCTCACCTCCGCGGCGATCGTGGGGTTTGTAGCATAGTGTACGTGGTTACTCGCGATCCCGCTCTCACCGCGCACGAAGAGTCTCTCCATGTGTGCACCGGACAACGCGCGCCGGGGGGAGTCGCGGTCTCACCGCCATCACAAACGGTTGTGGCCCGAGACATGCGAACGTACAGGGCGTCTCTCCCTCCCAGCTCCCTGCCCCCTCCTCTCTTTCGAACACTCCCTGGCCCTGCGGTGGGCGCCCACCCGAACGTACTCGACCTGGAGCCCCCGAGGGGGCCAAGTCGCTGTGGCAGCCGCGCCTCGGGCCGCGACATGGACATGATGCCTGTGCTGTGGCATGGCCGTCTCCGCCCGCGGCGCGCGAGCGCGCGCGTGCTCTCTTGGGGCGACGACAGCTTAGGCGCGGCGGCGCGGCGCGCGCGAGTACGAGTAGCGTGGCGGCGGTGCGGCCGAAGCCTGCGACAGCGTGTCCACAGATGCCTGCCGGCGGCCGCCGCCGCGGCGTGGCGCGAGGAGGTCCTCGTCGGTGGCCGCTTGAGCCGCCTCGGCATCGTCGTCGTCGTCCTCCTCCTCGCTCTCCTCCGCCTCCGCCTCCTCCTCCTGGCCCGCCTCCTCGAACTCCTGAGGCCGGCACGATGGGGCGGGGGTTGGTGGGTCGCTCTCTCAAGCGCGCGCGTGCTGGCAGGGTCGGACCTCCTCCTCCGCCTCCTCTGCGTCCTCCCCCTCGGCGCCGTCATCGCCATCCACTGCCTCCTCCTCCTCCTCCTCCTCCTCCTCCTCCTCCTCCTCCTCCTCCTCCTCCATCTCGACGTCGTCGACTCCTGTTCCGTCCCACGGCGTCTCCTCCTCCTCGTCGTACTCGTCATCCGTGCCCTGGGGGTTGGGGCCCGGGTCCTCCTCCTTCTCCTCCTCCTCCTCCTCCTCCTCCTCGTCCTCCTCCTCCTCCTCCACCACCCGGGCCCGGGCGCGGCTCCTGCTCGCGGACGCCGCCTGCCGCGGCGACGCCGCCGACAGGCCCTTGGACCTGCCCCGCTCCGACCCGGCCACCTTGCGCAGCTCGCGGTTCCAGCGTGGGTACAGCGTCGCACTCTTGCCACCGAAGCGGTCCGAGAGCTCGCCGCGCGCGATCAGCGCCGCCCCCTTGGCCGTGCAGAGGGCGAGCAGCGGCGCCAGCCCCCCCTCGACGAAACGCGCGCGATCACGGGCGTGGCCCGGCTCGAGGGCCCACGCCGCGCCCGCCTCGATGGTGGCCTGAGCAGCCTCGCCCGCCTTGCCCTTGGCGGCCGCCCCCGCGGGGGCCGGCAGCTTGGCCACCTGCTTGGCGACGGCCTCGAAGACGGCCGGCTCGTCCTCCTCAAACGAGAGCGTCAGCACCCCGAGCTGCCGGTCAGAGAGCTCGTGGGGCCGCACCTTGGCGATGTGGCCCCACAGCTCCTTGGCGAACTCCTTGTAGTCGCGCGGGAGGTGGTCGAGGTGGACGAGCAGCAGCCGCACGGCGGCTGCAAACGAGACGCCGCCGGCCAGCCCGCTCTTGACCACGTCGCTGAGCCACTTTGGGCCGGACGTGACGGCCACCTTGAGCCCGTCGTCCTTCCCGCCGTCCTCCTGCTCTTGCACCTCCTCCTCCTCCTCGAGCTCCCCGGCCGCTGCCCGCTCCAGCTGCGCGTCGAACCACGTGAGCAGCGCCTCGCGCGACTCTTGAGGCGTGCCGCCCTCCGCCTCCTCCGCCTCCTCCGAGGCGCCGCTGCCCTTCTCGATCGAGCACGTAGACTGCAGCAGCCACGCGAGCAGCGCCGCCGCCAGCCGCGCCACCGCAGCCGAGGGCGCGTGCAGCGCGCGGCCGAGCAGCAAGAGCAGGTCGTCCCTCTTCTCGAGGACGGCCTCGCTCGGCTCGTCGTAAACCTCTGAGAACGCAGCGCACAAGACGGTGGTCTCGAGCTGCAGCAACAACGTCGTGCACGCCACGAGGCCGCCGTCGGCGGGCGCGCGCTGCTCCTTCCGCGCCTCCACCGCGGCAACCAATCGCTCGCCGAGCCCGTCGATTGGCTTGAGAGCCGCCGCCGCCGCCTGAGGCTGCACCGTGACCAGCCTGGCGAGCCGGGACATGGCGATCGCCGCCTCGTCGAAGGCAAAGGGCGCGGTAGGCTTCTTCTTGGTGTGGGCGTCGAGCGGCTTGAGCGCGGCGACGAGCTTCGAGCTCAGCTTCCGGAAGCGCGCGCGCGCCTGCTCCTCGAGCGTCGGCGCGCCTACAGCAGCGGCACCGCGCTCGTTGGCATCCCCCACGCACCTGCGTGCTGCCCGAAGGCGGGCGCTCGCCTGGCTGCTGCATCAGCTCGCTCCACGCGCCGGCGCAGAGCGCGATCGAGGTCGCGTCGTTGTGCTTGAAGAAGCACGCCTGCAGGCGCGGGGGAGCTCTCGCAGTCGAAACAGGGTGGAGGAGGAGGGGGGGGGGGGGGAGAAAGCAAAGTGGGTGCGAGGAGGGAGGTGTGTGTGTGTGGGGGGGGGGGGGAGTCGAGGAGCTACGCTCGCCTCGAGCTGCTCGAGCAGCGAGCCGAAGGCGGGCCCCTTGAGCGCCGCCTGCGCGCCGCGCAGCCGCAGCTGCCCGACGAGGCCGAGCAGCGCCGGCAGCGCCTCGCGCTGCGCGCCGTACTTTTCCAGCAGCTCGGTCAACGAGCGTCCGAGCTCGGCGGAGAGGGCGAGCGCGCGCTCATCCTGGTCGGCGAGGGCGCGCTTCTTGCGCGGCGTGGCCGGCTCCTTGATGCTGTTGACAAACACGGCGCCGGCAGACATGAGGTAGAGCAGAGCGCCCTGCAGGTGCTCGGCCGCGTCGTCCAGGGCCTCGCCGAGGAGGAGGTCGGTGTACCTGGGGCGAGAAGGGGGAGGGGGGGGGGGGGGGTCGGCGTCTTGCCGAGGAGCGGTCGGTCAGTGCACCCTTGCGGGGCGGTGGCGCGGCGCGGCCGGGGGAGAGGGTCCGAGGCGAGGGGTTTGGGAGGCTCAGTCGAGAGGAGTGCTGGCCGCCGCTACGTCTCGCACCCCGTCCAGTCGAGCAGTAGCGGCTGCTTGTCCGACATCGCCAGCGCCATCTTGAGGCACACCTCCGGCATCTTCTCCGCCTCGCCCCCCGCCGTGTCCCACGCGTACGAGGCGAGCTGCACGATCGGCTGACTCGCGGCGCCGCCGGCCGCGCCCTTCTTCCCCTTCCTCTTGCCGGAGGAGGGCGGGCCGGCGGCGCCCGCCTCCATCTGCTTGTTGACCAGCGGCACGAGTGCCTTGAGCTGCGACGGCTCGTTGTTGCGCATCACACGCACCACCTCGCTCACGGCCTGCGCCTGCGGGCGGGAGGGGAGGGCTCGAGGGGAGGGCTCAAGCCAACTGCCTGGCGCATCGAGGGGCGCTCTGGCTCTGGGCGAGGCTCGCCTTGTCCGCGAGGAGGTCGAGGTCGTGGAGGAGGTCGATAAACTTGATCGCCTACGGCTCGCACCCTCGCGCGGGTGGCCGCCGGCTCGCGCGCCCGGCCGGGCCGTTCGGCGTGCCGGCGCCTCGACTGCAACCTTGATGTCCACGTCACGCGTCATCTCGATGAAGCGCGACTCGAAGCGGCGCGTGAAGTTGAGCAGCCGCTCGGCGCCGCTCACGGGCTTGCCGTCGACCCTGCAGATCTCCTCCGCCGCCCCGTGCGCCGTGTACACCGCGCTGAGCTGCGAGAGGGACGCCGCGCGCACGGCGGCCGCCATGTCGCTCAGCGACCAGCCGAGGTACTTGAGGTAGGTGTCGGCGAGGAACATGGACGGGTGGAGCTGCATGACGCGGCCCAGCGCGGAGAGGCAGCTCGCGCGCACCTCCTCCGCGCGGTCGCGGTAACGCTCCACGAACAGCCCCGTGAAGGCCGCCGTCACCATCTCCTCGAGCGCCGTTTCATTCTCCTGCAGCTTCTGCACCTCCTCCTTGAGGATCGCCGCCATGCCGGCGCCGCCCTTCTTGCCGGGCTTGGACGCCTGCCGCTGCTTGGCCGTCGCCTGCGTCGCCAGCTCCACCGCCAGCTCGGTCATCCGAACCATCAGCGCCATCCCCGCCTGTTGACGCGGGGAGGCGTGAGGGGAGGCGGCAGCGGCGCCTCGACGGCCCGCCACTCAGCCGCGGCCTCGGTGCCGGTGTGGCGCACGCCGCGGTGTCGCGACTGCGACATGGCGCACATCCACTCGATGACCCACGGGAAGAGGACCCCGTCGAAGAGCACCTCGTGCTGCGTCTTGTCGATCAGCTGCCGCCACAGCGCGGTCAGGTCCTTGAGGTGCCTATTGCCGGCCGCCAGCCCGTCTCTCGGCGCGGATCGGAGCCGGCTGCGGGGCGGGCGTGTGGCGCGCGCCGCTTGCCCGTCTTCTTGTCGGCGAGCGGGTAGGGCTCGACAAAGATCATCCTCTCCTGACGACGAGCACGACCCCGCGCCTCGCTCAGGCGCGACGCTGAAGGCGACGCTGAAGGCGACGCCTCCTCGGCGTGTGAGGGGCCGCTGCCGTCGGCGTGTGAGGCGCCGCTGCGTCGGCGGGGCGGCGCTACTTTTGGGTTGGGTGGGCGGGGCGCGGGCGGCGGCCTGTGCTTCGTCGACGAGCCGCTCGCACGTATTGTTCGTGATCAGCGCCTCGAGCACCTCCTCCTCGTCGTCGACGTCCGCGTCGGCGATCGTGAGTGACGCGTCGGGCAGCCCGCTCGCGTTCATCAGCGAGGTGGCAAGCTCGAGCACGGCGGCGGCGCCGTCGGCGCTGTGGCCGGCGGGGGCGCGGCGTGAAAGCGGGTTGGGTGGGCCCCGCCGGAGGCGAGGGGGTGGGGGAAGGGAAGAGGGGGGGGGGCGGGGGCATGCGAGGGGGCAGGGGGGGGGGGGGGGAGGAGAGCGGCGGGCGGCAGAGGGGCGGAGGCCGGGTGTCGGAGCGAGCGATGTGTGGCGCGGGTGTAGCGGACGCCTGTATCGCTCCAGAAACGAGTCGATCGAGATGGAGAGGAGGAGCGGGTTCTCGCCTAGGAGCGGCTCCTCGCGCGGCTCTGGCCAGGGCCCGACGCAGCCAGGGGCTGGCGGGCGGAGGCGCTGTCGCGCGCGCCAAAGCACTGCTCGAGCCGGCGGGGCTTGAGATCGAACTCGTCGACCTCGGCGTCGCCGTCGAGCTGGGCGCCGCTCTTCCGGCGCGACGTGCCCTCCTGAGGACGCGAGTTGCCCGAGTGAATGGCGGCTCGGAGAGATGGACGGGCGGCGGGCAGGCAGGAGGAGGCGGCGGGCCGGCGCGGTTGGGGGCTGAGGGGGGAAGGGGCGGGATGCGCGCCTTGGTGGCCCCCGAGGCCCGGGCCGGGGTGCGGCCCGACTTGGAGGCCGACGCCTCGGCGCCGTTTGCTGCGCCCGACGCGCGCCCCTTCTTTGGGCCGCGGGCGGACGTGAGCGAGGGCTCGTTGTCGCTGTCGCTCTGGCCAGAGTCGCTCTTGCTGCTGCGCACGCATGGACGGACACAGGGGTGGGTGGGCGCTCGCTTACGCACGGGTGCTGCCCTCTCGACGCGTTCAGCGAGCGCGGGCGGGCGCACAGGGCCTGGCCGGGCGAGGGGTGGCGGGAGCGTGGCGCGCGCACTCTGGTGGCGCGACGGAAACGGACGAGCGTCGGCGGGACCGGCCCTCTTCGATGACGTTGCTGTCTCCAAGACCGGCCAGGTCTCGACGTGACATGAATGGGCGAACGGCGGCAATGGCGGGAAGTGGACGAGCGCGAAGCGGGCAACGCACAGCGCTTTCTTTTTTCGTGCAAGGCCTAGAGGACTCCTCGGACGACCCCTGACGTTGCGAGCGGCACTGCGATCACGCTGCATGGCTCGCACTCAGTCGATGGACGATGGGAGGCGAGCTTGCGAGAGTCACACACGACACACACGAGCCGACAGGGACACAGACACAGACACAGACATAGACACACAGACTGCGCTCCCCTCAGCGGGCAGGGAGACGCGAGCCCGACGGAGTCTGGTGGCGGGGGCCCACGCAGCCAGCCCCTGCACTGACATGGTTGGTGCTAAGCCGCCGCCGCCGCTCGCTCTCGAACTGCGTCGCGCTGCTGCCCGTTCCCGGAGCGCAGAGCGTGATTTTGGTGGCCAGGGCCTTGCCTGAAAGGGGGGCGGGGCAGGGGGGGAGAAGATGAGGACCTCACCGAGCGGGTGGAGCTGTCGGGAAGGTGGTGGGCTACGAGCGAGTAGCGGGAAGACCGCCCGCTACTCCGGCGGGAGAGTGCTCCCCCGCCGCCCCCTGGGTCACCCCGAGTGACCTCGCAGCCCACGCCGTGGGGCGCTGCTGTCAGGGGAATGCTGGGGGCGTGCAAAGCCGCGATGCCTTCTCCATGTCGTGCTCCACTGGTAGCACGGCTCGTGCTTTGATTCTCGCAGGCCGATGAGGTGAAGCAATGGCAACCACCAGGAAAGAGTGCGCCAATGCCCGCTGCGGCGCCTTGCCGGCGAAGCCCCCAAAATCATCACGAATGACGGCTGGCCGGGTGGTCAAGAAGCCAGTGGCCAAAGTTGTCGAAGCCATGGCACACTTGGGGTAGTCTGGGGGGAGGGGGGGGGGGGTGTCTTCCCCACTGGCGGCGCCTTGCCGGCGAAGCCCTCGACGTCATCCCGGAGGCGCAAGCGGCTGGCCGGATCACCATCTCTCAAGGCCCGAGCTTTACGCCGGCGGAGAGAAGAGCCGCAGCCATGGCACTCGGGCAGCCGGGGGGTCGGCCGAAAGCCGCTGGCGGCGCCGTGGCGGCGAGGGCCCCTCGTCGTCGCCCCGGAGGCGCGGCGGCGGCCGGCCGGCGGTCGGGACGCCATCTGTCACGGGCAGTGCGTCGCCGAAGGGACGGCAGAGTTTTACGTTTGCCGCATCGAGAGGCCAGCCACATCCGTGTGTCGCTGTCGGCGCGGTCGACCCAGCCAGTTTGAAGAAAAAGACGATTCCGCCGCCGCGGCGGAATACCCTACATGGCTAGAACCCGAATCCAAACGTTCCCAGGATTCCGCCCGTCGTTCCCATCCGGCTGCGCGCGGAGCCTGCCGTATGGGGCTCCTCGACAGCAAGTACGACTCGCCCGCGCCGCCGTCGAGCTGGTTTTGCTCGCGCCTCCCCATTTCCTGGCGGCGGTGGCTCTCCGTCGCCGCCGCCGGAATCAGCGTCTTCACGATGGGCGGGCTCTGCTTTGGCTTTGACTCCATCTACCCCGTCCTCTACTCGAGCGGCGCCTTCGTCGACTACTGCCCGGCCGAGCAGGCGGCCATCTGCAGCGCACGGACGGACGAGCAGCGCTGGCTCAGCTGCTGCGACTCGCAGGTCTCGGCCATCGTCAGCGTCACCTCCGTCTCGCTGTTTGGAGCCGACGGCGTGATGGTGCTGCCAGGATAGATGCACCCCTCCACAGACTGCCATTGGGCACCTCGAGCGCGTGGTGCGCTGCCGCCCGCCGCCCGCTCCGTCCCAGGAAGCCAACGAGCCGCACGCCTCGGCAGGTGCTCTACGGAGAGCTGACGGACCGGCTCGGCCCACGCTGGTGCATGTCGGTGGCGCTCTCGCTCGCCTACCTGGGCATCATGCTTCTTGCGATCGCCGGGTGGCTCGGCGCCGCCGCCTCGGACGCACTTTGGCAAACCGCACCGACGCAATCTGTGCCGCTTGCTGCTCGGCCATGACCGCCTGCTGGCCGCGCTGTTAGGTACTTCGCCTTCCCGATGCTTGGCCTCGCGGGCCCGGGCATCTTTATGGCGGTCCTGTCGTTTGGCGAGGCGCACCGTGCAGCTCCCGTTGTTCACCACGGTGGCCGGCACCCCCCCCCCCCCCTCCCCCCCTCACGCACCAGCGCACTTCGAACAGGTCTTTCCGCGCCTCGAACCGGTCATCACGCCGCTGGCCGCGTCGATGTTTGACGGCTCCGCCTTTGTGCGCCCTTGTGCCCGGAGGGGCGTCCCCCACTGCAATGCTCCCCTCCTTAATGGCCCGTGCGCCATCCCCGCTAGGTCTTCCTCTTTTGGAAGCTCCTCTTCTTGCATGCCCACGTGCCACTGTTCGTGATAGCGGCCGCCTGGCTTCTCCTCACCGTGGCGGTGGGCGGGCTTGCGTGGTCGCTGCTGCTCTCGAAGCGCAAGACGGACGCGATGCGCGCGGAGCACGAGGCCCGCTCGAGCGAGCTCGCCCCCGTCTCGGGTATGGCCCAAGCCCCCGCCATCGTGTGGCACTCGGAAGGGGACGGGCTGCGGCAGCTCTTTTGCAGGACCGACACCGTGTTGTTGCTCCTCTTCATGTGTACCGCCAACCTGAACCAAACCTTCTACATCGAGACCTTTGCCGACCAGATCCGTGCGCTCGGCGCCAGCGCTGCCATGCTACCCGAGCGCGCCGAGGAGATCGTCGAGCTCTTCGACGTCATCTTTCCTCTCCTCTCGCTCGGCACCACGCCCCTCGCAATCTTCCTCGTCAACCGGTGCCGCCTTGCCGCCGCGCCGCCACACTCCATCCATCCATCCATCCATCCATCCACACACACGCACACACACCTCACCGAACCGGTCTCCACGAACGCAGCTACAACGCGCGCGAGCACGTCTATCTGGGAGTGGTGGTCGGCCTCTCTTGCCTCTTTGGCCTTGCGCAGCTGATACCCTTCCACGGGCCGCAGCTCGCGGCCGCCATCCTCTTTGGCCCGGCGCGCACGCTGCAGTGGGCCTGCTACTTCCACTATCTCGCCTCCCCGAGCCGTTACCCGCCCTCTGCGATGGGAAGGATGGTGGGGTACGCAAACTTGCTCATCGCCTGCTTCGGAGACATGCCTCCGTACCTGCTCAACACCTACATCCAGCACGGCACGCTTCCCGCCGACAAGTCCTCGCGCTACGTCGCCGCGCACGCAGCCCTCATGGTGGTCGTCGCCCACCTCTCGGTGGCGCTGCCGCTGCAGCTGTACGCCTCCCACCGATCCGCGTCGAACAGGCTGCTCCAAAACAGGGGGATTAGCAGCGCCGACCTCTCCGAGACGCTCGAGCAGCTGCCCTCCAAGAGCGAGGGTGACGATCAGTCCGGCTGCGAAGAGGTGTCCGCGGCTTGTGAGGATGGCAAGAGCAGCGCCCGCCCGGATTGGATCGAGGTATGACACCCAGGGGCCTTGCGCGCAAGAAGCGCGACTAGGACTACCCGTCAGTAGCGGAGCGGTAGGGTTTGCAACCGCCTTGTGGACCCCTGGGTGGAACCGCCTTGTTGTCCCGACTTCTTTTTCGCCCTTGGAGCAACATTTGTGACGCGCGTTCACGCCCTGATTCACGGTTCAGTTACGTTCAGACAGATACGTCGGACAACGATACTCGATACACAGAGAGACGAAAAAATCGAAAAATGACGATACCTCTCCGTGTCTTCTTTTCTCTCTCTTCTCTCTCTCTCCGTATCTCTGTGTTGACACACAACAAACACACTACAAAACGAGGCTCTAGCTTCAGCTGTCGCGCACCGCATTTCGTTTGCGTGTGCCGCGTTGTGCAGGCGTTCGGGATCTCGTGTGTCGTCATAGCCTGCGGGTGTTTAGTTCTACGTAGTTCTTCTTCTGGGGGGTCGTCGCGTCGGACGGCTCAGCCGGCGAATCACTCACTTGGACTTCGCTGCCTGTGAAGCTCGGCACATCTTCTTGTGCTGCTTCCACGCCGCCTTCTGGCACACGAGGTCGCAATAGGACACCGCCTTGCAGCCGCCACACCGCTGCTGCTTCTCGCACCATGCGCCGCAGCGGTCGCATTCCGTCACCTCCTTACCACGCATGGCTTTGGGGGGCGCCTGCTCCTTGTCCGCAATCACGTGCACGCAGAGGCTGCGCAAACGGCACAGGTGGACGTGCTCCCGCTGCAGCAAAGTGGCCCCCGCTTCCTCTGGGCCCACGCGAGCGACGGCATGCAGGAGCGCGGCAACTCGCGGGTGCTCGCGCAGCCCTTGCACGAAGAGAGGGGACAGCTCGCAGAGGTTGACGAGGATCTTTATGGCGATGGGCGCGATGGGCTCGAAGCCCTCCTGATCGTGCCTCCCGATCACCTGCACCAGCCGTCGCATGGCAGCTGGCAGGTGGCGCGACCTGAGACAGGCAGAAATGAACCGTGATCCCTGCCCGTGAAGCGCCTCCGTTTGCGGGTCAGCCATCAGTCGCAGTAGCCGTACGAGCGCGTCGAGCACCTTCACGAATGATGGCGTCGTCAGAAGCGGACTCATCTTCAGCTGCTCGTTCGACTTCTCCGGTGCTTTCCAGTTGCCGCCGTACATGAAATCCTGACCGACTGGTAGGTGCGCGAGCCACTGGCAGAGCGACGCCGCTGTGCGGTCTGCGCGTTCACCCAGAGCCGCGACGACTTGAACGAGCTCATCAACGTCACCGTTGAACGCCATGCCGGCCAAGCCGAGAAAGCAGCACATGCCTTCGAGCGCATCTGCGTTCGAGCCCTTCATGAGCGCGTCGTAACCGATCAGCGTCTGCGTCATCCACGCAGCCTGCTGCCCCAAGACCGCTCTGCCGCTTGGCTCCAGAAGTAGATCCACCCACATGCGCGCCCTCTCGTGCGGGGGTTCGTCGCCGCACACCATGCCAACGACCCGCTCTCCGCGCCCAGGGATCTTGCCGGTCTCGAGGGACTGCTGCACCTGCTGTTCGTGCTTCGACAGGTTTCGGCTGTAATTCGACTCACCATAGCGTGCGGCAATTTGCTTCGACTTCTCCCTCCGGATGGCAGCTTGCTCCTCCCAGCTCATGTGGAGTTGCTCTTCCAATGTCGGTTGTCCAGCTATCTCCCAGAACCGTTCGGCCACATCTCCACTCACGATTTGCTTTGCCTCTGTGATGCCAGCCCCGAGCGATGATTTCGCAAGATCTTCCATGGCATCCTGCACCGCGTCGAGGTTTAGCGACATGGTGCTCACTATCTGTGCACCGGCGCTCAGCGGTACAGACGCTCGCGGTCCGGCGCGCGCGCCAAACGCGGGAGACGTACTCGACGAAGGAATTTTCTTCCCTGGGGCAGTGTGTATTCTTGAGCACTTGAGCACTGGATAGGGCCGATTCCGCATGGTACGGGACCCCTCGATCGTCTCGCCCTCCCTCACTGGTATGTTCATTGGGGGGGGTCATAACAAACACGGTACAGGATCGAGGTGCACGCTGCCGAAGCAGTGTCGTCCCCCCTCTCCCCGACGGCGATGGCGGTGTGACCGATCGAGCTACAAGAGGAACTTGTTCAGCAGGATCCGGGTTAGTCCCGCGCACTACCTCACTGGGCCTGAGACCGCTGAGACGCTTCCCGTCACCGTCTCGGATTCATGTGGAGTCGAACCACTCCGGGATGGGCAAGCCCATCGTTCTGAGTTGCGCCTTTCCCTCACCTGGTTAATTGCCAAAATTCCTGTTGTGCAAGAGGGGAGGGGGCTCTGACGGAGTGTGAGGCGGGAGAGGGCAGGGAATGGGCGCGGGGGAGAGGGGGGGGGGGGGCTCAGCCGTGCAAGAAGCATCAATTAATAATAGTAAGGAAGACATATTGCCCGGCCGTTCATGAAGTCCGTCTCGATTTTGGTTTTTTCCCCACAGACCACTCCGGCAACTTTTACGAAAGGCAAAGTTTTACTTGACCACTCGACCACTCGGGCAACTTTTCGAAAGGCAAAGTTTTACTTGACCACTCGGGCAGATTCGATTGCATTTTATTTTATGAAATGAACTCGGGGGCACGGGACGCGGCACAAACGGGGCACAAACGCCAGGCTACAAAGACGGGGAGGCACGTAGTGACGCAGGGGAGTCTAGGCGACGGCGGCGTCCTCCGACGCCGCGGCGAGCCTGAGCTCGGTCGCAACCTCTTCCGCCGCCGCGAGCTGCAGCGCGACTGACATGCGCTGGGCCTGCAGCGAAAGCCACGACCGCGTCGACCAGCTCGCCTCGTCCTCGTGCTGCCGCTTCGAGAGCTTGTTGCGCACCTTGTCCTTCATCTGGTAGAACAGCCGTTTGACCGCGTTGCACCACCCGCCGAAGGTTTCAAACAGGTACATCTGCACGTCATTGCATTTTACCACTCGGGCAAACTCGATGAAACGGGCGGACGGAAACGCGTTTGCGACGGCTCGCCGGAGAGCATGCATGGAGCGGCCGGTGCGCCGCCGCAGCTCACCGATGGAGCCTGCGTCGCGGCTCAATCCACTGACGTAGCAGCACTGCGACACACTCTCCAAGCACGGCCTCTGGCGTTGCGATTGCACAGAGAGCGAGCAATAGGCGCCAAAAGCACAGATCTGTGTGCAGTGGATTTCCATGTAGGTCGCGCCCAGCGAGCGGACAACCGCGGGTCTCGGATGCTCTCCCGGACGCGAGCCCATCGTGCGAGTGGCGGACCCGGAGGCGGCCGGCCCAGCTCACCCCCAGAGAGGCCATGGCCAGGGTCAGGCACAAAAGGGGGGTGTTTTTCCGTCCGTCCCCTCATGAGTATTCTCGCAACATGTCCTCCCATCCCTCCCTTGGGTTGTCTGTTTTCTTTCTTTCTTTTTCTCGTAACATGTGCGTATTCTCGTATCACTGGCTCCGAGTAGAAAAAGAAAGAAAACTAGTTAGCTCCGAGTAGAGGGGGCGTTCTGCAGTTAAGGGGAAACCCGGCACGCGGGGCCAACCCTCGGAGACCCGTGTTTACTTTACGGCCCTTTCCCTGCGAACGCGCACCCCCGGGGCTAGGGCTCTCTTGCCCGCAACCCGATACCGATCATCCGGCCCGCTGGGTGCGCTCCTCAGCTCCCCGGCCCTGGATGTGAGGTTGATGACTGCACTCCAAGTGCTCCAAGTGCGCCCCGCATGTCGCAACGGCCGTGCCGCGCGCCCAGTATTGTGCGAGTAAAGAACTTTGCGAGTAAAGAAAGACGGGGCCGCCTAGAGTATTTTAGTCTAAAGAGCCGCGCCGCGGCGGTCGGGCGTCGGCGCGGCGCGCGCGCGTACCGGATAGTAATGGGCCGGGGCCGGATTCGCGGACGGAAAATACAAAATTCGCGCCGGGGGCCGCCGCAGGCCGCACACAAAGGATCTGGATGGAAGGGGAAATCACAAACCTCAAACGAAACGAGATATATCGCACCCATATCTACGGCTCTCTCTCTCCTCGCACCTGATAGAGTAGGTTTCCTCACATACCCGGTATCGTGAAAGCAAAATCGACTCCCACGCGGGACGCGGGGTGGCGTGGCGACGTGTGGCGCCGGCGGGCTCGCAGCGCGGAGAGGGGAACCATGGACGGCAAAAGCAACGGCTCCGCTCTTCTCAAGCGAGGAGGGTGGCGCCGCGTCATCTTCAGCCGCAGACGGGATAGGGCGCGGCCGCGGCGGAGGCGCAGAACTGGTTCCTCGAGGCGTACCTGTGGCGGCCGCGTGGCGGAAGCGTGGAGGCAAGGGCCCCGTGATGGGTGGCGGCGGGGCGGGGGGGGCGCGCACTCGATCCCCGCGTCAATTTCTTCCTTGAGGACGGGCGTGAGCGCCTCGAGCCGCCCCTGCTCGTCGGAGGAGGCGAGTGAAGAGACACGCGCCAGAACATGTCCACCTCTCTCGGGTAATCTCGGATGATCTCGGGTAACCTCGGTCAATCTCGCCTGCTCGTGCGGCGACAGGTCGCCGAGCGGGTGGACGGTCTCGACGCCCTTCTCGCCAAAGGTGACCTTGGAGGCGAAGTAGGGCAGCTCGGTCACGTTCGACGCCACGTACGCGCACTCGGTGGTCGGCGTGCCCGCGAGGCCCGCCAGAACGGCGCTGCCCAGCCGCGCTCCCGCGAAGCCCATCGAAAGCGTGGCGGAGCCCTTGCCCGCCTTGGCGGCGACGACGACGGTGCCTGCGTTCTGCACCTGTGGGAAGGTTCCGAGAAGGTTCGTAGGGAGAGGCGCAGGGGGAGTGGCGACGAGAAGCACTTCTGCGCCTTCTTGTCGAGCTCCGGCACGTCCGCGGCGGGGATGGTGCTGGCGGCCTTGTCCTGCGAGAAGAGCGGCAGGATGGTGGTGCCGGCGTGGCCGCCAATCACCGGGATGGAGATGTCGCCGACGGGCGCGCCGGTGATCTCGTGCACAAACTTCTCGGCGCGGACGCAGTCGAGCGTCGTCACGCCGACGATCTTGCACGGGTCGTGCCCCGCCTATGCGAAGGTTCCGAGAAGGCTCATGGAGGGCTCCTGGCGATCTTGCCGCGCGGGTCGTGCCCGCGCAGCCTTCTTCCACAGCTCGCACATGGCGGGCACGACCGAGTTGACGGGGTTGACGATGAGCGCGATGACCGCCTCGGGGCAAAACTTGGCGCACGCCTCGACAATGTTCTTTGCGATTCCCGCGTTGATATCGAGGAGCGCGGCGCGGTCCTGCCCTGGCTTGCGCGGCACACCGGCAGGAACGAGCACCAGGTCGCACCCCGTGAGGCACTCGCCCGCGACATCCGCGGCACGCGCGTCCTTGTCAAAAGCGTATGCTTTGACCTTGGCGGCCTTGTTCAGGTGGCTCAGGTCCGCGGCCACTCCGTCCGCGGGGATCATCGCGATCGTGAGGTCATACACGCACAGCTCTGCCACGTTTGGGTCCATCGCCATGAGCATCGAGAGAGGCTGCCCGATGCCTCCGGCTCCGCCAACCACGCAAACCTAAGGGGGGTTTTCGGTGCGGTGTGGTGGGGGTTTCACCACACAGTACACAACCTCGAGCCCAAGGGCCTCACTGACCTTGAAGCCCGCCATTGCTGCGCGGTTTACGTGCCACTTGATTGGACCGAGATCTCTCTCACTCACCCCCCTTCCCGTTTTTTTTCGGGGGCGCAGTCCTACCAAGAAAGTTCAGGTAAGCAATAAAAAGAGAGAAGTAAAGTTCCTTCACCCTTCACGTACGGATCATGTAGTCCCCGCACTCGCTTCATGTTCATGTCCGAGAGTGGGGTTGCGTGTTTCTGATTTCTGTGGTGAGGGAAGGCGGCAGCCGGTGCTAATGGACGAGGCGGAGGCCGCCGGTCCGCCGCCGTTTGCCCTCGCAGTCGTCGCCGGCGGCTGCGCCTCTGCGACCGTCGATGTCGCCATCTATCCGCTCGACACGCTCAAGACGCGGCTGCAGGCGCCGGCCGGCTTTGCCGTCTCGGGCGGCTGGCGCCGCCTCTTCGCCGGCGTGCTTCCGACGGCCCTCTCGTCGGTGCCTGGCGGCGCCGTCTTTTTCGGCGTGTACGAGCTCACCAAGGCGCGGCTCGAGGGCGTCGCTGTCGACGAGGCGATCCCTCCCGCCTTCAACGGCATCGGCGGCGGCGGCGGCCTCTGGCACAAGGACGCATGCGCGGCCGTGACGGCGGCCGCCGCCTCGTGCCTGGTGCGGACGCCTGCGGCGATCGTCTCTCAGCGAATGCAGATCGGGCAGTACGGCTCGCTGCGCGAGGCGCTGTCGGGCGTGTTTGCGGGCGGCGGCTGGCGAGGCTTCTACACGGGGCTCGGTGTGTCGATCGCCCGCGAGCTGCCCTTCGCCTTCGTCCAGTTCCCGCTCTACGAGGCGCTCAAGCGGCTCGTCCATCGCAGGCGCGCCGCAGAGGCGGGGACGGCGGCCGCTCCGGCCGCGCCAGCGGCGGCGCAGATCACGCGCCGCGCCTCTGGCTCGCACGGCAGCTCTCCGCTGCGGCCGGCGCTGGGCGGGGAGGAGGTGCGGTTCCGGAACGCGGACGGCAAGGTTGCGCGCAAGGAGACGCGGGTGGAGGGCGAGCCCGCCGCCGTCATCACCGCCGTCGAGGGCGCCGCGATCAACTCGCTCGCGGTCTCTCCTCGCGGACCTGTCCCGGACCTGTGCCGGAGCTGTCCGCGTCTCGTAGGCGCTGCGTGCGGCTCGCTGGCGGGCGCTGCGGCGGCCGCCTTCACGACGCCGCTCGACGTGGTGCGGCGGCGGCGTCGCAGCGCGGCGCGTGACGATGGTGTGCTCACGCGGCGGTCCCTCACCCCTCCTCCAGGTCAAGACGCGCCTGATGCTCGGGTCCGCAAGGACGTGGCGGGGCGCGGTGCGAGAGCTGCGCCCACCAAGCCCTCTCCTCTCGCCACCTGGTGAGCGGACCGACCAGCCGGCGCTGGTGGACTGACCAGGTGCGGCAGATGCTCGCCGAGGGTGCCCTCTTCTCGGGGATGCTGCCGCGGGTGGGGTGGATGACCATCGGAGGTGTGTAGCCGAGGTGGAGCCGAGACACGGCCGAGATGCTGCCGCGGGTGGGGCGGATGAGAGGCGCCTCTCCCTCCGCGTCGTTCGTGAGCGCTGTGAGCGCCGCCCGTTCCCACGCGGGCGCGTGAGCACTCAGGCTTCATCTTCTTTGGCGTGTACGAGCGCTGCCTGCAGCTGCTGCAGGCGGCGGCGCCGCACTCGCTCTCGCAGCTGCTCATCGCGGGGGCGAGTCGGGGAGGGGGAGAGGAGTCGCCGCGGCGGAGACCGGAGGCGGCGAGGGCCGAGACGGCGGGCGGAGGCGGAGGCGGAGGTGGAGGCGAGGCGCCCGAGGCGCGGCTCGCGCTGCTGGCGGGCGGGCTTGCGGGCACGGCGACGGACGTGATCCTCTACCCGATCGACACGGTCAAGACGAGGCTCATCTCTGGCCGGCCTCTGCTCGGCTCCTCCTCCCTCTGGTCCGGGATCGGCGTGTCGGTGATGCCCGCCATCCCGGCCGCCGCGACCTTCTTCACGGTGTACGAGGCGACCAAGCACCGCACCGCGCGCCTGACCGGCGCCGACCCGAGCGACACGCTGCCCTCGGCCATCGCCGCCGCCCTGGCCGAGTCCTTTTCGTGCGTCGTGCGCGTCCCGTTCGAGCAGCTCAAGATGCGGATGCAGGTTAGATATTAATTAAGCAGTTCATTAAGCAGTTCATTAAGCTCCAGATGCGGATGCAGGCCCCTCACTCCCCTCTCCAGACACACCTCCCCTCGCACGCGCTCGCCTCCCCGGCCCTCCGAGCAGCCCGAGAGGCCGGGTGCAGGCCGCACCTCGCCTGCCGCCCCCCGCCGCAACTCAGCTCGCGGCGCGCACTCGGCAGGCCAGCCGCCGCGTCTCGCTGCCCACCCTCTTCCGCCAGCGCGGCATGGGCGGAGGGATGGCCCAGCTCTACCGCGGCCTCGCGCCGACGCTCGCGCTCGACCTGCCCTTCGCGCTCGTGCAGCTGCCCGCCTTCGAGCACCTCAAGCGCCGCTTCGGCGCCGACGACGACGCGGCCGGCGGCGCGGCCGGCGGGTCGGTGCGGGCGGACGCGCTCGCCGGCGCGGCGGCGGGCGGGCTCGCGGCGGCGCTCACCACCCCGCTGGACGTGCTGCGCACGAGGCACGTGCTCCGCTCGGCGGGCGGCGGCGGTGACCCCTCCTTCCTCGCCACCGCGCGACACATCCTGCGCGCCGAGGGCATGCGCGGGCTGTTGCGAGGCGTGGTGCCGCGCACGGTCTACATGAGCCTCGGCGGGGTGCTGTACCTGGGAACGTACTCGACGGTCTGCAGGGTGTGGAGCTGAGACGTGATAAAGTTGCAGCCATTCGTACATTCATGCATATTAACAAAATCGAAAACGACGACGGTATTTTGTTTCTTTTTTGGCGTACCCCTTTTTTAAGTTTTAACACCATAACCTCTCTCTGATTTCACATTTCAGTGTTTTCACATAAGTACGCTTTACCTCGTAAAGACTAAAGTCTGTATTGTGTATACACCACGTCGGATGACGAACAAAGGAACCATGAGAAGCGCCCATTCCCGAGAAAAATCGAGATTTGGCGAGATATAGGGGGCGGTTCTCATTATTTTCGGTGGCCCCAAAGCTACCCAATCACTCGCCCACCTCCCCCGAGCAGTATAGTCGTAGTCCCAAAAAAACCGCGCCTCGCGCCGCACCCCCTCATCCTGCCTCCGCCTCGCCACAGCCACCCCGTCGCCGCCCGACCGCGCGCCCTTGCCCCTGACACCGCCCGTCCACAGAGACCGAACCGTCATTGCGCATTCCGATAGTGTGGGTCACCGGTTAAACGCAAAAAAAGCGCGCGCCCTTGCCCTCGTAGAGTCGACTCACGCGGTCATGATGATGCTTGCCTCTGCGATCGCGCTCGCTGCCCCCGCCGTCGGCGAGGAGAAGCCGGGCCACAAGCTCCTCTTTGCCGATATTCCGGAGGACCCAATGTGCTGGACCACCAGCGAGACTGACTGTGAGGACGCGGTGACCGTCTACAAGGACGGCACCGTCGTGATTCCCGGCCTCACGTACACCCCCAACCTGAGGTAAGGGCGTAGACGACGCCCTTACCTGAGGATGGGCCGCGACAACAAGTACGGCATCCCGATCCCCGGCCTCCCGCCAACCATGCCGCCGGACGGCTGTGGGGACGGTGGCGGCGATCGGCATGAATAACACCGTGGTCGCCAGAGCCTCAACCGCCATCGGCAACGAGAACTTCGCCATCGGCTGGGCCTCGCTGGCGACGGGCTACAAGACGTCAAGTGTGGGGGAGTTTGCGACCTCGTCATTTCTCCACTGTTGCGGATGCGATGGCGTGGCCTCGGTCTCGATGGGCTACAACACCAAAGCGCAAAGCTTCGCCGAGGCACCCCCGCCCCCCCCCCCCTTGCCCACACCTCCTGTCGTGCAGCGTAGCAGAGTGCTGCAGCAGTAGCAGCCCCTAATCTCCGCCACCCCACTCCCCTCCCGATGCAGGTGGTGATCGGCCAGTTCAACGAGCTCCACCCCAACGCCTTCAAGGGCGACCCCGTTCGCCTCGAGGGCGGCGAGGTGGAGGTCAACGGCACGATGGTCACGGTGCCCCCGGCGTGGCAGGCGTCGAACGCCGTCTTCCGCGTGGGCGTCGGCACCGGCGAATCCGACCGCAAGGACGCGCTCACTGTGTACAAGAACGGCACCGTCGTCATCGGTGACCTCCAGAGCTCTGGCCGCCGCCTCTCCGCCTCCGACGGCGCGCTCGAGAAGAAGCTTGAGGCGACGGAGAAGAAGCTCGGGGCGACGGAGAAGAAGCTCGCCGCGCTCGAGGCGTCGTACACCAAAGAGCTCGCCGCCCTCAAGGCGGCAGTCATGGCGCTCACGCGCAACCCGTGAGAGCGCTGTGGCCTGGACGTGATCGCCGTGGCGGCCGCGCGCGCAAGGGCAAGAAGCCGTGAGCGGTGAGGCGCGCGCGGCCTGGCCGTCGTAACTATCGGAGAGAGGAGAGAGGGGTGCAAGGGGCGTGCGCTCGTTCTGTAGTCCGCCTGCTTCTGAGCCTGACGGCGCGATCTGGTCGTTTTGTACACGGAGAAGAAGCTCGCCGCGCTCGAGGCGTCGTACACCAAAGAGCTCTCGCCGCCCCCACACCGACAAGGCGGCAGTCATGCTCATGCCTCATGGCCGATGGCGCTTCACGCGCAACCCGTGAGAGCGCTGGCCTGGACGTGATCGCCCACGCCGTGGCGGCCGCGCGCAAGCCAAGGGCAAGAAGCCGTGAGCGGTGAGGCGCGCGCGGCCTGGCCGTCGGAGGTTTGTATAGCCGCTGGGTGGCGCAATTGTTGCCTCCACGTATCGGAGAGAGGAGACTGGAGAGAGGTGTGCAAGGGGCGTGCTCGTTCTGGTAGAGGTAGTCCGCCTGCCTCTGTTCAGCCGCTCTGAGTCACAGGGCCTGAGCCTGACGGCTCGATCTGGTCGTTTTGTATCGGTGAGTGCGAGATCTCGTCACCCAGGTGGCGTGGCAAGCACATACTAGCGAAAGTTTTACAGGACAGTCGCCCCTCCTGTGGGGGGGGAGAGAATAGAAATACAGGGCGACGTGGCCCAGTGTCCACGTGGCCCAGTGTCGGGGCCACGTGGACGGGCCACGAGGTCACAATCTCAGGGATGGGATTAGAAGTTAGGAGTCTCATCGATCGGAACATATACTGAGATAAGACGCGAGCGCTTGGAGCACTTGGAGTGCAGTCGGCAACCTCACACCCAGGGCCGGGGAGCTAAGAAGCGCACCCAGCGGGCCGGATGCTCGGGGACGGGCTGCGGGCAAGAGAGCCCTGACCCTTGGGGGGTGCGCGTTCCACAGGGAGGGGGCCATAAAGTAAACACGGGTCTCCGAGGGTTAGTTAGTTCCGAGAGAGAGAGAGATTTTTGAAAACCAACAAGAAATCACGTCTCTCACAGTGATCTTGTCTCTCTCTCTCTAGTTCCGAGAGAGTTGTTTTGTTTGTTGCTAGTTCCGTCCGGGTGTGTTGCGTGTACCGGGTTTCCCCTTAACTGCAGAGGAACGCCCCCTCTACTCGGAGCGATGGACACGACACCATTACGCCACACACGTACACGGCTAACTAATGTACATACACACTCGCCCGCCGGCGCCAGGGTCCCGTCCTGCCCGGCGCTTATTCCCGATTTTCTTGTCGACCGCAGCCTCTCGGCGCGAGCAAAGCCAGCGGCACATGGCGCAGCCCGATCCAGTGATCGATAGTGACGAGGATGAGGACGACGACGACGTCAAGATCGTGCTACTCCAGCCCGAGGAGTTCGACCAACCCGAGGGCGACGGCGAGGAGGAGGAGGCGCACGCCGAGGAGGGCGGCGAGGAGCTGCTCGAGGCGGCCGACGAGGGCGAGAAGGTCGCGGATGGGGCGGCGCCGTCGACTCCGGCGGGCGCGACACCGGCCAAGGGCTCCGGGAAGGCCAGCGACCAGCGGCACAAGACGTGGGTGAACCCGAATCTGCAGTCTGCCGATGGCGGCGCGGCAGCCTCCGCAGCCAAGGCTGCGGCCAAGGCGGAGGCGGCCAAGGCGTCGGCGGCCAAGGCGCGGCTGGGGCCGGTGGCGCACATGCCGGGCGGGACGGAGGTGGACCTCGACGCCGTGGCGCCGGACAACATCGACCTCGACTCTGTGCAGGTGTGTCCGTCCCTCCAGCCCTTGCGCACCCCTCCCCGCGCGGGTGCAGCCGGGCGCTCGGGCAGGCCCCCACCCTGGCCCAACCACCAACCCACGCAGCGCCTCGCCCTCGCGTGCGCCCTCCCTGCCTCACCACGGCGGCAGCTCACGGCCCCTGCTCGGCCGCGCCACAGGACAAGGCGTGGCGGCGCCCCGAGGCGGACGTGAGCGACTACTTCAACTATGGCTTCACCGAGGAGACCTGGCGGTGGTACTGCAAGCGGCAAAAGGAGCTGCGGCAGGTGCGGGAGGGAGGGGACACGGGGCGGGAGCGTGGCCGGCCTTGCCGCGTCTCGCCAGCAGCTCTCCTCGCTCTCCTCGCCCAGCGCTGTCGGGACGGCTGTCGGAGCCCCTCTCCTGGCACCGGGGAGCCATCGGCTCATCTCCCCCGCCCCGCCCCCCTCCTCGTAGGAGCAGCACCGCATGCAGGCTGGCGACGCCTCGGCACAGCAGGCTGCGGCGGGCGGCGGGATGGGCGGGATGGGCGGGATGGGCGGGATGGGCGGGCCAATGGGCGGGCCAATGGGCGGGCCGATGGGCGGGCCGATGGGAGGCGCGCTCGGCTTCGCGCAGATGCAGATGCAGATGCAGCAGCAGCAGCAGCAGCAGCAGCAGCAGCAGCAGATGATGCAGCAGCAGATGCAGGCGCAGATGCAGGCGCAGATGCAGGCGCAGCAGCAGTGGCAGCAGCAGCAGATGCAGCAGCAGGGAGGCGGGCGGGGGCTGTCCGCAGGACAGATGCAGAGCCTGCAGCAGCAGCTGCAGCAGCAGCGTATGATGGCAGGGGGGGCGGGCAGCGGGTGGGGCGGGCAGGATGAGCAGATGCACGCCGCCAAGCGCGGGCGCTATTGAGAACGTGCGTGGCAAACGCCTCTCGACGCGGCGCCGTTGTCCGGAGAGACCAATGAATCGAGGAGGGGACTCTCTGCTATGGCTCGCTGCCAACGTCGCCGCGTCACAGGTATCGACGCGCGCGGCGACCCCTCTTCGCAGTTTGGCCCGTGGCACTGCTGCCCGCTGCTCGCCAGAGCTCTCCCGCTGCTCTCGTGTGTCGACTGTGCTATTCGTCGTGTGTTTCCATTTTGCTGGCCAATTTCGGCTCTACGGCTCTAGCTAACGGCGCAACACTTCTCGGAACCAATGATATCGCATCTATGTGCGTGACTGCATTCCGCATTCCTGTGGACAAAGCAGATACCGCACGCATGTACCAGTGCCTAAAGGGGGTGTCACAGTGTGGAGATGTATGGTGGGTTGACGGAAATTGAAGGACACGACCCACTTCGCCACAGACGGTCCCGCGCCTCGCCGCTAAGACGGCTACACGACCGCGGCTCGTGTGCGTGTAGCCGTCTTTGTCCGGAGTGAATACCACCACGCGCTCGTCGGTGACGGTGTCCTTCGATTTCGCCGCGCTCGGCGAACCTCGACAGCGCTTTCGGTGGCATGCATCAAGCTGCTGTACGGCCCCGGCATCGCCTTCCCAGGCTTAGCTAGACTGAGAGATATTGTGGAAATGGTTGGTCTCTACAATATATACACTGACACTGAACCTCTCAGAGCTCGTCCCGGTCCGTCACGGCCATCCTCGGCCTCCGGAGGGCCCCCGGCCGCGGCGCGGTGCGGCGGAGTCACAAATCCGACGGCAGAGCACCGGGACGCGGTCGGGCGATCTAAGGCCCAGTGAGGCGTATGCATTGCCCATCCAGGACTATCACCTGGACCTATCAACAGGGGCTGGAGCCGAGCAGGAGGGCCCGGCGCACAACCCCCTGGTCAACTCACCCTCCACACCCCGTACCAGACCTCGGTTCTTCCCATAGGGTTTCTGGTGCGGTTTCCCATGGGCATGGCGGTTTCCCATAGCCGAAAACCCTGAGGGGTCGGTCGGTTTCTGCAGCGCACTCTGTTTTTTCTGGGATCTGTTTTCTGGGACACCCGCCTCGAATTCCCGCCTCGAATTTTTTCGGATTGTTTTTCTTTTTTGGCCTTTTTTTACTTGTTTTCATGGGAATTCGGCGTACTTGCGGCCATGCTATCACGCCTTGCGACAGCCTGTCGGCGCAGCTGACCGTGCCATGATGCACAATTGATCACCTGCATAGCTCGCGGCCTTAGTATCAAGCATTCAGTGACGACCTGATCGTACGGCCAGTAGGAAGGTGTCCTTCCATCGTGTGCACGCTTCTGGCGCAATGCGCGTCACCTCGGATTGGCTGCTGGCACTCTCGAGGCTATGCCTACACAGCCTCGCGCGCATGGGCAGTCAAGAGGGACCACGCACCTTCTCAGGACAGGATTCTCACTCTCCTTTTCCGGGATCTGCCTGTGGGTCTGGTTTCTGCGGGGTGTGAAGACATCTCCCGCTTCGTCCTAATGAGCTCATTCCAGCCAATGAACAGGTGTACCCCCATCCGAACCCGGGGGTATCGAGCACGAAATCACAGAGCGCCGTGACGCGATATGTTATCCGGGATCTGCTTTTTCGGCCCCCGATGGCGAGCTGGCTCGACGATCTCGGTCTCAACGAGCTCGAACACATCAAGGATGGCGCGGTTCCCCCCAAGGGTTCCTCCCACCCATCATGCCGCCGCCCCTGCCACCCCTGTGTCAGTGTGCCCGTGGTAGTGAGAGACTGCCGGCGAGAAGCCGGAGGAAGGTCGCTAGACTGAGATGAGACCGCCAGTGGAGTTGGGGGTCCACCGTGCACCGCGCTGCGAGCCTGTCGTGTCCCTTGTCAGGAGCAGGAGAGCCCACCTGTCCCCCTGATCGTCCTTCCAAAATCCTGCTCGTGCAGGTGTGGACCCTGTCCTCCTCCCCTATCCCTCGTTTGGGTTGTCTGTTTTCTTTCTTTTTTCCCCCTCCCACCCAGAACATGCTGCTGTCTTAGTGCTCCCATTCGACCCATTCGGAATACGATGAGTTAATGAGGGGTCATTCCGGCGGAATGACCCCTCCGGGAGATCGTTCACACCTCGAAAAACCAGAACCCAGAGCGTCTGGACCGATATTCCCATGGCCCGGATGTGATCTGTGGATGTGTCGAAAAAGCAGAATACAGAGCTCCCCTCCTCCTAGATAGAAGTCAGACGGTTTCTTGAGCACTTGAGCACTGGATAGGGTCGGTTCCGCATGGTACGGGACCCCTCGATCGGTTTCTTGATAGCTGATATGCCAGGGAAGAGCCAGGTATCTCAGTATGTTATGTCCTATGATATAACATAGTGGGATCTGGTTTATCCATACCTCCGTGACTGCACCCTTTCCTCCCTTCTGTCTGTCCACCTCGCTCTCTCTCTCTCTGTCTGTCTCTCACTCGGTCTCGGTCTCGGTCTTCGCTCTCGGTCTCGGTCTCTCTCTGTCCCTCTCTCTCACTCACTCACTCACTCACTCTCTCTCTCTCGCGCGCGCGCGCTGCGTGTGTGTGTGTGTGTGTGTGAGTGTGTGTGTGTGTGTGTGTGTGTGTGTTGTAAAATGAACTCGGGGGTGGCAGGCAGCGGAAACGGCGCTGTGTGTGTGTGTGTGTGTGTGTGTGTGTGTGTGTGTGTGTGTGTGTGTGTGTGTGTGTGTGTGTGTGTGTGTGTGTGTGTGTGTGTGTGTGTGTGTGAAGAAAGAAAATGTTGAAAAAAAAATTTATTTTGAGAACCGCGCTGTATGTCCCGCGACGAGGAGCGCTGGCTCGCGCTCGAGCGCGACTACCGGCGGCAGGTGCGCAAGGCGTACTATCGTCGCGAGGAGGACTTTGCGACGCTCGTCCAGTACAACGACTACCTCGAGGAGGTCGAGGAGATTGTGGCCGGGCTGGTCGACGAGAAGCAGCGGCCGGCGACACGCGCGAGACTGGACAAGCTGCGCGCCGCCGACCCTTCGCTCACCGCGCACAATCGCGCGCGGCTCGACGAGGACCGCAACGCCATGTCGGCCGCTGTAGAGGCTGAGCGGCGCGAGGCGCAGCAGCGGGCGGCGCAGCGGCTGCAGGAGGCGAAGGAGGCGGCGGAGGAGGAGGCACGCGCAAAGGCGGAGCTGCAGGACGAGGTTGCCGCCGGCAAGACGGTTGCCGACGCGCAGGCTGAGCTCGAGCGGCGCCGCGCAGCCGCGCCGGCCGCCGCCGCAGCTGGCGCCGCCGCCGCAGGGAAAAGCTACAGCTATGTACCGACCGCCGGCCCCGCGCGCCCCGCGGATGTGCCGCGCGCGCAGCCGCTGCACGAGCAGAGAGAGGAGGCGCCAAAGCTGATGACGGCGTCGGCGTTCCTTCCGCGCGAGGCCTACGAGGACGCGCCCGCGGAGATGTCGGCCATCTGCCGCGCAGGCGGGCACTCGGAGAAGATATGGCGGCAACGGTACGAGCAGGAGGCGTTCGGCGCGACCGGGCTCTGGTTCGAGCTACCGGCGGCGTGAGACGTGTATGTCTCTATCGACCAGAGAGCGTTACACCGCAGAGAAAAACCTGACAAGACTTTTTTCGTACTGCGATCGTCATGTTCGTTGACGTTGTCGCTTATTGCGTACGTTTAATACCCGTACATGTAATTGGATTTGGAATATGGAAATTGCTCTGATGTCTGATAAAAAGCTAGTTGATTGACGATTTGGATGCGCACCTTTTCGCCAATGTGACAGGAGCTGGCTTATCCGCGTCGTCGTCGCCTTTCGGTCTCGCGGACACTGTACAAATACGAAATAGAGATTAGGATAGTATCCTACTCTCTCTGTAATCCTTGCGAAAAAACTCTGTCGTCTGTGTCCGCGGCATCTTGGGGGGTCCGTGGACCGCGCCGGTCGTTTGAGACCGGCAGACCGCGGGGCTCGGCGTCGGGGTGGCGTTGGTATCCCCGGAGAGATCAAAATCGACGTAAGTCACGTAACTCAAGCGAATAGGGGGCACGAGCAGTGCGGCAGTTAAGCGCACCGCGCGCGAGCGACAGGACGGTCCGCGAAAACTCTCTCTAAAAGCTAGCAGCGTTCAAGTGGGAGTCGCGCAACGGGGGCCGGCGCGTCGACAGCAGCCGGGGCATGAATTGGCATGCTTGGCAAGAAGCGCTCCCTTCTAGGCCAGTGCGGGACCATTGTTCTGATGGCCCTCGTCCCTGCACTCGTCCTCAAACCATCAAGCTCTGCCCGTCCGGCTTCGCGGCAGGCTGGTCGCTCACGCTGCGGCTACCCAAGGGGGCGCCTCGTCTGCGCAACCACAAGGCCAATCCCGCTACGAGCGTGATGCATGCAGTAAGGGGCAGCATCCACTGGACGGATGCCACCTGCGCCACTCCCCCGAAGAAGCCCGCGTCCAAATCGCGATCCCGTGCGCCAATAGCTGCGCTCGAGTTGCCGTTGACGCGCCTCCAGAGGCACAGGACGGAGCCAAAACCGAGGGTGGGGTCCCACGCGGTTAGGTTCGACATGTATGCCTCGCCGTTCCCAATCAGCTGGTAGTGGAATGATACTCTGCTCATCAACCCGTCCCGTTTCACGCCAAGGTTGGACGTGAAGCGCACGCCGTCTGCCTGCCACACGCCCGAGACGTGCGCAGCGCCAAGCATCGGCAGCTCCGTGATCGGGTGCGCCTAGAGGGGGAGTTTCGTGGGTCTCCGCGGATGCAGTAGCTACCTTGGTCGCTCGATGCCACACCTCAAACTTGCCATCGAAGAACACCCTGGTGGTCCACGACGTCCTCGCCTTGAGGAAGCCAAAAGGGTCCGAAAAGTACGCGGGCAGCCCGGGCGTCCAGACGTGGAAGGAGAGGACAGCGCCATCGTTGCTGAAGACATTGCGGACGTGGTAGCCGATCCCATGGTTGGCGACCTTACCGTACGCCCAGATCGTGAAAGCGTTTATGTTTTGCGTCTGCAGGTACGGCCTGTCGTCATCCCCCCACCTCTCCGTGAGAACAAACTCCCCCTGCGACGAGGGGCGGGGTCTTGTCGGAAGGGCCCATGCCGTCACATCTGCCTCCGGCGTGCCTCCAGGCCGCGCCACAGCCACTCTGGTATCCGGCCCTTGCCGCGCAGCTCGCGACAGTTGAGTGCCGAAGCCCCCTCCGGCACAGGGACGCCCCCCTCGACGGCCACCTACATTCGGCGATTGTTTGCGTCGCCTCAAGGAGGGGTGGTGGGGTGGTGAGGTGGTGTTTGGCGCTGTGGTCGTGGTGGTGGGGGGGGGGGGGGGGGGCGCACAAAATCGTCCTGGGTGTTGGTCTCCATCCAGTTGCGCGAGTTTTTAGCCATCCTGCGGGCACCGCTGCTCTGAGCTTCCTCTATTGGGGGAGTGCGCAACCGGCGCCTCTTCTCTCTCTCTGCGTCTGTCTTTCTTCCTCCCTCCCTCTCCCTCCTCCAGCCCCATTCTGGCCTCTCCCTTCCGCTGCGCACCTCGTGGTGTAAGGACTGCGTTGCCCACCGTCCAGTTCCGCAGCCTGTTGTCGAGGGTGGGGGAGTGCAGCGGTCAGCTTGGATCCCATTCACAGCCTTCCGGCGTTCCGAACACCCCGAGGCCAATCTACTCTTGCGACCGGGGTCGTGAGAACGGAGAGGGGCAGGCCGCAGGCATGCTTCTGCCACCACTCAAAGGGCGCGTCCGGCTCGAACTCGAACGCGATCGTCGTCGCCTGGGAGATAGCCGCCGAGGGGAGTGGCTCAGGGAGCGGCCGGCTGACTGTTGCTGCGTAGAGAAGACGGAGGGTGATGGGGCTCCCTGGGCCGCATTGTGCCTCGTTGGTCGTCGCATCAGTGGTGATGTTGCTCTCCTCGGCCATCGCATCGTCCCCCCCCAGCCCGACGTCGTTTATCACCTGCACCGCAAAAGGGCTACATCGTGCGCACAATGCACGGATCCCGGAAGGGGGGGGGAAGGGGGGGGCGGATGGTCTCCCCACTCTATGGTGCGTGAGGGTGCCACCGCTGCCACTACGCATTGCTAACACAGCAAGCTGGACCGTATGTGGTCAAGACATTCCTTTGTCCGCCCTGGTGCAGGCAGGCTCACGGGGTCGGGACGGCTCTCGGCCGCCCCCTATCATGAGGGGTGTGCGGCATCCTGAGCGCGCGATTGGGTTCTGGGCTCAGGCGCGAGGCCGCAGTACCTCGTGCTCAATCTGGCCCACAATCGAGAGGACATTCCTGGAGACGCCCCCCGGCATCTCCATCATTGCTCCTGTCGCTTGCACCACGCCGGCGTCAAGGTCTTCAAACGTCTCGACCACCCCGTCAAAGACGTACATACTCATTCAGAAAGGCGGCCGCTCGAGCACCGAGCTAGCCGCACGCGTGAGCAGAGGTACAGCACAAGCAGGCTCTCCCGGGGGAGCGGCGCAGCCCTGAGATTTGTCGGACAAATCATTTTGCGAAATCGGTTTACCTTTGGCGGTGTGTTGTGATTGTTTTAGGTATGTTGGTGTGTTGTGATTGATGCTCTGGTGGTCGCGAACGGCCGCCGGAGGAGGAACACGGCGCGCGCAGTGAAACGTTCTCCCATTTGCCCCCTCGGGGTTCCGGTCGGCAGGGCCAGTTTGCACACAGAGCCTGGCAGGCTCTCTCTCTACATCGACGTTGATTGATACGACACACGTTTCATTCATCTTTCTTGTAGTGAACAGGCCGAGTTCGCGGTTTGAGCGCCCAGCGCAGACCGACCGACCGCAGGGGGGGGGTCCGGTCGACGGCCGCGGAAGACCGCAGACCGGAGGGGGGTTCCGGTCGGTCGGAGCGCAGACCGAGGGGGGGGGGAGTCGGTCGGGTTGGCTCGAGGGTCACACACACCGCACACCGACGCTCGCCGCAGCTGTGAATAAATTAGTATCTCGAAATACTAGAGACCAAGCGCCCTCTCCCCGTCTAATCACTCCTCGTCGTCCGAGTGCGGGCTGGAGCTCGAGACCGAGACGCTCAGGATTGGGTCGGAACACGAGCTTGTCCATGTCCACACTCTGGTCGTCGTCGTCCATACGATTAGCTTCGCCGGCGACACACTGTACCCGTTGACGAGCCGCTTGAGCGCGGCCAGAGCTTGTACAAAGCGACGGCAAGCAGAACCAGGCCTGCGACTGCGTAGATGCCTCCACACACATGTACATGTACATGTGTGGGGTCGGGGGCGTCGGGCTTGCTCGGGCCTCGGCGAAGAAGTCTCCTTGGCGCTTGGCTGCGTAACTAGTTTTCATAGTGAAAACCGGCGATTTCGAAGCGCCCGTGGCGGTTCGCGAGAAGGAGGGGGAGAGAGCGTTTGAGGGGCTCACGGCAAGGACACCGACCGAGGGGGGGGTCGGTCGTCACACCTCCCGCCGCCGAGAGAGCGACCGACCGGAGGGGGGGTCCGGTCCACCTCGGGGGCAGACCACCGACCGGCGGGGGGGTCCCCACGAACTAGGGGGGGTGGGTACAAAATGACGCTCGTATTAGTAACCTGCCACGAACCACGAGGGTAGATAGAGCTCTGTAGTGTGTTGCCACCGATAGACTGGTGACCTGAGAGGTGCGTCCCACCTCACAGTGCCGCTGCGCAACCACAACGCAGACCACACCCGGCAGCAATTGACCCCAATCAAGGTTATGAGAGCGGCCATAAACAGGTGTTATGGCTGTTATGGCTGGCTGCTCATAACACCCCATAACACCTCATAACACCTCATAACACCTCATTAACATAACACCTCCATCGCTGTTATGGCTGTTATGCCCACCCTACCATAATCCATAACACCTCATTAACACCTCATAACACCTCATAACACCTCATAGATAGCACTCATAACACCTCCCACTAGTTGTTATGACGGCCACAGCATAACAACCTCATAACAGCAGCTATGACTCGGCCAAAACCGAATTTGACCCCTGCAAGGATTTTTTTCTTACGGAGCCCCCGGCCGCGCGAATCCTGGCCGTAAAATTCTTCTTTTGGAGCGCCCGCCCCGTGCCGCGTAGCTACTACCAGTCAACCATGGCCTAGCGGATGAAGATGTTCATGAGCCAGAAGCCCTCGTCAGTTGACCTGCGCGTCTCCGACTTCAAGAGGATTCCCGGCTTCAACTATGTGCTGTCTGTGTCGCGACGGAGGACGACCACACGTACAACTCGCTGTGCTCTGAGATCCGAGAGGGCAAAGGAGAAAATAGTTGGCGATCGATGCCGAAGCTCGCGCGCGGCAGCGCGCGAAGCGAAAATTCCAGCGGCGAGCAGTTCGGTGTGGCCTCTCGGGCCATAACACCGTGGATCCGGGACGGCTCTCTCATAGCAGCCCATAACATGTTATGGGTGTTATGGGTGTTATGGGGCCCTATGCCCCGAGAGCCATAACACCATAACAATAACTGTGCAGAGGTGTGCATTGTCCCCAGACAAGGTTATGGGAGCGGCCATAACAGGTGTTATGGCTGTTATGGCTGGCTGCTCATAAACACCCCATAACACCTCATAACACCTCATAACACCTCCATCGCTGTTATGGCTGTTATGCCCACCCTACCATAACACCTCATAACACCTCATAACACCTCATAACACATCCCACTGGTTGTTATGACAGCCACCATCACAACCTCACAACAGCTGTTATGTGTCACGTCTTGATTGAGAAATCTGAAGCCATCGCTCAGCCTCAGTCAGGAGGCAGGTTGATGTTATTGAATTTAACTTAAGGGCAAAAGAGAAAATATTTGGCGGTCGATGCCGAACCTCGCGCGCGGCAGCGCGCGAAGCGAAAATTCCAGCGGCGAGCAGTTCGGTGTGGCCTCTCGGGCCCGATAACACCGGTGATCCGGGACGGCTCTCTCATAGCAGCCCATAACATGTTATGGGCTGCTATGCCCCGAGAGCCATAACACCATAACAATAACTGTGTCAGGGGACAAAAGTGTGCAGTGGGCGCGGGTGCACAGGCAGCGGGGTTCCTAATCGTCCTAACTCTCTCGAGCCTAACCGCCAGCGAGTCACTTCTCAATGAACACTTTAGTCACCTCTTAGCCTTGCGTGGCACCTTGGAAAAGGCCACTACATGCTTGTGTCGACGGCTTGCGTGACGGCGGGTACTGACGTACTCAGTCAGTACTCTCTGTAGAGTGCACAGCGCGTCCACACTGCAGAGCCAGAGCCAACCGCCCTTCCCAACCTCGCCCGACGAAGCACAAGGCCGAGCTCGTGGCTCAACGAGCGACCAGAGGACCCCCGCCCGCCCCCTCCAAGCCCTCCCCCCGGCGGAGTCCCCTATGAGCGCGCTGAGCCGCTCATCCCCTTTGCCGCTGTGAAGACGGGCGTCAGGCGGTCGGTGAACTCGTCGAGCTGCTCCTGCGGTGCGGGAGCGGAGGCGGCTCGAGCCGAGATGGCGGCGCACGCGCGAGGGCAAGGCGGGGGGCGGAAGGGGGGGGCGCTCCGCCCAAAAGGCCGGGGGGGGGCGGGGCGGGGCGGGGCGCGCCTGCGGGTACGCCTCCTCCACGACCGTCCTCGCCTCCTTGGCGACGGTGCGGACCTGCTCGACCGTCGAATCGATGGCGGCGCGGTCGATCGGCAGGGAGAGCACCTGCCGGAGAAGGTGGGCGGGTTACTCCGCTTGCTGCTGCTGCTGCTGCTGCTGCTGCTGCTGCTGCTGCTGCTGCGGCTGCGGCTGTGAAGTGAGCCGAGCAGCGAGCACACAAGGTGATCGAGCCGGGAGGCGGGGAGGAGGGACTGGAGGGAGGACGTGCGCCGCGCGCGCGCCTTCGAGACGGCGCCCTCGATCGCCTCTGCCAGGTCGCCCGGCGGGACGAGGGCGGGGCCCGGAGTGTCGAGCGGCATAGCGGTCCCTATGGCCGCACATTGCAGCGTGCGCAGAGGGCGGCCTTGCTACGCGGCGGCCGCCGCCTCTCGCTGGCGGACCGTCCGGCAGCCGCACCGACCCCTGCGGCGCGAGGTAGTGCCTCAGGATCCGCCCGCGCAGCGCGCCGTCGCCGGTGCGCGTGAGCTTGTGCAGCAGCGCGAGGCCTGGCGGCGTCCGCTTCTCGAGCTCCTCCTCGGTCCGGGTGTGGATGTGGGTGAGCAGCTTGAGGAGGGAGTCGTCATCCTATCGACAGGTCCTGGACACGTCCTGGACGTGTCCTCGAGGTGTCCCGCTTGAGGAGGGAGCCGTCCGCCTCCTCGCGCGCCGCCTCGACGTTCTGCTGCAGCACGTACAGGAAGCCTGCGTCGAGCTTGCCGTCGTTGATCATTTTGCACAGCTTGGCGTCCAGCTTGTTGATCTCCCCCGCGCCGAGCAGGTCCTGCAGCTGCTCGCGCGCCAGCGTGAAGCGCTCGTGCGAGCGCCGCTCCACAGCGGAGAGCAGCGCGGACAGCTTTGCAACCTCGTCCGTGTCCGGCTTGCTGGCGGTCTGGACCGCCTCGAGCTTGCTCGCGAGGGTCGGGACGAACGTCTCGTCCACCTGCTCCAGCCACTCGTCGAGCACCGGCTCGAGCGACCCCGCCGCCTCGGCCGCGCTGAGGATGCCTGCGAGAGCGTCGTCAAAGTCGAGCTTCTCCGCGGCAGGAGCGTCGCAGAGGAGCGGCGGAGCGGCGCGGCGCGGCGCGGCGAGCGGCAGCGACACGGCGTGGAGCGCAGGCGGCCGGAGCGGTGGCCGGAGCGGCACGACGAGTGCGAGCAGAAGCGGAACCAGCGCCACCGTCATGATACGGCTGGAGCTGGTGTCAGGAGGCGCAGCACAATTTCTTTTTTATGTGGCAAGAGTATATCTCTAGCGTGCACGCTGGCTGTGTGTCTTGTGAGCTTGTTTGTGTCTGTGTGTCGCTCGTGCGTGTCGTCATCATCTGTCTCGCGTCCACCCATAACGCGCTGGTGTTCGGAGGCCGGACGATTTCCTTTTCTCGTTGGCTTTCTCGACCTAAGTGCTTTTAACCTAAGTGCTTTTAAAGATGTGTCTCGCGTGCATGTTGGCATCTGCCCGAGCTATCTCTCGGGGGCTACGCGACGGGATACTTGCCCGACGGCAGCTGGGGCGGCTGGATTACCCTACACTTCTCGGGCAAGGGCCGCTGGGTCGCAGGTGAGGAGCCGAAGCGCGAAGGAGGTGGACCTCTCGACGGGGTGTGGTTTACGCGCTTGATAAGCAGCTGCGCGGGATCGAGAAGAACTTCCAGCCCGGCACAAAGCTCAAAGGTCAAAGCGCGTGCAGGCGCGCTTGCGGGCGCACAGGAGCTCGCGATGAAGAACGGCGACGACTTGTGCTCGATGGTGCGGCACCCACCCCGGCCGTTGGTGAACCCGCCGGCGCGAGTGGCGCGTGGTGCGGGACCCGACGCCGACCAGGAGGACTTTGCGCTCCGAGAGTGGCTCCGGTGCTCCTTCGATGGCGGCCGCGCCCGCTGCCGTGCCGGACGACGACACCCCCGTGCTCTTCGCGTCGCACGTCCCCGCCGGCGGCCTCACCGTGGGCATGCAGGCCGTCGCCGCGCTGCTCGACGAGGAGGAGGCGCCCGGTGCTGCGTCCAGCAGGTCGGGACGCAAGCGCAACCGCGCGAGCATGGGCGAGGTGCAAATCCAGCTCGCCCTCGCCAGCTGTGACCAAGCGCCCTCGCAGCGGCGGCGCGCAGAGCCGGCGGCGGCACCGGCAGCGCCGCCACCGGCAGCCGACGACGCCACCGGGGAGGATCCCGAGCCGCCATTCCGCTGCCCGTGCGGAGACGCGCTCAAGGCGCCGCTGCGCGGGCTGCTCTCTGCGCGGCTGGCGAGCGCGCGGGACGGCTCGCTGCTCACCGAGGCAGAGGCGGCCGAGCTGGCGAGCGGCGCGATGGCGGTCCGCTTGCTGCGGGCGGGCGGGGAGGGCGAGGCGGCGGCCGCCCTGGAGGCGGACCCTCGCCGGTCCCGCGCGCTGAGCCGCGCGCTCTACCAGGACGCCGTCTCGTGGGCGCTCTACTCGGCCGAGTGGGCCGACGCGCTCGCCGCGCACCTCCGCTCGCGCGGCTGCCGCAGCGTGCTCGAGGTCGCGGCGGGGGCGGGCGTCCTCGCGGCGCCGATGCGGCGGCGCGGCCTCGCCTGGCGCACGACCGACGCGGCCCCCTCGCGGGTCGGGCTGCCAGCAGGCCTCGAGCCGGAGGCGTGCGATGCGGCGGCGGCGCTCGCGCCCTTTGGCGTGGACGCGGTCTTTTGGGCGTGGTGGCCGCGGGGCGACGAGGGCGATGCCGCTCTCGCCGAGGAGTGCGCGCGGCTGGGCCTCCCCGCCCTCTTCGTGGGCGAGCCAAAGGGCGGGTGCACCGGGTCGGATGCGGTCTGGGAGCGCGCCGGGGCGCCACGGCCCCTCTCGAGCGAGGCCGAGGGGCTGGGCGGGGTGGACGTGCCGCGCTGGCCCGGCGTGCGCGACCGGACGTGGCACGTGGGTCGTCGAGGCGCGCGTGCTGCGCTGCCGCTGGCGGCTGGGATAGAGTACTGTGAATGCAGTTAGAGTAAAAAGAGAATCTACATTTGAGTGCTTTTTGATATTAGGGCAAGACCGGACTAGGTCCAGCCCTGGGTGAGCCGGGTTGTGACATTTGGCGATTCCGCGGCTTACTGGGTCCCTGAGCCGCTCCCCGTGTGCGATTATTGTGGCCCAGGCATGGTACTGATAGTAAACGGGTCAGAACCGGCCAAACACAGGCTACAGCCCCACACACGCGCCCGCCATAGCTCCTGGAGAGCATGCGCGAGTGACGCGCTACAAGCCGCGAGAGTGGCATCAGAGGCAGGAACGACGTGCTCTTGCTGCACCTTGCAGCTGCACCAAGTGTGCTCGCAGTGTATGCCACGGCCGCCGCCTGCGGCATTGCTCTCGTGCAGCTAAGGCGACGCAGGTCCATCAGCAGGGCTCATCCAATGCGAGCACACATTGTGCTTAGCCGCGGGCAGGTGGCAGTGCACAGCCGCACACCGGCTGTGGCGGCTCGAATGCCCCCGGCAGCAATGCTGGTCATTAACTTGCGTATTGGGGCCGCAGCAGGCTGCTGCTGTGGCAGCAGCAGCAGCCTGCTGCTGCCTGATTCAGTCAAGCCAGCGGTGCAGCGAGGCGTGCAGAATTCGCGCGGTTTGGTACCTCCTGAGGCTGAGCGCGTTCAGACTCGGTGACCGGAGTTGGATGGTCCGATGGAGCTCGGCGAGCTCCATCGGACCATCCATGGCCGGACGGCGGAGCGTGAGGTGGCGAGCGGAGAGATGTACCGCAAGACCAAAAAAACACGGATCTGACGCGATGTCCCAAAACGTCAGATCTGGCTCACCCAGGGCTGGACCTAGTCACCGATAGACCACTACTGACTACACATGTGCATGAACATGTCACTAGACACTACGCGGTCCCCCTAGGCGGTCACACACACTCTCTATCTCCCGGTGTTACAATCATGTAAACGCTCTCGCGGGTCAGCCGCGGTCTCGCTCTCGACTCTCGCAGCGGCGTCGGCCACGGCCGGCCGCACCGGCCGGCGGTGCTCCGTGCTCCAGCCGGGAGGTAGATGTCGCGGCTGGAGGGCCTCACAGAAGACCTCCCGCCACCCTCGCACAAAATCGTGGAGCGTGCCCGCTCCGTCGCCTCCGCCGCCGCCTCCGCCGCCGCCGTTGGCGCCGCCCGGCGAGGAGAGGACGGCGCGCATCAGCTGCTCCTCGAGCGACAGCCAGCCTGGCGCCGGAGGCTGTCGCCCAGGCGCATGCTGCCGCGCCAAGCCGGCGGCCATGTCGCGCGTGACGTGGCCCGGCTCCACCCCCAACGCCGAGGCCACCACCGCCTCCAGCTCGGCGCGCCTGATCACTCGAGAACGGCGGTGAGGAGCGACCGCATTCGCACGCCGCCCTCCTCGCTGCACGCGGCTTGCCTCCCGGCGGGGATCCGCGCGCCGTGGTGCGAGGAGAGGGCGAGGGCGGCAGAGCGGGCCTTCGCCTCCTCCTGGCCCAGCGCCTGCCGCCGCGGCGCGGGGCTCCGCGACACGCCGTGCCTACAGGGGCCCGCCTCCTGGTGCAGCCCAAGCAGCGAGAGGGCAGGGGGAGGGGGCAGCGCGAGCGGGCTCGCCTGCGGTAGAGGTGCTGCCGGTGGCGCTCGTAGGCTGGCTCGAGCACGCCGTAGCAGCCGACGCAGAGCACCACCAGGTCGTGCGAGTCGCGGCTCTTCATCGGATCCGGCAGGTGCCGTCGGAAGGCGTGCGGCACCACGCTGAAGCGAACCAGCCGCGCCGCCGCCCCGTCAGCGCCGCAGCGGCTGCCGTCGCCACCGCGGCCCTCGCCGCCGCCTCCCGCCTCGCCGCCGCAGCCGACGCACGCGTTGCGCTTGCCGGCGAGCAGCCACGGCTCGGCAGCGTTCCCCGGCCCGCCTGGCTCGAAGTGCAGCCGGATCGTCCGCCCCGGCGCCTGCGCAGCGAGCGGGTCCCCCTCGGGCAGCAGGCTCGCCAGCCCCTTTGCGAGGTACCACCTGCCGCGCTTCGCCGCCATGCGGCACATCGGCTGCCCGGACGGGTCCAGCATCAGCCAGCCTGTTCGCACCGCCCACACTCAAGCGACTGCATCGCGGGCGCAGGAGAGAGGTGAGGGCTCGCCGTCGTAGACGGGCTGAGAGCGAGTCGGGATCCGGACGCAGCGGCCACGGGCCGCCGCCGCATCGCCGCTGCGCGGCGGCGGCAGAGAAGGGGCGGCCACTGTGGGAAGGGGCGCCCGTGACCGCCAGTCCAGCCGTGCCAGCAGCGCCAGGTAGACACGCAGCGAGGCGCGCGCGTCGTTCGCGGCGTACGCGACTTGCTCGACGCTGAGCGTGTCCGCCTCCCAGTTGCTCCTCCGCACCGCTCCCTTGTGCATCCTCTCGCCCAGCAGCTCCTCCGAGAGCGAGGCGAGGCTCCGGCCCGCGCAGCCGCACCGCACGGCGATCGGTATCAGGTCGACGCCGCCGCCGCAGCTGAGGCGGCGAGAGGAGCACGCGTCCACCCCGGTGTTGGCCCATGTCTCGAGGCGGCGCAGGTCCTGCGCAACACCCACTCCGACCTTGCTCGTCCGCGGGTCGGCGAGGAGCCGCAGCAGGGCCTCGGGCGGGGCAAGCTTGGAGAGCTGCACCACGACTGTCTCGTCGCCACAGCTGAGCTGCAGCAGCGCCGCCGGTCGAGATCCGGCCACCCACTCCACATCGAGCCCCAGCACGCGGTGGGTGCATGACCAGCGAGTCAACGCGGCGTCCAGGACGCTAGCCGAGTCGATCACGGTGACTGAGTGGCGTCCGTTTGCACGACGGCGCCGCCTCAGAAGCACGAGCGCCACGCAGGCAGCGGAGGCGACCAGAGCAGTCCAGGCGATCTTCGACATCGGCGTCGCGAGCGAGGCTGCTGCTCAGAGTTGGCCAGATCTGTCTTCAATCAGTACACGACTGTACAACTGAGAGAGACGGTGAAGGGGGTGAACCGCGCCATCCGAGCTCTCGCCCCGGGGCGCCGTACCCGTGTGCCGTAGAGGCCCCTACGGGTACCTAGGGGCCTAGAGAACAAACCCCCTCTCCCTTTTCTCCCATTAAGCTAAAAGTACGTACAACTGAAATACTGAATGTGAGGTCGATCGGCGGAAGAGGATTCAGCCACCAGAAAAAGAATTTTCGGCGACCTTAGCTTGTGAGTCTCTTCTTTCCTTCTACCACAGACGCGAGTGGCAAAAATATCAATAGAGAGAGAATAGATGCAAGAAAGATGCCCGGAAACTGGAGTCCTAGTACATTGCGGGCGAGGGGGGCAGGCAGCGGAGCAGCGGCGACGGCACCAGCGCCTCGAGGACCGTCTCGGGCTCGTAGACCTCGGGCGGCAGCCCGTGCTCCGGAGTGAGCTCGGTGACGGCGCGGTGCGACGACCAGAACCTCTTTGGGTCCGCGTGCGCGTCGTTGTCGTGCGAGACGACGCCGACCACCTGCGAGGCGGCGTTGACGCACGGGCCGCCCGACGAGCCGGCGTGCACCCACAGCCGGCTGCGGATGAGCCCGCTGTCCACGCCGAGGCAGCGCGAGCGGTCGAGGTAGAGCTGCCGCATCGAGTCCCGCCACGACGCCCAGCCGCACACGGAGAGGTCGGCGCCATGCGCGAGGGCTCTGCGGCTGCGGTCGAGCTCGAGGGGCGGAGGCATCCGACCCACCCCCTCCGCGGGGTCGTCGGAGCGGGCGGCAACCTCGAAGCGCGAGAAGGCGTTCTGCGCCTTGCCGTACGCGGGCGGGTCGAGCGCTAGCGCGCCGCCCACCTTGAGCACCGCCAAGTCCTGCAGCGTGGCGCCGTCGTCCGAGCAGCTGCGCAGCAAACTGTCCGGCGTGACGCAGCTCGCCCACGCCACCCACCGCGCCGGCTTCGCGTCGCCCTCGTACACGCCCAACGTGAGGAGGCAGTCGGGGCCCGCGTACTCGTCCCTCGCCCGCCGCGCGCGGTAGCCCACAAGCACGTGCGCCGCCGTGAGGATGTAGCACTCGCCCGCGTCCCGCTTGACGACGGCGCCGGAGCCCATGTCTGCGAAGCGGCCCGTCGGCAGGTGGAGCAGGCCGACGCGCAGCGTCGCCGCCTTGAGGGCCGGGTCTGCGTTCCTCTCGAGCCGGCGGACCAGCAGCAGCGCGAGCACCAGGCTGACCCCGCCGCCGTAACGCACCGCCTCGGGCCAGTAGCTCCGCTCGAGCCTGTTGAGGCAGCGCTGCCGCTCCGCCTCGCCCGGCTCGCGCCGCGCCGGCTTGAAGGCGGCAAACAGCCCAAAGCAGAGGCGGCTGCTCCGCTCGGCCTCGGGAAGCTCGTGGAAGAAGCGCCAGTACGGACCCTGCCCGCCCGCGTTGCACATGTCCGCGTCCGACTCGTTGCAGCCGCCGCCGCCCACGCGCGGCGGGTCGCACAGGCACTCCCGCAGCCGGCCGCCCGCGTCGCGGCAGAGGTAGACGTGCCGCAGCCGGCTGCGCGAGCAGCTGCGCACCGCCGCTCGCAGAGGACGCCGCTCGACCGGCAGCTGCAGCAGCGGCGTCGGAAGGAGCAGCCGCGTGAGCGTGAGGCTGATGCCGAGCACGAGCAGCGACAGGAGTATGCGCGGCCTCGCCGAGGCAGCGAGGCGAAGCCGGTGCACGTAGCGCCGGGACGCGCGCATCAGCTCCGTCAGCAGCCGCATGAACGCGTCTCTCGCCGTGACGGGCTCGCTCTCGTAGAAGAAGGCGAGCTTGCCCTTCAGCGTTTTGTTGGACCGCTCGAGCTGGGCGATGCGGCGCTCGGCCTGCTGACAGCGCTCCTCGAGCGCTGCGCGGTCGAGGCGGGAGTGAATGGGCTCCGCCATCCTGAGTGAATCTACAAGCAGCGGTCTGCTCCCGCTGCCGGCGCCGCCGGCGCCGTACCTCCTCGTCGTCGCTCGTGGCTCTTCCGCCGCGCCAGGGAGTTGGAGTGAGTCAGCTGCGCGACAGCGCGGCGACCCTCTCCGCGCCGGGTTTCTGGCCGCCCCAGGGCGGTCGTACTCTTCACGGGAGGTTCCCCGTGTTTGTCGGTCGGGCTCTTGCGACGGAAAGAGAATTCCCTTCGCAGTGAGCCACGCTGAACGAAATGAACGTAGAGCCGAACGGTAGGAAGCCGGGGAAGAAGACTCCGAGGAGGACGAAACACCTGTGGTAATCCCGTCGTCAGCTGTAACGATGCGCCCGAACGAACGAAGGGGACCCCAGCGCCAGCATCATCGGTCGGTGGAGGTACAAGTGTTCGAAGAGAGAGTGGACCTGGGCAACGATATGACTTGGCAGAAATGATCGCAGTGGGCGTCAGTCAGAAGAGTCGTCCTTGCGCGAGGAGAGCTCGATAAACTCGAACAACACAAACTCGAGGGGCCAAAATATGCCGCGAGAAGAGCAGAGTTGCGCCGAAAGGCGGGAGAAGCCGCGCCGACATTAGTGTGCGAGAGCAAGGGATCGGCAGGCGGCGGCGGCGTCGCAGGACGAGGCAGACGAGAGCGACGCGACAGAGGAGGAAGGAGGGAGAACGACGAGAGTGGGACGACCGCGAGGTGGCATGAAGGTTGAGAATCGGCGAGGAGGAACTGCGAAGGAGATAGAAAGAGGCAGACGACCAAGGGTTTACATGTAGGGTGGGCGACGGCTAGCACCACACTCCTCTCCTTAAAATCCCTGGTGTGGAGTGTGGTGGCGGCGTGCTGTCCTCCCAATTTTTCTCTGGGGTTGACTGTTTTCTTTCTTTCTTTGACGCATCACGCACGGCTTAGTTTCACGGGTGTCCGCGGCCCCACTGTGCCTGGAGCCGCTGGTAGGGGACCTCGAGGGTAGGACAGTGACCGCCGCAAACCCTGTGTTCAGCATGGGATTTCGGTTTTTTGAATGCCAAAAAACTAGCGAGGGAAAAGTAATTCGAGCAAACCCGCGGCCGCAATGAATTAAAAGGGGCGGGTTTCGAGAGGGGGAATTTCGTCTCAAACTGGAGAATCTGGGAGAATCTGCGCTCACCAACGGATCCCCACCTCATCGAGAAACTTTTCGCACTCCAAGACATACTAGTTTTTCTAAGGTGCTCTACAAGTTAGGCACAAAAGATATGGCATTGCAGGCCATTTAGGGCCCCTTAGACGGTCACTGAGTAGGCCAAAATCCCCACTGGGCCGGGGGAGCACCTTAATAGAATTTCCGCTGGCGCTTGCCGCTATGACCCACCTCGGCCAACCAACGCTTGCCAAGCGGCTTGGCCTCCTGCTTGGCCTCCACCTTCGCCGCCACCGGGCGCTGATCGCTGGGTCCCTTGCCGCCGCCACCCTTGCCGCCGCCACCCTTGCCCCCCCTGCCGCCGCCCTTGCCGCCGCCCTTGCCGCCGCCCTTGCCGCCGCCCTTGCCGCCGCCCCTGCCGCCGCCCCTGCCGCCGCCCTTACCGCGGCCGCCCACCGTCCGATCCGGCGCATGCGCCTCGAGCGCGCCGCCGCCGCCGCCGCCGCCCTTGCCGCCCTTGCCGCCCTTGGCAGCATGCTTGGCCTTCTTGGCATCGGAGCAGGCCTTGCAGCGCGTGCGCGGGATCTTCCAGCCTCGCTCGAGGAAGAACTCCTGCTCGATGACGGTGAACGTGAAGGGCTTGGCGCACTCGTGGCACGTCACCGCCATGTCCATGAGCTCGCGCCGCTGCTTCAGGTACGCCTCCTCGATCACCTTTCGCTTGCGCTGAGGATCCACCTCGCCCACGACCTCCTTTCCCTTGCGGTCCTTGCCCAGCGGGCCCTGCATCGCACGCGCGTCCCCGCTCTCGCCCTCCTCGTCCTCGTCCTCCTCGCCCTCGTCCTCGTCGACGCTCCCCTCCTCGCTCTCATTGTCCGAGGCATTCGGACGAGCGGGCAATGGACCCGCCTTCGTCTTGCCCGTGTACGCCTTCCGAAGGACCTGATTGCGGGAAAACTTAGAGCGCTCCGCGATCTGCTCGAGCCGCGTCTTGGAGACCGCCTCGCGCACGTTGATGCGGCGACTGCTCCCGTCCGAAGACGCCTTGAACTGGCTCTGGTGCAGGGCGAGGCCGCGGTCGCAGCTCTCAAAGTCCGTGACGTCGACGAATGCAGTGCCTTTGAAGGCGCCGTCCTTGAGCACGAGCCGGCACGACGGCAGCAACGCAGCTGCGGTTGTGCCGGCGGCCTGTGCGAAGTGAGCGGCCACGTCCTCTCGAGTGGCAGAGTACGGCAGCTGGTTGATGAACAGCGTGACCTTCGACGTCATTATCAATCGACCCCGACTTCGACTTCGACGCCGGGTGGACCGCGACGCTGACTGCGCCGACCGAGGAACGCTGACCGAGAACGCTGACCGAGAACGCTGGACCGGGACCGAGAAGTGTCTCGCGACGCACGAGGACGCTAGCCTGAGAAAAAGAAAGTCGCGGCAAAATCCCTGTGTTTGAAGTTAAACAAGGCATCGTAGTACTTGAACGGCGCTTCACTTGAATGGCGTTCGCTTCGGCCGGCCTGCCGCCGCCGGCGCTCAACGCTGCCGCTGCCGAGGGCGCGGCGCGCGGCCGCGACGGCGCGCAAGAGGCCGATGATGGCCAGAGACTCGGCGTGAAGCGCCGCCTCGACGGCGAGCTCGCGAGCGCGCGCGTCAACGACGACGACGCCAAAGAAGGCGACACCATTATGGTGGACGCCGCACAGATGGCCGCTGCGGCGGCCGCCGGCACCGACCGCGGCACGAAGCGCCTGCTGCACGTCGCGCTCGCGGCGCGCGACGGCTCGCACATCCCGGACATCCAGAACACGACGGCGCTCGTCACCGAGATTCGACAGCTTCTGAGGAAGACGCCAGGCTGCGAGGCGCAGCCGGCGAGCGCGATCAGCGTGCCCGTCATCGGCACGTCGCGCGCCATCTGCGTCGCCTTCAGCGGCGAGAGCGAGGCACGTGCCTTCCTCGAGCAGTACGCCGGCGGTGGCGTCCTACAGCTCCCAGCGCCAGACAACATCACCATCACCTTCGCCGCTCTCGACGCCACCGTGTGGGGCAAGCAGGCGGAGGCGCGCGAGACCCAGGCGACCATCGACTCCGACGGCCTCCTCGCCATACGCACGCGCGGCGCCATCAACACCGCGGCCCAGATCGAGCACTTCGCCCCCCTCTTGGAGAAGCACTTCGGCAACGTGGTCTCCATCCAGGAGGGATACCACTCCTTCCTCGGCACGAAGTCGGACGAGAAGGACGGCTCGATCCTCTTCAAGGTGAAGAACGAGAACCTCGTCTGCAACCTCCCTGTCCTGCCCAACGTCTACGCGAGCGGCGATGTCGGCGGACCCCTCCGCCTCGACGTCGGGAGTGTGAAGGTGCTCGGGAACAAGCTTTGCCCATCGTGCCGCGCCTTTGCGACGACGAGCGCCGACATCATCCACGACGCGCAGTGCGGCGCGCAGGCGCTCAAGGAGAGGCGCGCCGCAGCGGCGAACGTCGCCAAGAAGAAGACCTTCGAGAGCCTCATCGTCGACAACAAGGTCGAGGTCGCGCGCGCGGCGGGCAAGGCCAAGGCGATGGCGGTGCGCGACGGGATCGGCTTCTGCCCGGCCTTCAACCAGACCGCCATCCCGTGCAAGACCGCCGCTCGCTGCCGCTACGCGCCGTGCGTCAACTTCGAGGCGCTCCTCCACTCCGCCTTCAAGGACACTATCTACGAGCGCATGCCGAGCGCGGTCAGGCTGGGCACAAGCCGCGGGCGGCGCGGGCGCGGCGGCCGCGGCGGCGGCGGCGGCGGCGGCGAGGTCAAGAGCAACAAGAAGAACTGGGCGAGCGTCGCCCGCGGAGCCGCCCGCTCCTCCTCCGACGGCGGCCCACTCCTCGAGTCCAACGAGCCCTCCCTCTACGAGGGGAGCGACGAGGATTTCTAGGAACGGCCGCCGAGCCCTTCCCGCAGCGCAACCCTAGCAGCGCAGCGGGCAGGGCGGCTCGCGCAGCGCGCGCGCGATCGAGCGAGGGAGCGAGCGAGCGAGCGAGCGAGCGAGCGAGCACACACACACACACACACACACACACACACACACACACACACACACACACACACACACACACACACACACACACACACACACACACATGTTGTACACATGCACAGACACACAGCCCCTTCCCCTTCCTCAAGGGCGAGGACACGCGCAGGGGTCGCACTTCTAGCGAGGCCCACAGAGTGGGAGACTCCTATCACCGCCACTGCCACCCACGTGTCAGTCTGCCTGTGGTAGAAGAGACTGCCGGTGAGACGTCGGAGGAAGGTCGCTAGTCGAGAGAGATCGCCAGTGGATAGGGAGTCCACCGTGCTGCGAGCCTGTCGCTGTCCCTTGTCAGGAGCAGGAGAACTAGGAGAGCGCAACCAGTAGGAGGCCCGCGCTTGCCCCCGTGCCGCCGGGTGCAACCTGTCCTATACGAGAGATGGGATTCCTGTCGTGAGGGTGAACCCCCTGCCCAGCCCCCCTCCGTGTCGCGATGCGCTCCCCGCTCCCGTTCCCCTGTGTCCCTGATCGTCCTACAAGATCCTGCTTGTGCAGGTGGGGACCCTGTCCTTCTCCCACCCCTCGTTTGGCGTGTCCGTTGTATTTATTTATTTAAGTTAAAATCCCTGTGTGGTGGCGGCGTGCCGTTCTCCCATCCCTCCCTTGGGTTGTCTGTTTTCTTTCTTTCTTTGAAGTTAAAAGTCGAATCAGAGCGCCGTCGGTTCGATTTTCTCCCCCGGACCGCCCGTGGCCCGTCCGGCACCGCTCCGGGACGCACGCCGGCGAAGCACCATCAAGCTGCTGTACGGCCCCGGCATCGCCTTCCAAGGCTTAGCTATACTGAGAGATATTGTGCACATGGTTGGTCTCTACAATATATACACTGACACTGAACCTCTCAGAGCTCGTCCCGGTCCGTCACGGCCATCCTCGGCCTCCGGAGGCCCCCCGGCCGCGGCGCGGTGCGGCGGCGTCACAAATCCGAACGCAGAGCACCGGGACGCGGTCGGGCGATCCGAGGCCCGACTAGGCGTATGCATTGCCCATCCAGGGCTATCACCTGGACCTATCAACAGGCGCCTGCGGCGCCGTGCTCAGGAGCTGCTACTCCAACCTGTTCACACTTTCGTACGGCACAGTACCAACTGCTGATTTTCGGGCAAGTTTCGTGCTGTGTGCCCGCGGGCCTACTAGGCCCGCGGGTAGTCTCCCCCCATCCCCAGGCGGGCCTCCAGGGCTCGCACCTCAACCTCTCATAGACCAGCGCAAAGCGCCATAGGACGTATTTTCTTGTCAATAACAAGGTCTGTGAGGGAGGGCGAGACGATCGAGGGGTCCCGTACCATGCGGAATCGACCCTATCCAGTGCTCAAGTGCTCAAGGTCTGTGAACAACCTAGTCTACAGACCAGCGCATAGCGCCATAGGACGTATTTTCTTGTCAATAACAAGGCTGTGAACGCTGCTGGTTGGCGTCGGTTGCGCAGCACCCCGTCCCCATCCAGGTTGTTGGTTGCTGCCCCAGGTCCCGCACTATGTAGGTGGATGGAATGCCCCGTCCGTTCTCGGGATCATGCTTGTTCGGGTACATGGTCGCCCGTCCGTCCCTGCCTGTGTCCCGTCCACGTCGCGGCGTCGGCAAAGCCGACGACCTATGGTGCAATACAGCTTACAGGGGAGGACGCGCCGCTCGATGCTGCGGCGGCGTTGGCTATGGGTGGGGCTTTCCCATTCCAGTACGTACGCGGTCCCGGCGGGCCGCGCAGGCGTGGTACTTCCAGCCGCGCGGAGCTTCCGCACTCCCTCCCTCCTCAGTCCGGCGTTGGTTGGTTGGTTGCTGGCATCATCCCAGCACTGGGGGCGTGGGTGGGGGGTCCTGAGAGCTGTTTGTTGGTTGGTGCTCTGTTGATTGACAGCACAGTGCGAAACTAGGGTTGCAACCTGGTAAAGAACCCGCTCGCAGGCACCAACACACACTAAAAGAATTCTGAACCAGCAAAAGCGCCTTCCCTTATTCTTCCCTCCTTGCGTTCCACACCAAAGCTCACACACCTCCGACACGGCGAAAGGACGGCCGCACCGATCGTCTCCCCTAGCTCTCACGAATGCCGACGGACGAGGAGCTGCTGCAACAGAACCCTGACGCACGTGGGCTGATCGAGGCGGGTGTCCCGCGGGAGGAGGTCCTCGCTGGCCTGCGTCAGGCGGCGGAGGAGGCTGCCGCCAATCCGACGCCGCCGCCTCTCAGCCGCAAGGTGTCTGAAGGGCCTTTGCCGCCCGGCTGGGAGGAGAGGTTCGACCCGTCCACGGGGCGTCGGTACTACGTCGACTATGCAACCAAAACAACCTCCTGGGTCCGCCCCCAGCCCACCGGGCCCATGTCGCCTCGAGACCACCTCAAGTCCGCCGGCTTCCGGGAGTACCCAGCTGCCACCACGCAGCCGACGGCAGCTGGACTGCCAGAGTCCTCGTCGTTTCCGCAAGGGGGTGAGATGGACCCCGAAATGGCGGCGGCGATGAAGATTGCCGAGGCGGCCGATGCCGCGGAGGCTGCCGAGGCAAAGGCAAAGGAGAAGGAGAAGGCCTCCGCCGCGGCGTTTGAAGCCAGGATGGCGGCGCGTGAGGCAGCCGAGGCCAAGACGACTGCGCTCGGCAAGAAGAACAAGGGCGCGCTGCATAAGCTGAAGAAGGAGGTCGGCAAGGCTCTCGCCGCGCCGCCACCGGGCGCCCTAGGCCCCGTCGCGTACCAGCGGAGCACGTCAAACATCCCAAGCCGCGCGCGCCAGAACTCCACCTCGGGCAAGCTCGAGGAGATCGACGGGATCCTCGCGGCGCTGCGCTCCGAGTCGACCCCGTTCGACCTACGCGAGAAAGGGGCCGCCGAGCTCCGCAAGATGTGCAGCCGCGCCACCTCCGCCGAGATCCCCCTCGTCCTCCTCGACGAGCTGGGCGAGGCGTCAAAGCCGGCATTGCAGCGCACCCTCTGCGAGGCCATCGCGTGCGCTGTCGAGAGCCACCACAAGGCACTGCTCGAGTCGGGCGCGGCCCTCTTCATCACGCCGCTGCTGTCGTCGACCGACCCACGCGTCCAGCGCGGCGCGCTCGGCCTCCTCCAGATCCTCTGCCGAAGCAACGAAGCGTGCACCAACCAACTCGTCGACGTCGGCGCGGCGCCGGCTCTGCTCGGCTTGCTCTCTTCGGCGTCGGAGCTCACGGAGTCGCGCACGGTGGCGCTCCAGCTGGTCGCAACGATCATGGAGCAGCCCGACGGCGCTCGCGCCATGCTCGCGAGTGGCGTTGCCGAGCCGCTCTGCACCACACTCATCCACGCCTCCGGGCTCGCACCCTGTAGATGCTGGAGAGATTGTCTCCCTCAGACGCCACATGCAGTGGATACGCCAAAAGACGGCCACGTCCCGGTTCAGGCACCGGAAGATAGAGCCTCTCTATCTGCCGACTCCGCCGCCCCCCCTCCGCAGGCTCGCCAAGGGCTGGGGCGGAGGCTCGGCCTCGGAGGCGGAGATGGGAGTCGAGCAGGCGCGCGCTCGGCGGTGGGGCGAAAGGGTCAGGGAGAGAGGCCCATCGCCACTGGTGCGTGCTGTCCCGTTAGGTGGGTCTCGCTGTCGACTGCCTCTGCGCCGTCAACTCGGCCGACCCGGCGGCCGTCCAGCAAGCGGTGCGAAACACCTCGGCGATGCCCTCCATCGTCGCGCTCATGGGGTCGGAGAACGAGAATGCGCGTGCGGGCGCCATGATGTTGCTCTCGTCGCTCGCCCCCGAGAACGCGGGCGAGGTCGTCGCCTCGGGTGGCATTGGGATGATGATTGAGTCGCTTTCGCGCGGCGCGACAGACCAGACGCTCCACACGCTCGCGCAGCTCTCAAAAAATGCTGTCCACGCCGTCTCGATCGCTCAGCAGCCTGGGGCGCTGACGCAGCTGGTTGAGCTTGTGAGCCACCCGCACATTCGCGAGCTCGTCGTGACCATACTCTCCAACCTGTGCGCGCTCGGAGTTATCACGGCCGACTTGCTCTCGAGTCCGCAGACGCTCCACAAGCTCGTCGCACCGCTGATGCAAGGCGGGCTCTCGCCCGAGATGCGGTTGGGACTACTGTCGCTGCTCTCGCGCGCATCGCACGAGCCGGGCGGGAGGCAAGCTCTCGCGACAGTCGGTGCGCCGCGCCTCCTCGTCGAGGCGGCCGACGGGTCGAGCGACGCGGCCGCCGTGGGGCACGGCCTCCAGGCCCTCGCCCACCTCGCAGCCGATGAGAACTTCCGCTCGCAGCTGTCGGGGTGGGGAGCGCTGCGGCCGCTCTGCGCCTCGCTCTCGTCCGCACGCGCGCCCGACCCGCGCACGCGTGCAATCGCTCTCTCCGCCGTCGCCAACGTCTCGTACGTCGAGCCAGCGGCGCTGCTATCGGCCGGCGTCGCGCCGCACCTCGCCAGCCTTCTCTACGAGACGGAGCCCAACCTCCTGCGCATGGCGCTCACAGCGCTGCTCAACGTGACGCGCGACGCCTCCGCCGTACCGCCGCACTGCGCCGGCGAAATGCTCGCTGCCGGCGCCCCCGCTGCTGTCGTCGGCTTGCTCGCCCACGCCGATGCTGACATCCGCGCCATCGCGGCGGCCGCGGTTGCCTCGCTGTGCCAGCTCCCGCACCTGGTCGTCGGCCTCGCCTCCGCGGGCGCCGGTGTGGCGCTCATGCGCCTCCTCGTCCATACCCCCGACCCGACGATGGCGCGCACCATCGCTTCCGCCATGCCCGCCCTGCTGATTGACGAGCAGTCTCGGGCGGCGGCGCGAGACGCGGGCGGCGCCGTTGCGCTCAGCGGCGCCCTCGGCGCGAGCACCGACCCCGACGCTCGGCTCACCATTGTGTGCGCGCTTGCGGCGCTCGTCGGTGGCGACTGGCGCGCGGCTTACAAGGCCGCCGGCTGGCCGCCGATCATCGGCTCGCTGCAGGCGCTGCAGCACGTGGCGACCCAGCGCGCTGACATGCTCGAAGCATACTACGCCGTCGCCCGCGGCGCGGCGGCTGCCCTGAGCGAGTCGGATGGGCGCGACAGCCTGGCCGCCGACAGCCGCGCGCTCAACTTTGTGTGTACCTCGCTGTGGGCGCTCGCGCACGAGCAGTCCGACTTGGCCGCGGGCGCGGCCTCTGCGCACGTTGCTCTCTTGCGCGAGATGAGCAGCAAGTCAGAGCGAGCCAGCACGAGGGACTCCATCTCGGAGCAGTTCGACAACGCGCTCAAGCTCCTCGTCGAGGTCTCCGCTGACCCGGAGCTCGCAAGCGCGCTCGCTGCCGCCGGAGCACCCGCTGCGCTCATGCCGCTGCTCAGCGGCCCGCACGCGCTGGTCGCTGCCCGTAGCCTCGCACCGCTTCTGACGGACGAGGCGGCTCGCGAGGCGGCGTGCACCTCGAGCAACATCGACACGATGATCGAGGCGCTCGTCACGACCGAGCAGGAGGAGATGCGCTTGGCCATCTCGCTTGCACTCGCGGGACTCGTCGGTGGCGACTACAGCCAGGTCCACGCTGCGGGCGGTTGGAAGGCTGTCGTCACCGTCCTCGCCGCCACTGCCGCCACAGCGTCGCCCCAGATGGCAACTTTCGCTTCGGGCGCGCTCTCGCCGGTCATCGAAGCGCTCGACAAGCCACACCCGGCGTCGGCGGCGCCGACCCAGCCCTCCTCGCCGGCCAAGGTGGAAGCCGCGCCTCCGCCGACGGCGGGCGCTCTCATCGAGAAGGCCATGTCTTCCGCCTCGATTGGCGCCCAAAATGTCGCTTCACCCGAGAAGCCAAAAGTGTCGCTGGCGATCGCGGCGGACCTCGACTAGGGAGAGCTGTAGAGAGACGGTCAAGCTCAGGGCGGCCCGTGCTAGAGGCCGGGCGGCGGCGCGCCGTGCTGAGAGGCGCGGGCGTTCGAGTTGGCTGGGGAGCGAAGGTGTGGGCCGGGCGCTTTCTCGAGCGCGCCGTGGTCTCGATGTCAACCAGAAGCGAGGGCCTTCTTGTGCACTATGCGATCCGAGTCTGGCGGGCAAGGCAGCCGGGTCGGTTCGAAGGCAGACTGGTGTGGACTGGGGTGTCCGTCTGCGGGCGAACGAGGATTGCCCTGGGGGGCCGCAGAGCGCAGTGAAGAGAGCTAGCAGCCACTTGTGCGTCGCGGTTTGCCGATGTGAGTCTCCTTCTCAGCTATCACGGGCCTAATAGCAGTAGCAGCCGGCGCGCGCGTTTCTTTCCGTGCTCGAGCGGCTTCCCGCAAAGAGGCAGGCTGCAAGGGCCTCGTCAAGCCGGACGGAGCTCGAAGACCTCGAAGCGGAGGAGAGTGGCGCGGAACAGCTTGAAGCACAATGCTCCTCGCCGTGCTCGCGCTGGTCGCTCACTCGGCGCCTACCGCGTTTGTCTCAAACGGCGGTGTGCTATACCGCGAGCGCTTCCTCTCGCCGGCCGACTTTGAGGCTATCCGGCGTGAGTGCCGGACCCTGCGAGGCGGCATGCGCGCAGAGAAGGACTCGATTGCGCTGCGGCGGATGGGCCTGTGTCTCGACCGCCGATCCCACACACACGCGATGCTGATGAGCGAAGCGGTTGCGAGCCGGATCGCCGCGCTCACCGGCGTGCCGCGGCTCGAGCCGTCCGACTTTCCGGCAGAGTTGCGGCAGTATGGTGCCGGCGCCAGCATGGGTTGGCACCGCGACGACGCGCTCTACAGCCCGCCGCAGACAGAGGTGATCCTGACGCTCGAGAACACGGCTGACTGCTTCACCGAGTGGGTCTGCGCTGACGGCGGCCGCGACTCGGCGTGGACGACGCCGAACTCGGTGCTGCTCGTACGTGCCGGCGAGGGAGGCCCCTCGCACCGCGTCACGCCGGTGAAGCGCGGCGAGCGCACCATCGTCAAGCTCGTCTTCCACGAGCCCGACGCGGAGCGGTCTGCCTCCTTTTACGACCACATCAACTCCTTCCCAGGCGCGCAGAGATCGGTGGCGGAGCGAGCGCGCGCGCTGGCGGAGCGAGGCGGCCCGGGCAGTGGTGGTAAGGCGAGCCGGGCAGCGAGACGGAGGAGCTAGCGTGCAAAAGTACTACACGTACACGTATTAGGGCTATAGGGGTACAGACTCTGGCTAGCAGGGTGTGAGGGACCTCTCTACGCTCTAGAAGGCGTCGCCGTGGGCGCGCGCCATCCTCGCGAGGGTCAGGCCGAGCCCGCCGGGCCAGCTGAGGCTGTGTGTCCGTCCACTGTGGACCCAGTGATGGCCTAGGAGCCCTGCACGGACGGTGTTTATGCTGTATAACACCTAGAGCTCTAGGGACCGCGTGGCCGTGGGGTGGGCGGCGAGCCGCGCATCGGCCGACAAAGGACAATGTGCCGGTGTACGTGTTTCGGTGACACTCAGGGCCCGTTTTGCATGACCTGTCGGGCAATCAGCGCGCTAGAGAGTACGAAACCTCCTTCGGCGCTCTTTGCCGAAACCCGAAAGTGTGCCATCCGGTTGTTGCACGGCGTGCGCCACCGTACTCGGGTACAAGTCGACACACGTAAATGGCAAGGCAAAACACAAGACCCGAGGCTCGATACCGTCATGCAACGACACTTGTCACTTCTCCCCTCCGCGCGCATCCGCTCAGAAGGCCTCACGCAAGCCTCACGGCGGCCGCTCCGCCCGCGGCGGCCGCGTCGGCGTCTTGACGCTGATAAAGTCCGCCAGCGTGAGGGCGGAGGGGCCACCGCTGGCGGGGGACGGGCGCGACGGGCCGCCGCTGGCTGGGGACTCGCGCCGCGAGCTTCCCGCCGCCGATCCGCGCGATGAGCGGCGCGAGCTCGCGTGCCCGCGCGCCCAGCTCGCCATCTGCTCGTGCACCTTCTTCAGGTGCGCCTCGCAGAGCTGCTGGGCGCGCCGCAGCGCCTCCTCCGACGAGGCGACGATGTGTAGCTCGAGCGCGGCGGCCTGCTCGAGCACGGTGGACGGAGAGGCGCGCCTGCCACCCGCGTCGCCGCCGTCGGTGGCGCCCAGCTCCGCCGTCACCTTGTTCGCGCGGCTCTCCTGCGCGATGTGCTTGAGCACGTAGCCCTGATGCCCGGTGACGGCGTGCAGCAGCCGGAAGCCTTCGGGCACCGCGCTGAAGGGCGGGTTCGGCCGCACCGACGCGTGGAGGAAGGCTGCGGTCGCGTCGGCCGGCGCCTCGCGCCGCCACGCCGACAGGTCTCGCTTGAGCTGCGCGGCCTCCCTGCTCTTGCCCTGCTTTTGGTAGAGGCGCAGCAGCGCTGCGGCCGTCTTCTGCGTCTCCGAGTGCCGCCCGCCGGAGAGCTCGCGCCGGATGGAGAGCGTCTCGAGGTAGAGCTCCTCGGAGCGCTGGTCGTGGCCCTGCGCCGGAGGGGCGGCGATCAGAGACCGGAACCCGAATACAGGCGGTGCGCACGAGATGAGCCGAGATGAGCCGAGATGAGCCGAGATGAGCCGGTGCGCACGCCTGCGCTCGCTTGAGCGCAGCGATGCAGTTGAGCGTCTGCGCGACGCGGTCCGAGTTCCGCTCGTAGTACTGCTCGCGCATCCGCAAGGCTCTCTCGTAGAGCCCCTCCGCCCTCGTAAAGTCCTTGCGCTGGAACTGGTAGTGGTTGGCGAGCGAGTGGAGGGAGTGGGCAACCTCGGGATGCTCCTGGCCAAACACCCGCTCGCGGATCGCCAGCCCGCGCCGCAGCAGCCGCTCCGCCTCCGCCTCGTCCGCCGCGTCGCCCGAGCGGCCGAGCAGGACCGAGAGGTTGGTGAGCGAGGCAGCGAGCTGCGGAGAGTGCGGCCCGACCCGCTGGTACGCGCGCCCCGCGCCACCGGCTACCAGCGGCGACCGCAGCAGGTTGGCGAGGTTGTTGTAGGTCGAAGCCACTTCGGGGTGGGCCGGGCCGAAGAGCCTCCGCCGGATCCGGAGCGCGTGGAGGAAGAGCAGCTGCGAGCCGCGCTCGTTGCCGCGGCAGTCCAAGTTGACGGCGAGCAAGTTGAGCGCCTCTGCAACCACCTCAGCCGAGTCGGCGGCGAAGACGGCCTCGGGCGTTGGAGCGACGCCCGAATCGAGGATCAGCCCCTCGAGCTGGCGCTCGAACTCCGCCTCCGCTGCCTCCTCCCCTCCGGCTGCCGCGGCGGCGCTCTCCGCCGGAGTGGGCCCGGCGCTCTCCAAGGACACAACCGCAACCTCCGCCCGCGGCCTCTCGCCGCCCAACGCGGCCAGTGGCGGCGGCCGCAGCGGCGGCGCCGACGCCGCCTGCGGCCGCGGGGACGGCGGCGGCGGCGGGAGCGCCGACACGGTGCCCTCCGATGGCGGGAGGACGGCGCCGTGAAAGCCGTCCGGGTCCGCCACTCGGTCAAGCCCCGCCTCGGCGAGGAGGGGGCGCGCGCATGCAAGGCCGGCGGCGTGCCGCAGCGCGCAAGCGTAGGCGCGCGTCCCCTCCTCGAAGCGCGACGCGTTGCTGAGCGCGTAGGCGAGGTCGATGAGCAGCAGCGGCAGCAGCCGCCGTGGTGGCAACGCCTCCGCCACGCCGCTCCCCGCTCGCGAAGGCAGCAGCAAGCCCGCTGCGGCGGCGCGGGGCGGCGAGACGGGAGCCGCCGCCGCCGCAGGAGCAGGCGCGTCCTCCTCCTCCTCCTCGTCGATGAGCTGGAGCGCCTTGAGCAGCAGCGAGCGGCGCGTGCCGTGGTCGACGCGGTGGCGGAGCAGGTTGCGGCCGGAGCACAGCAGCGCCGGGAACTGGTCGTCGGTCGCCTGCGCGAGCGCATACTCGACGTTTGACCGCTCGGCGTCGAAGAGCTCCAGCGATCCGCTCGTGTCGTCGAAGCGCCCCCTCTCGTTGATCCTCGCCAGCCACCCCGTGTAGTAAAATACTAGGCTACGCGTCCACCGCTGCCGCGCCGCGCGCCCCCCCTCCGCCTGCGCCATCTTGTTCGCACCAAAGAGGCGGATCAGGTCGTGCAACCGGTAGCGGCGGGCGTCGCCGCGCCCCACGCGGAGCTCTACCATGCTCTCCTCGACGAGCTGCCCCAGCGCCCTCCGCACCTCCGCCGCTTCCATCCCGAGACCGGGCGCGGCGCCGCCTTCGGCGCGCCCGACCTCGCCCGCCTCCCCGCCGCCGCCGCTCCCGCCGCCGCTCCCGTTGGCCCCGCCGCTCGGGCTGCTCGGTCCCGGCACAACGCCGCGCAGCAGCGAGAGCAGCGCGGGCGAGGAGCACTGCCCGCCCGCCTCGCCCGAGTTGTCGCGCGAGAGCGAGGGCGGCGTGGCGGAGGAGGGCGATGCCGCGTGCGGCGAGGCTGGTGGCGGCGGTGAGGCGGCGTCGTGCAGGAGGAGCGCGACGGCGGCGTTCTCGTCAAAGTGGGCGGGGAAGGTGCAGAGGGCGAGGAAGATGAACTGCAGCCGCGGCTGGAGGTTGTTGTACGACGAGGCGATGCACGCCTCCACCGAGGCGTGGCCTGGGCGCAGCGAGGCGGGGTGGGTGCGAGACGCGCGGCACGGTGAGCCGCGCACGGCGCGCGGCCCCGCCTGAGCGCTGCGCCACCTCGCGCAGCGACCTTAGGCGGCTCGCCTCCGCCTGCAGCTTGCTGATGAGCTCGTCGGCGCTCGTGCGCACGCGGCTCGAGCCGAGCGCGCAGCCGCACAGCCGGAGCGCGAGCGGCATGCAGCCGCACAGCTCGGCCAGCGCAAAGGCGTGCGACTCGGGCACGCTGCCCGGCGCCATCCGGCGCAGCAGCTTCGCCGCCTCGGGGAGGGAGAGCTCCGAGCACTGGACAATCTGCGGCTGCGCGTCGGAGAGCGCGACTGCCTTGCGGCTCGTCAGCAGCAGCTTGCTCCGCGGCGCGCGGCGCAGCACCTAAAAGCGCTGCAGTCGTAGCCCGGACGCGGCCCAAAGTGAGAAGGGACGCCGTCGCGCCGCTCAGGCGAGCACCAGCGCCAGCAGCTCGGCGACGGGCGAGCCTGCGGCCGCCGCAGCCTCGCCCGCGGGAGAGGAGGAGGCGGCAGCCGGGCCGCCGCCGCCTGCTCTGCGGGCCTCGGCGAGCTCGTCGCAGCGGTCGACGACGATGAGGAGGCGGCGCGGCGCGAGGGCGCCGATCAGCTCCTCCCGCACCTGCTCCTCCCCGGGACCGACGAGCTGCAGCGAGAGCGCGGCGGCGAGGGCGTAGGCGAGCTGGAGGCTCGAGGAGAGGCCGCTGCAGTCGACGTGGTGCACCCCGTCCGGAAAGGCGTGCCTGGGGGCCGGGGGCCGGGGGCGGGGCGGTTTGGGGGGGGCGGAGGCACATCCCGCGTCTCTGTGGAGCCGCGCACCGCAGCCGCACATAGTGCGCCACGGCAAGGGCGAGGGCTGTCTTGCCGATGCCGCCGGCGCCGACGAGACAGACGTACCGCTTGCGCCCGTGCAGCAGCGCCGCGACGGCGCGCGACATGAGCACCTGTCTGCCGACGAAGGTTTCGGACGGCGCGGGTAGGTTGGTGGCGCAGAGCGGCTGCGAGGCGTCGCGCAGAGCGCCGGCGAGGAGCCTGTGGAGGGGTTGCGGCCGCGGCACGGGTCAGGCCTGCGGTGTGGTGTGCGGTGTGGTGTGCGGTGTGGTGTGCGGTGTGGTGGGATGTGTGGGGTGTGTGGGGTGTGGTGGTGGGGTGTGCATGGCGGCGGTTCCTCGGCCAGATTGGCGTCTGGTGGTCGCCCGAGCCGAGCAACACGAACTTTGACGACTCGTGCCGCGCGCTCGAGGTCGGCGTGAGGCGCGCGGGCATCGAAGAGACGGCCTTCCTCCCGATGTCGAAGGCGGCCTGCACGCTGACGCCGGTGGCGAGCGCGAGGTAAAAGTGCTTCGTGAAGGACACGGCCGCCGCGTCGAGCAGCAGCGCCGACGAGGCGACGGCCACGACATGCGGCACGCCCATCCTCGCGAAGGCGGCGGCGGCGGGCTGAGAGTGGCACGCGCAGACAAAGACGAGCCGCAGCGGCGGCGCGGCGCCGTCGGCAGCGGCGCAGGTCGAGGCGAGCAGCTGCGGCGTCAGCTCGTGCGAGGCGCCCGACCCGTCCTCGAAAGAGAGGTACGACTCCTCTCCGTGGCCGGAGTAGTGCAGCACCTGTCAGGAAGGAGCCGAGACGGCCTGAGGCAAGGCACGGCGCCTCGCCGCGGCCAGAGAGTGTCGCAGCACCGTCGCGCCCGTCGTGCACACGCGGCGCAAGTTGTCGGTGGTCGCAATCTCAAAGGCGATGTCGAGCGCCTGCTGCCGGAGGCTGGTGTGGCGGGAGAGCACAGTGCGGCGCCTCGCCAACCCCGAAGGACGTGACGGGAGATGTCTGGGAGGTGTCTAGGAGGTGCCGCCTTGCTGGCGTGCGAGAGCATCTCCGAGAGCTTCTCTCGCTCCGAAAGAAGATTGAGCTGAGGCAGCGGGTGCACGGCGCCGTCCGAGCCGCGAGAGGTCACCAGCGGCGCGGCTTGCAGCATGGTGAGGTGCAGTCGAGGCTCGGGTGGCGATGGCACCGCCGGCTCTGCAGCCGCAGCCGCCCCGGGAGGCAGCGGCGACGCGTGCGGCGGAAGCGAGACCGAGGCGACGGACGAGTCACGGCTCAGCTCAGTCGGCGCCGGCGCAGCCGACGCCGTGCTGGCGGCGCTCGAGGAGACGCCTGTGTGCAGCGGCGGCGGCAGCCCCTCGAGCAGAGGCAGCGGCAGGAAATCCTCGCCGCTCGAGACGACGACAATGGAGTCGGCGGCCACCTGGAGGCATGTGCTTGGGCTGCGGAGCGCGCCGCAGCGTGCAGCGACACCGAGGGCGCCAAGCGGCTACCTCTTCCAGCTCCTCTATCTCGAAGCCGTCCACCGTGAAGCACCGAGACGCCACGAATGGCTCGTCGTCAGTAGAGAATTTGCGACTGCAGCGGTGCAGAAGCTGCTCCCAGGTGTCAGGCACCACCAGCAGCTTGCCACCGGTGCGTGAACCATTCCGAAGGAGGCGGACCCGCTGCGCCATCGGACACTGTCCGATGGCGATGTAGTGAGTAGGGAGGCGAGCGTAGCGTCGCGCGAGCAGCGGATGGTCCGCGGCGGGGTCGTTGAGGGTGGAGGAGGAGGAACGAGCTTCGCTACGCCACCGCGGCCTCCCGAAGAGCCACGAGACCTCGGGGCTAGCGGCGGCGAGCGCCGCCACACAGGGAGAAATAAATAAATAGAGCGTTCATCTCCAGGGAGAGATGGGCGACGCACAGGAACACAGAGGGACAGTGCGCACCCCGGCCCCGCTCGCAGGGCGTGCATCACACAGGTGGACTGTGTGACTCCTCGGGTTTCTGGGACTCAGAGGTGTGCTAGTCGCTCTTCTCACAACAGCTCGTGTTTTACTTCTTGGCGCTTGCGCCGACCTTGGCGACCTTGGCGCGCACAACAACACACGCACGCACACACGCACACCAAGAGTGGTGTCCGGCATAGCTCGGCGTCCCACACACCACACCGCTCCGCCGCCGCTCCCGTAGGGTCGCGCCACCATGCCCACCGAGGACCGCGACCCCCTCATGTCGAGCGACACGCGGCGAAGCGATGCGCAGCTGCCAGCGGTTCAGGAACAGGTGAACCAGGTGCGCGTCGTCATGCAGGAGAACATGAAGAAGATGCTTGAGCGCGACGAGAAGCTCACGGAGCTGGCTGACAAGTCGCAGAGCGTGGCGCAATCGGCCAACGTCTTCTCAGCCAAGGCGCGCGGTGCAAGGCGGGAGATGCAGTGGAGAGAGCTCAAGTCGAATCTGATGATAGCGTCGGGCTTGATCGGCGCACTGCTACTTTTGCTGTGGTGGTTCGGTGTCTTTAGCGGCGGCGACGAGGAATCGCCTACGCGGAGACTGGCCAGCTTGCGCGACGAGGATGCCGCGCCGCCTTCTTCTCTGCTGTGGTCGTGACGCGCCGCTGTTTGGCACGTGGCTCGCTTGTGGGCCGGCGCGCGCTGCGCCTTCCATGGCGGGCCTTGGTGCAGCGGCTCTTTCGAGCCCCCCTTCTCTATCCTCCGGCGACTGTCTTGTGTCGGCGTGTGCTATGTGTCGGTATTCTCTCTTTATCTGCGGTCTCTTTTTTGGTGGAGGTGTGTGCTACAGTCCGCTGTGTGCGGAGGTATGAGATAGGCACTAAAACACGAGCGCCACTGACACAGCGGCGGACGCTCCACATTGGACGTCTCTAGGCACTAGGGTAGAAGAGAGACGTCGAGAGCGCGGAGCTGCCAGAGCGCCCGCTTTATCTACATCATAACGATATGGACATGAAAGTGTGCTGCTGCTGCTCTCCGGGCAGGAGGGCGGCTCAGGCCGCCGGTGCGGCTTGCGACTCCTCCTCGTGCCGTCGCAAGTCCTCCGCCATGAGGGCGGCGAGTAAGCAGAGGATCATGCGCGGCCGCCCCTCGATCACGTCCTCCCAGGTGGCGAAGACGGTGCAGCCCGCCTTGTGCGCGCACGAGATGGCGTACCGCGCGTTCTGCGCGCGCTCCTCCTCGGTGTCGCCCGGGAGGATGAGCTCCTCGCGGGTGCACTCTGGCGCCACGGCGCGCAGCAGCCGCAGCACGAAGACGCCCGTGCGGATCTGCGCGTCTGCGAAGCCGCGGAGGCGCATCTCGAAGGCGTCGTCGTGCCGGCGCACCTGGCAGTTTGCCCACTCAAGCACGTCGCCCTCCCCGAGGCCCAGCTCGTCGAGGAAGAGGCACACGTGCGCGCGCATCAGCTGCGACGCCATCGACAGGATGTACATCGAGATGCCGTCGGCGAGGTCCTTGCCCGAGAAGCCCTCCACGACGAGGCCGAGGAAGCGCGCGGCGCGGACGGCATGGTTGCAGTTTTGCACGCGCTCGTAGATCGAGCGCGGCTCGAGCAGCACGCGGCTCCAGTCGATGGTGCCCGGCTTGATAAAGTCGACCAGCCGCAGGAAGGCGACGCCGTCGCGGCAGTCCTCGTACAGCGAGGATAGCGACTCGAGCCCCAGCCCAAGCGACGCCATCCACATGCGCAGCGCCGCCTCCTCGCGCGCCTGCGACGGGTTGCTGCGCAGCGCACGGCGGGCCTTGGCGGCCTTGGGCGCGGCGGGCTGCTCAACCAGCCCCGGGTGCGTGTGGAAGATCGCAGCCACAAAGGCGAGCAGCATGCGCGGCCGCGGCGCGGTGAGGTCACCCGCCTGCGGCTCAAACATCTCGACGCCGCCTAACCTCGCCGCCTCCAGCACGCCCTCGGCGCGCTCGGACGTGGAGGACGCGCCGAGGGCGGCGCACGCCGCGTCCCACGCCGCGCTGCGGTGCGGCAGCACCTGGTGCAGCACGATCGCGAGCGCGAGCGCGTCGGCGAGGTCGGCGTGCAGGTTGGTGACGCGGAAGGTGCGCGGGACGGCCGCCTGCTCCGGGCTCGCCTCGAGGTAGCCGCGGATGTGGTGGTTGACCCAGCGCAGCAGCACCTGCTCGGGCCGGTACTTTGCGAGCACCGCCGGGTCCTCGCCGACCAGGCACAGCCCGTTGAGCTGCGGCATCTTGCTCGTCTTGATCGGGCCGAGCAGCGCGCTGCGCGTGAGGTTCCACACGAGCTGCAGCGTGCCCTGCTGGTGGGACGGCGCGTCCACCAGCTGGCGCGGCGAGAGGCCCTGCACGCCGCAGCCGACGGCGGTGACGGCGTTGAGGCACAGGGTCTGGTTCTGCAGCTTGGCGTCGCTGCCGAGGGGGCGACCCTGTGGCAGGTTCAGCGCGCGCGGGTCGAGCGCCGCCGGTGCGACGCGCAGCACAAATTTGGACAGCAGGACGCCGGGCGCGGCCGCCTTGAAGACGGCGTCGCCGCTCGGGTCCATCGGGACGACGTCGCCCGTGTGTGGGTCCCCCTTGAGCGCCCAGTTGAGGTGCTTGACGAGGGCAACGCGCTCCGACTCGTCGATGGGAGTCACCCCGGGCGCGCCCCCGTCTCGACGGCTCCCTCTGCCTGCGTCGGCCAACACAGTGACGCCCGTGCCCAGCATCTGCTGGCGGAGCGGGTCGAGTGCGGCCAAATCGTGGGCTGCAGCGGCGAGGGCCGTGTCTTCGGCGACCGGATCTGTGGCGCCGTGCGGCACAAACGACGGCCCGCCCGCCAGCAAGCCTTGGCCGAGCAGCGCCGGGTTCCCAGCCATAGACGACAGGCCTGTGCTCATGCTGCCGAGGGCGTCCGCGTCTCCACGCGGCGCGCCTTGGCCGCTGCCAACACTGGCCGAGGTGCCGAGCACAGAGCCGTGCACCAGCTGCGCCGGCGGCGCAAAAGCGTGCCCGGGGGCGGCACCGGCCGAGTCGCTGCAAGAAGCGGAGGGCGGCGCGGCCGCCGAGGAGGAGATGGGGAGGCCAGCACCCGCGAGCGAGGAGCTGGCGGAGGCATCGCCGCCGCTGGCTTCCCGCGGGACATGCGCCACGCTCGGCTGCAGGTTCTGGCGCATGGCGAGGTCATCACCGCTGTGCGGGGGAGAGCCCGAGCCCCCGGGGGATGCGCCGTCGGATGGCACCAGGCCGGCCGGGGTCGTTGGAGCGATGCCCGTGCTGAACGGAATCGCGCCCGCCGACGCTCCATCGAGATCAGTCGAGATCGGATGAGGGGCAGGTGGTGCTGCCTGCGGCTGCTGCCCCACGGAGAGGACCTGGCCGTCGCCATTGCTGATCGGCATCGGCACGGCGTTTGTCGCGAGGCCGGCGGACATCGCTGCCGGAGGCGCGTCGAGGCCAGAGGCTGACGATAGCTGCGGCATCGCGGAGGCTGTGGCATTGTCCTGCCTTGGCGTCACGGGTGGAGGCCCGGCGGGAGGAGCGGGCTTCACGGTCGCGGTCCTTGGGGTTTCCATGTTCACGTCGACACCCAAGCTGTCCCGATCGCCTCCCAAGCTGTCTCGGTTCTCAGAGTCACGCTTCTGCGGCGACGGCGGCGACTTTCTTTGCTCGGGCTTTCCGAACCAGGGTTTAAACCAGTTGCCAACCTTATCGAGCAGCGACTGCTCTGTGGCGATCTTGCCGCTCGAGCTCGGTTGGGAAGCCCCTATGAACCCTGGCGGGTCGGTCTGCTGCTGCGACGGCTGCAGCGTCGCCGTCGTTGCGCCCGGCGGAGGCTGCTCGGGCGGAATCGACGCCGCCTCCTCCGGCATAGTCTGAGGCTCCCCTGAGCGCGGCGGCGCGGAGGCAGCGTCCGAGATCGGAGCTGGCGTGTTGGACATGCTCGACGCCATCTGCGGGTCAGTCCCAGGCAGCTGGCTTGGCTGGTATGCGGGCAGAGCCGCAAGCTGCTGCGACGGCTGCAGCGTCGCCGTCGTTGCGCCCGGCGGAGGCTGCTCGGGCGGAATCGACGCCGCCTCCTCCGGCGTAGTCTGAGGCTCCCCTGAGCGCGGCGGCACGGAGGCAGCGTCCGAGATCGGAGCTGGCGTGTTGGACATGCTCGACGCCATCTGCGGGTCAGTCCCGGGCAGCTGGCTTGGCTGGTATGCGGGCAGAGCCGCAAGCTGCTGCGACGGCTGCAGCGTCGCCGTCGTTGCGCCCGGCGGGGCCGGCTGCGGAGGAAGAGACGCCGCCTCCTCAGGGACGTTGCCCGGGTGCGATCGATTCGGCTCATTGCCGGCGTGAGCGATGGGCGGTCCGACGTTCATTGTTGACACCTGCATCACTGGCTGCTGCCTCGGGGTTCGAGGCGGGTGCATGGTCCAGAAGTCCGTGAAGGAAGACGGGCGCTTGGGCAGCGATGGGGCGCTCTCGCCGTCCTCAGGCCGGCCGCCGCCACTCGACGGAGGCCCGCCGCCGCCGCGCTTGGGCAGCGATGGGTCGCTCTCGCCGTCCTCAGGCCGGCCGCCGCCACTCGACGGAGGGTCTCGGGGGCCGCCGCCGCGCTTGGGCAGCGATGGGTCGCTCTCGCCGTCCTCAGGCCGGCCGCCGCCACTCGACGGAGGGTCTCGGGGGCCGCCGCCGCGCTTGGGCAGCGATGGGGCGCTCTCGCCGTCCTCAGGCCGGCCGCCGCCACTCGACGGAGGGTCTCGGGGGCCGCCGCCGCGCTTGGGCAGCGATGGGGCGCTCTCGCCGTCCTCAGGCCGGCCGCCGCCACTCGACGGAGGGTCTCGGGGGCCGCCGCCGCGCTTGGGCAGCGATGGGTCGCTCTCGCCGTCCTCAGGCCGGCCGCCGCCACTCGACGGAGGGTCTCGGGGGCCGCCGCCGCGCTTGGGCAGCGATGGGTCGCTCTCGCCGTCCTCAGGCCGGCCGCCGCCACTCGACGGAGGCCCGCCGCCGCCGCGCTTGGGCAGCGATGGGTCGCTCTCGCCGTCCTCAGGCCGGCCGCCGCCACTCGACGGAGGCCCGCCGCCGCCGCGCTTGGGCAGCGATGGGTCGCTCTCGCCGTCCTCAGGCCGGCCGCCGCCACTCGACGGAGGCCCGCCGCCGCCGCGCTTGGGCAGCGATGGGGCGCTCTCGCCGTCCTCAGGCCGGCCGCCGCCACTCGACGGAGGCCCGCCGCCGCCGCGCTTGGGCAGCGATGGGTCGCTCTCGCCGTCCTCAGGCCGGCCGCCGCCACTCGACGGAGGCCCGCCGCCGCCGCGCTTGGGCAGCGATGGGTCGCTCTCGCCGTCCTCAGGCCGGCCGCCGCCACTCGACGGAGGCCCGCCGCCGCCGCGCTTGGGCAGCGATGGGTCGCTCTCGCCGTCCTCAGGCCGGCCGCCGCCACTCGGCGGAGGGTCTCGGGGGCCTCCGCCGCGCTTGGGCAGCGATGGGTCGCTCTCGCCGTCCTCAGGCCGGCCGCCGCCACTCGGCGGAGGGTCTCGGGGGCCTCCGCCGCGCTTGGGCAGCGATGGAGCGCCTTCTCCGCTCTCCTTCTGCTTTAGCGCTCGAGCCATGGCAAGAGCATCGCGGTCAGGGCCGCTCAAAGCCTTTTCCTCAGCCTCTGAGAGCCCCATTGAGTCCAGCTCAAAGCCACGGCCTAGCCAAGGTCGCCGCGGCACACTGCCCTTCCGCTCGTCGGTCTCAGACGGGTTCGGCAGATTTGGAGCCGCCGAGCCTGCACGACCTGCCTTCCGGGCCTTGCTGAGCGACGCCTCGTCGCCCTCGCCGAGGCTCGGAGCGCTGCCATCGGGCGGGCCGCCTCGGCCGCCGCGCGCGCCCGGCTTGCTGAGCGACGCCTCGTCGCCCTCGCCGAGGCTCGGAGCGCTGCCATCGGGCGGGCCGCCTCGGCCGCCGCGCGCGCCCGGCCTGCTGAGCGACGCCTCGTCGCCCTCGCCGAGGCTCGGAGCGCTGCCATCGGGCGGGCCGCCTCGGCCGCCGCGCGCGCCCGGCTTGCTGAGCGACGCCTCGTCGCCCTCGCCGAGGCTCGGAGCGCTGCCATCGGGCGGGCCGCCTCGGCCGCCGCGCGCGCCTGGCTTGCTGAGCGACGCCTCGTCGCCCTCGCGAAGCGCTCGCACTGCACGTGCAGCAGCGAGTGCCTCGCGGCCAGGGCCACTTAGTGCTAGCTCGTTCGCCTCCGATAGCCCGATTGCATCAAGCTCGAACCCAAGATCAAGCCACGGTCGGTTTGTTCGGCCGATGGGTGCCTCATTGGTCTCGTCAAGCGCGATGTCTTCCGGGTCTAGGCCTTCCTGGCAGCCACGCGCGCCCGGCTTGCTGAGCGACGCCTCGTCGCCCTCGCCGAGGCTCGGAGCGCTGCCATCGGGTGGGCCGCCTCGGCCGCCGCGCGCGCCCGGCTTGCTGAGCGACGCCTCGTCGCCCTCGCCGAGGCTCGGAGCGCTGCCATCGGGCGGGCCGCCTCGGCCGCCGCGCGCGCCCGGCTTGCTGAGCGACGCCTCGTCGCCCTCGCCGAGGCTCGGAGCGCTGCCATCGGGCGGGCCGCCTCGGCCGCCGCGCGCGCCCGGCTTGCTGAGCGACGCCTCGTCGCCCTCGCCGAGGCTCGGAGCGCTGCCATCGGGCGGGCCGCCTCGGCCGCCGCGCGCGCCCGGCTTGCTGAGCGACGCCTCGTCGCCCTCGCCGAGGCTCGGAGCGCTGCCATCGGGCGGGCCGCCTCGGCCGCCGCGCGCGCCCGGCTTGCTGAGCGACGCCTCGTCGCCCTCGCCGAGGCTCGGAGCGCTGCCATCGGGCGGGCCGCCTCGGCCGCCGCGCGCGCCCGGCTTGCTGAGCGACGCCTCGTCGCCCTCGCCGAGGCTCATCGCATCTGCATCTGGGGGACCGCCTCGGCCGCCGCGCGCGCCCGGCTTGCTGAGCGACGCCTCGTCGCCCTCGCCGAGGCTCATCGCATCTGCATCTGGGGGACCGCGCGCTTTGTCGCGCCTGCCCAGTTGGCTTAGCGCAGCCTCACCGGCCTCCTGGAGGGAGGTCTTGCGAGCGCGCAGCGCGCGGGCAGCAACGAGTGCGTCACGGCCCTGGCAACTCAGAGCCGCCTCCTCAGCCTCGGATAGTCCGAACGAGTCCAACTCGAGGCCAAGTTCGGTCCACGGCCGATTCTGCATGCTTGTCGGTGCCTCTGCGCCCTCCGAGCTTCCCACCGGCCCAGTTCCAGTGACGAGAGCACCTCGGCCGCCGCGCGCGCCCGGCTTGCTGAGCGATGCCTCCTCACCCTCAGCAAGGTCGGGAGCAGCCGCATTCGGCAGGGAGAGGAATGCGGCGACCGCAAGAGCCTTGGGCTTGCCGCGGCTGAACCAACCTCGCTTGCTGACCGATGCCTCCTTGGCCTCCACCAGATCAGGCGCCCCCAGATCGGGCAAGGCGGCAGCGGCCCTCGCCGCCTGGCTGAGCGCCGCCTCCTCTGCCTCCTTGCGCCCACGCAACACGCGAGCAACGTGCAGGGCGTCTCGGCCTTGGCAGCTGAGAGACCTCTCATCCGCCTCGGCCAAGTTCGCGGCGTCGAGCTCGCGACCAAAGTCGATCCACGGCCGCAGCGAGCCCATGCTGAGGGCCGCCTCCTCGCCCTCGTCCAGCCCGAGCGCCCCGCACGCCTTGAGTGCTCGTGCCGCGGCCATGGTGTCCCGCGCAAAGAGGCTGAGCCCGCGCTCCTCCTCCTCGCTCAGGCCAGCCGCGTCGAGCTCCAAGCCCATCTTGATCCACTTCTTCCCGAGTGCGCTGGGCGCCGCCTCGCCTTGCTCGGTGAGGTCGAGCGCGTCTCCAAACGAGTCACGGGCGCGGAGCATTCGCGCCGCCGTCCTCGCGTCGCGGGCAAAGCGGCTAAGCCCCTCCTCGTCCGCCTCGGAGAGAGCCGCCGACTCGAGCTCGCGGCCAAACTCGAGCCACGGCCGGTTGTGGGCGGACAGCTCGGCCTCGCCCCGCTCGTCGAGGTCGGGGGCGACGGCGAGGCGGTGCGCGCGCGCAACGACGAGCGCGTCCCGACCGAAGCTGCTCAGCGCCTGCTCCTCGTACTCCTCGAGGGTGGCCGAGTCGAGGTCCAGGCCAAAGTCTCGCACCTCGTGCCGGGAGCCGCGCCGGCCGATGCTCGGTGACGACTCGTCGCCCTCGGCCTCGCGCGTGCGGCATATCCGCGCAAAGGCCATCGCGTCTCGCGCAAAGCTGCTGAGCTCGAGCGCCTGGTGCTCGTCGAGGCCCGAGTCGTTGAGCTCGAGGCCGTAATCCAGCCACGCGCGGCCGCCGCCGCGGCTCGGCAGCCGTTCGGCGCCCTCGCCGAGTCCGAGCGGCTCGCGAGCACGAATGGCGCGCGCGGCGGCCATGGCGTCGATGGCAAAGTTGCTCAGCGCCGCCTCCTCCGCCTCGGTGAGGTTGGCCGCGTCGAGCTCCATCCCGAGCTCCATCCATGCGCGGTCTGGCCGGCTGAGCGCTGCCTCGCCGCCCTCCTCGAGGCTGAGCTCGTCCCGGTCGCGCAGAGCGCGGGCGGCGATCATCGCGTCGCGCGCGAAGCTGCTGAGCCCGTCCTCCTCCTCCTCGGTGAGGCCGGACTCCACGAGCGCGAGCCCAAAGTTGATCCACTCGGAGCGGCTCGCGCTGGAGGGGGCGCTCTCCAGCACCTCGAGCAGCTCGGGCGCGTCGCGCGCGTGCAGCACGCGCACCACGGCGAGCGCGTCGCGGCCAAAGGTGGAGAGCATCGCCTCCTCCTCCTCGGTGAGACCGGCGGCGTCGAGCTCAAGCCCGATCGTCATCCACTGCCGGTGCGACGCGCTGAGCGCGTCGGCGAGGTGCTCTCGGTCGCGGGCGCGCATCGCTCGCGCCGCAATCAGCGCGTCGCGCCCGCGGTCGCTCAGGTCCGCCTCCTCGAACTCGCCGATGCCAATCGTGGCGAGGTCCATGCCAAAGGCGATCCACGGGGAGGGCGTCTTGCTGCTCAGAGCGCCCTCGCTCCCCTCGGCCAGCTCGAGCCCGCCCTGCGCCCGCAGAGCGCGCGCGGCGATGAGCGCGTCGCGGCCGGGCGCACTCAGCGTCTGCTCCGCCTGCTCGTCGAGGGCGGCGCGGTCGAGCTCCGCGCCGAAGCCGATCCACGGGTTCATTGCCACGGCGAGCTTGGCAGTCTGCCACGGCTTGCGCCTCATCGACGGCACCGACGCCTCGCCGCGGGGGGTGCCGTGCACGTCGTAGTCGCCGCGCGCCTGCATCGCGCGCGCGACCGTCAGGGCGTCCCGCGCGAACGAGCTGAGGCCGGCCTCCTCCGGCTCGCTCATCTCGACCGACGCGAGCTCGAACCCAAAGTTGAGCCACTGGTCGTCCGCCTGCAAGTGCTCGAGCGGCACCGAGGAGGCGGCGAGCGCGCGCGCGTCGTTGAGCGCGTCGCGGCCGCGCGCGGTGAGCTTCATTTCGTCCGCTGGCGTGAGGCGCGCCGACGCGAGGGCGATGCCGAGCTCCATCCACCGCTCGGTCTCGGCGCCGTGCTCATGGCTGCGCCGCTGGCTCTGCCGCACGCTCTCGCGGAGGCTCTCGCGCCGGCTGCTCACCTCCTGACTGCTGCGCCGGCTCCTGCGCTCGCTCTGGCGGTAGCTCAGGTCGGGGTTGAGGCGCGGGTCGTCGCGCGCGCTGTCGAGATCCGGCCGTGCGCTCGAGCTCACCACACCGAGCTGCAGCGGCTTGACGGTCGGCTGCCCCGGCGCACCCGTCCGTCCAAGTACGAGCGGCCTCCCGGCGGCGCCGCGGCCGCGGGCGCGCTGGACGCGGGCCGCGATGAGCGCGTCCCGGCCGCGCGGCGTCAGCTCGGTCGCCTGCCCCTCCGTCAGCTTGACACCGAGGAGCTCGCGCCCCAGGTCGAGCGTGAAGGGCTGTGCCACGGGCGCCGGCGGCGGGGCGCCGGCCCCGCCGCCGGCCGCCGCGCGGGCGCGCCGAGCGCGGCCCACCCTCGCTGCGACGAGCGCCTGCCGCGCCACACCGCTCAGCTTGACCTCCTGGTCGGCGGTGAGGCCGAGGGCGAGCAGCTCGCTCCCCAGCTCGACCGCCTCTTTGAGTTCGCCAGAGGTGGCTCGCTCCGGCACGGCGGGGGCAGCGGCGGAAGCGGAGGCGGCGGCGGCGGCGGCGGCCGCAGCAAGCCCTCCAGCGCCACGTGCGCTCGGCGGCGGAAGGCCGCGCGACGTGAGGTCGGGGTTGAGGCGCGGGTCCTCGCGGGCGCTGTCGAGCTCGGGCCTGGCGGACGAGCTGGCCACGCCGAGCTGCAGCGGCTTGACACCGAGCGGCTGCTGGGCTGGCGGCTGCCCTGGAAGCTGGAGCGGCCTCATGGTGAAGGGCTGCGCCGCCGGCTGCTGCGGCTCTTGAGCGGCCTGCGGTTGCTGCGGCTCTGCGACGGGCCGTCCGCGCGCCGAGGCGAGCGGCGCTTCGCCGCGCGCGGAGGCGAGGCCGCGCGCCGAGGCGAGGGCCTCCTTGCCGCGCGCGGTGAGCTTGCTAGCCTGCGCGTCGCTCAGGCCGAGCTCGAGCAGCTCGCGCCTGGGCACATACCCGCACAGACTTAGCGTGGCTGCAGCCGCGCCGTCGGTCGTGGCGGTGCGGCGTGGCGATGCGGAAGTGGAGGCGCCACACAGCCCGGCGGCGGGTGGGTGCGGAGGGAGGGAGGGAGCGTCTCGAAAGGTGAGTGTCTCGGAAGTGTCTCGCGCCCGAAGTCGAGCTTGAAGGGCATCGGCTTTGGCGCGGCGCTCTCGTCGGTCGCTCGCAGCTCGCGCAGCACCTCAACCTCCTCGTCCACCTCCTTCACGCGGGAGTCGGCCGCAGCGTCAAAGGAGACCCGCTTGCGAGGCCCGCGAGCCGTGAGGAGAGCCTCCTTGCCCTCGATGCTCAGGTCTCGCTCCTAAGCACGCGGCGAACGTGGTGAGGGAGGGCAGGGAGGGGCAACACGCCGGTGCTTCGAGGCCTGATTCGCGGTCAAGTTGAGGCGCGCGAGCTGCTGGCCAACGTCTTCCGTCACCGCCGCCCGCGCGGCCGGGTCAGCTGGCTTGGCAGTCGGCGGCACCGCGCCGAGGTTGCCTCGGCGAGGCACCTGGCGGGCAGACGGAAGCGCGCCGTCGGTCGGCAGGCCGCGAGCCGACTGAAGCGCCGCCGGACGCGAAGACGAGTAGCCGCGAGGCTCGGTCGGCACACGCAGCGGCTTGACGCCGGCCGTCTTTGCATTTTGCCGCGCCACACCGGCGCCGCCTCGAGCGCTCTGCAGCGCCAGCGATTGGGTGTCGCGCCCGACCGGCGTCAAGTTGAGCGGAGCCGGCGCAGGCGCAGGCGGCTTCGCCTTGGCCTGCTTTTTGCCGCCGCCGAGCTGCTTTTTTAGGCTCTTGAGCATGGTCGCGGCGGCTGGCCGGACGGCCAAGAGCTCGCAATCGACGGCTCGGAAACTGTATCGAGGTCTCGAGGTGGATACGATTTCCTTTGGCCGCGTTGGGTAGCGAGGATTGGTGTGACGCGGTCCACGCAGGCGTGTGTTTTCTGACGGCCGACCGTCAGTGCACGGAGTTGCCCCCCCTCGCTAGTTCCTGAGTGAGTGAGGTTGCGCGGGAGGCCAGGGAGTGAGAGCAGTGACTCAAAGAGGTCGAGCCGCACTAGTGGGGTGTCTCCGAGCTTACTGGAGCTCTGATTGACGGCCCTGACTATCCCTGACACACAGAGAGTCACTCTGACGGCACACAACACCCTATAACTGCGTCATGACCAGCCTGCCATGCGTCGCCGGTGCCGCATTCGTCGCAGTGCTTCTTTAGCAGGCGGTGGGCTGTCGGCTGCGAGGACGGTCGCATTTGCGCGAGGCGAGGCGAGCATTGCTGCGCGTTGCATGCGCCATGCCTCGCGCCAGCGCGTGCGGGAGCTCCTGGCTGAGCGTTGAGTCCAGGTGAGTTGCGCTGGCCACTATCGCTGCGCCGAGCCGAGCTGACGCGCCGAGGCGCCGGCCAGTCGCAGCCGTGAGGCATGCCACAGCAGCAGAGGCACCTGCCACCCATTGGGCGGGTAGACAGAAGGCCAGGGCAGCACTGGCAAGTGCAACGCGCCTCATGTCGGAGAGCGACCGTGCCTCGTTCGCCGCTTATGATGTAGAGTTTGTTGTAGAGACTTCACGTTGTAGAGCGCCTCTACAACGCTCTACAACGCACCCGCATCGTCACGCGGCGGATGTAGAGCTCTACAGCTCTACAGCGCTCCAGAGCGCTCTACATCTCTACAGCTCTACAGCGCTCTACACTCTACATCCTCTACACCCTCCCTCAGTCGGCGCCCGGACGTTTGAGATGTTTGTCATCGACTGCCGCGAGGAACTCTTGCAGTGGTACTCACGCCAAGGCTACATGCCGCGCGCCGACAGTCCACGGTGCCCTTTCCTGTCGATGCAGGCGTCGGCACGCCGCGCGCTGATGTGGGCACGCTACATACTCATACAGTTCATCCGCCTTGCAGTAACGTGTGCCGTCTTGCGCGCAATGTCCCCACACGAAAAAATAGAAAATCCAAACGCGCTTCGGTTCGCTTGCTGATTGAGGATCGGCCATGGCCGCTCTCGCCACCGTGCTGCAGGCGATCGACGAGCGTGTCTCGCTGAAGCACGTCCACCGGCGGCTGCAGGCCTTCGCGCGCGTCCTGATCGTCGGAACCTTCATGGACGACGCGCTGCGCGTGATGTGCGACTACCGGGGGCAGGCGGCGACGATGAAGTCAGTGGGGTGGGGCGTCTCGCTGCCGCCAGGGTCGCAAGCGGCCGTGCAGTCGCTGATGCCCTCGGTCTTCATCGCGACGCAGACGATCGGCGTGCTGCTCATCCTCACGCGGCTCGCGCCGCAGGCGGGTTGCCTCGTCCTCGTGGCGTGGGCGGGCGTGCACCCGTTCATGTACGCGCAGCAGAAGAACCTCGAGTTCCTGCTGGAGTCGGTCACCATCATCGGCGGCCTGCTCATTCTGCTCACATCGGAGCGCGCCATCGCCACGCGCGAGCGGCTGCTGAGCGGCGGCGGCGGCGTGCTCGGCACGCCGGCGGAGCAAAAGGAGGCGCAGGCGAACGAGAAGAACCAGCTGCTCTTCGCGGGCCGGCTGATGCTCTGCGCCGTCTTCGTCTACTACTCGGTCAAGATGAGCATCGAGCGCGTGCAGGCGCCGCCAGAGAGATCCGCTCCCCACCCCTCCGCAACTCCCCAGCTGCCTGCCCGAGACCCTCAGCTCTCTCGGCCCTCGGCTCTCTCGGCCTTCTCTCGTCGGCCCTCTCCTCGCCGCGCTGAGCGAGGGCCGGCGTCGCGCGCGGTTGCGGCGCAGGCGCTGCTCGGCGGGCCGATCAACCACGAGGACCCGATCCACGCTCTCTTTGCGCTGTTCGTCCTGCTGCTGCTCGTCTCTGGCACGAGCAGCCCCGCCGCCCCCCTCTGACCCTCCCCTCCCCGCCACACGCGTGCGCCCTCCCTGCCGGTCGCCTCTCCGGCCACCGCCCCACCCGCGCCGCCGCCGCGCTCGCTCGTCTCCCGTTTCCGCGCCTCCAGGGCTGGGCTCGACTCGCCTCCCCCGTGTCTCTGCCGCAGGCACGGGCCTGATCATTGTGGGCATCAAGTCCCGGTGGTGCGCGATGGGGCTCGCGCTCGTGATGGGGTGCGCCGCGCTGTACAAGCACCCGTGGTTCATCACGATGTGGTCCTCCAACTCCTTCAAGCTCGACTTCGTGGTCGGGTACGAAGACGTGCAGGCGGCCGGGGCCCCTCGCAATCCCCCACCGCACACACGCACTCCCCCCCGGCACCTCTCGACCCACAGCACCCTCCCCCTCCCCTTGTGGCGGTGCAGGTGGACGCGTGGCTCTACTCGGACCACCAGCGCTACTTCTTCTTCCAGCAGCTCTCGACCGTCGGCGCGCTGCTGCAGCTTGTCGCGCACGGGCCCGGCCAGTTCTCGGTCGACGAGGCGGACGCCGAGTCCATCACAATCACGTCGATCACCTCGAAGGGCGCCGACTGAGCGGGCGCGCCGCCTCGCACCAGTGGCGCTCGGCTGCGGCGCCGCAACGCCCCCCCTCTATTTTCGGTTCATAGAGATCTGTGAAAGGCGTGCGGGGGTGCAATGCCACGAATGGATTCTCCCTATTTTGTATTTAGTATTATCGGCGAGCAAGTCAAAGCAGAAGTTAGGTTAGGAGGTAGGAGGGAGAAAATGCAGCGGGAGAAAAGAAAATACGAAAAAATCCGCACATCATTCCGGGATGGTTGGCTTGCGGCCACCCATGCTGCCCGCGGCTTCAGCCCCTCTCGAGACGTGCCCGCTCGAGCTGCCTGTGATGCCAGACCCGTCCTCGTGTCCAGACGCTCCGCCGGACGATGATGAGCCGCCCGCGCTGTGGCCCATTCTCCGGCCGCTGCTGCTGCCGTACTTTGCTCCGGGCTTGCTGCGAGCCGCAGGCCAGATGACGCTCAACCCGTTTGTCGCTCTCTACGCGCGCGAGCTCGGCGCCACCGACTCGGGAGCCGGCGCCGCCGTGAGCATGGTGTCGCTCGCCACATTTTGCCTCTCGCCCGCCGCTGGCCTCGTCTCCTCGCGCCTCGGCTTGCGATTAGCCATGGGCCTCGGAGTCTGCGTGAACATCTGCGCCGCACTCGTCGGTGCAGCGGCGGGGTCCTATGACTGGCTCGTCGCGAGCCGGCTGCTGCAGGGCGTCGGCAACGTCCTCTTCCAGATCTCACGCCAGACGTTCCTGACTGCGGTCGTCCCAAAGCCGGCGCGCGGCCGGGCATCCGCTCTGCAGGCCTTCACGCTCAAGGCGGGCGGCGTGGTCGGCCCGACGATCGGCGGGTCCGTTAGCCACAGGGTGGGCTTGCCGTCGCTGTTTTGGCTGGCGGCCGCCGTCCACGCCGCCACGCTCGCGCTGCTCTGGCTCTTCTTCCCGCGCGGAGGCGCGGCGGCGGCGGCCGGCACCGCCCGGCCGTCAGGTCCGGCGGCGGCGGCGCCACCGTCGGTCCGCGCGATGCTGTGCCGCCCTCCGGTGCTCTGCGCGGCTCCGGCCGTGATGGCCCTCGCGCTGTGCGGCGGGCTGCGCGGTTTCCTGCTGCCGCTCAAGTGCGCCGCGCTTGGGCTCGAGCTGTCGGGCACCGGCCTGGTGTCGGCCTTCTCGTTCAGCTGCGACCTCCTCTTCGTGCCTCTGAGCGGCCTCCTGCTCGACCACGCCGGCCGCAAGGCAGCGGCAACCACATCCCGCCGAGACACCTCCAAGACACCTGCATCCGAGACACCTCCGAGACACCTCCGAGACACCTCCACCTCCGATCCGAGACACCTCCGAGACACCTCCGAGACACCTCCGAGACACCTCCGAGACACCTCCGAGACACCTCCGAAGCTTCCGGGACACTCCCGCCCTCCTCCAGGCGGCGGGCGTCGCCTCTCTGTCCGGCTCAGGCGCCGCCTTGTGGCGAGATTAGCCGAGATTAGCCGAGATTACCCCCCTCTCTGTCCGGCTCAGGCGCCGCCCTGCTGCTCCTCTCGTCGGTGCACAGCATCACGTGGCTGTGGGCCGCCGCGGCGCTGCTGGGTGTCGGCATCGGCCTCTCGGGCGGCGCCATCTTTGCCCTGGGCAGCGATCTCGCGCCGGAGGACGAGACGTCGCGTAGCAAGTTCCTCGGCTGGTGGAAGATGGTGCCGCAGGCGGGGAAGCTCTCTGCGCCGCTCGTCGCAGGACTCCTCTCGGAGCACGCGTCGCTCGACGCCGCGGCGCACGCCCTCGCCATGGTGGCGCTCGCGAGCGCGGCGTGGTTCGCCGTGATGGGCGTCGAGACGCTCGACCGGAGAAGCCCTTCGCAGGCCGGCTCGTCACGGGGCAGGGCGGCGCGCGGCTACAAAAGCGTCCAAGCGCGAGCTGAGCACATCGCCTTACGGGAGGCTGCAGTGCCAGTGGTCCCGGTGGGATCAGCCGCGTGTGACGTGACTACTGCCGAACGCGAACAAATCTAACTTCTAACACCCACAGTAAGGTCTATACGAAGGAGGTCATGGACATGCGATGCGCCACACTGAGCCCTGGCTATCAGGCTGTCAGGTGCTGTCAGGTGATCTGTCGGGCTGTCGGGCACTGTCAGGCACTGTCAGGTGCCTCTGTCAGACCAGCTGTCAGGTGCTGTCAGTGCTGTCGGGTGCTGTCGGGTGCGTGTCTGACATCAGAGGGGATCTGTAGCTGTCGGGTGCTGTCGGAGCTGTCGGGTGTTGCTGTCAGACGCTGTCGGAGCTGTCAGAGCTGTCAGGCTGCTGCTGCTGTCAGACGTTGGGCCGGTGCTGTCAGGAGTCAGGTGCTGTCAGGTGGTGCTGTCAGCTAGGGTGCTGTCAGGCTCTGACACTCACCAGCCACACTTATGACACTATCAAGAGTAGACCGCAGCCAGTGAGAGTCGTAGATCCACACCAGAGATCCACACAGTAGGTCTCCTGGGGAGCGCAGATGGCGGCGCAGGCGCAGGCCGCGGCGGCGGCACAAGCGGCGGCGGCCACCCCCACCCAGACGCCGTAGGCACAGATACTGTAGGGCGCCCCACAGAAGGCTAGCTGGTAGCTTCATCTGTAGTAGCACAGCCGCCGGTGCTAGGGGGGTCCGCAGAGGTGAGGCGGGAGGGTTGAGAGTCAGAGAGAGACCCATGATGAGACCATCCCATGACCACATGATAGTTTTGCATGCAATAGTTTTGTTCAACTCTCATGGGGCACAAGAAAGAGGCTGTGTGTACGGTCTGTGTACGGTCTGTGCTGCTGTCGGGCTGGTCGGGCTGTCGGGCTGTCAGCGCTGCTGTCAGGCCACTGTGTGCTGTCGGGCTGTCGGGCAGCTGTCAAGCTGTCACGTTAGGGCCTGACAGCGACGGAGCACCTCGCCTGTCAGACTCTGCTGTCAGGCTGTCAGATACGTGCTCGTGTCAGGCTGTCGGAGAAAGTGCTGTCAGCGCTGTCAGGCTGTCGGGCACTGTCAGGCGCTGTCCGGGGTTTGCTGTCAGGCTGTCAGACCAGGGCTCAGGCGCCACATATACATTGCGATATATACTCATCAACGCCAAGGCAAGAGCACCCCCATCTCCCACTTTGAGAGAGACTCTCTCGAGTCTCGTTGAGGTTGACCGGGAAACCGGCCGCCATACATGCCATGTGTGCCTGGGGCCCTGGCCAAGAAAAAACGCTAAAACGGACGAGAAATGCTGATCCTCTCGGCCCACAGCCACACCTTGTTGTGTATGTTGAGCACTTGAGCGCCACTGAATAGGGTCGCATTCCGCACGATAACGCTACTTGACGTACTTTTAGCTTACTGGGAGTCAGAGAGAAGGGAGAGGTGGTTGTGTTCTCTACAGGCCCCAACTGCCCAAGGGCCCTCATTTGTGTAACCACGATCGACGCGAGGACGCAAGTCCACATCAAACTCGGCCATTCCAACGGCCAGACCGCTCGCTTAAGGCTGATTGGCTAAGACGAGCGGTCTACCTCCAACGGGACGGTCCGGGAACGCGTGGAACCTGCCCGCCTCGGTGGGAGGTGGTTTGGCGCCGACGGACCGCCCTCTCCACCACCCCCGCCCAGGGATCTACAATGCTGTCTTAAGGTTCGACCTGTGGGCTCTGCCTGCGCTCGGCACCGGGCACCGCCTCGGTCGGTATACAAAATGCGCCTGCGGGCGGACCCTTACAGATCACAGATCACGATATGGTACGGGACCCCTCGATCGTCTCGCCCTCCCTCCTCACTGGGGGGGGGGGGGGGGAGAGAGAGAGAGAGAGAGGCTCACTGGTTGGTGTGTTCATTCATTAGGGGGGGGGTCATTAATACAAACAGTACAGGATCGATCGAGGAAGAACAGTGCCGTCCCCCCTCTCCATCCAGCATCTCAGAAAGAAAAGAAAGAAAACAGACAACCCAAGGGAGGGATGGGAGCAGGGAGGACGGCACGCCGCCACCACACAGGGATTTTAAGGAGAGGTGTGTGATGCGCTAGCCGTCGCCCACCCTAGGGAGTCTGCCTCTTCCTATCTCTCTTCGCAGTCTCTCTCCGATTCTCGCTGCAACCTTCATGTAGAGCTGTCAAACGTTAAGAGCTGAACAGTGTTGCTAGTGTTAACAGTAACAACAGAACAACAGTGGGGCTCCCCAACAACAGTAGCTAACGTTAGGCCAGCTGAACAACAATAAGGAAGGCCTGGCAGTGACCCACGACGATCTCCAGCGTCCAGTGCGGGTAATACCCGAAAATACCTGGAAAAACCCAGGTATTTTCGGGTTTTACCCGGGTTTTTTGGCATTTTCTGCTTGCTGACCACTGAACAACAGTAACAACAGTAACAAACAGTAACCGCTTGGGCTGGGGAGAACACTTGAACAACGTTGAGGATTTTCAGCCAACAATAGTGCAACTGTTAGGCCCAAAGTTAACGTTTGACAGCTCTACCTTCATGCCACCTCGCGGTCGTCCCACTCTCGTCGTTCTCTCCCTTGTCATTTCCTCCTCTGTCGCGTCGTTCCCTTCTGCCTCGTCCTGTGACGCCGCCGCCTGCCGGTCCCTTGTTCTCGCGGCTTCTTTCGCCTTTCGGCGCAACTCCGTCCTCCTCGCGGCGTATCCTGGCCCCTCGAGTCTATCGAGCTCCCCTCGCGCAAGGACCACGTTTCTGACTCCCACTCCGATCATTTGCCTACAGGTCATGTTGTTGCTCAGGTCCACCATCCAGCATCTCATTCGGAGACTCAAAAAGCTTAAATTCTTTCTTTCTGGAAAAGAAAAACGTTGGCGCGGCACGGGGCACTGCGGAGCAGCATGACAGGTGCTGCCGCCCCAGCATCGGCGCCTCACATGATGGGGACCCGTTACCTTGGCCGAGGGCCACCCAGCACGTCCCCGCCCGCCGCCGCCCGCCTCGAGCGGATTCCCTCTCAAGGCGCCATACCGATCGCGTCGCCGCCTCCCCGCTGCACAGGCGCTGCTATCGCGGCGCAGGTGGAGCAGAACCAGCGGGCGTTCCAGAAGCAGGACAACATCTTCGTTGGGAAGAAGCGGGTGCTGGGCAAGAAGACTACTCTGAAGGAGTCGCGCTACTACAAGTCTGTTGGCCTTGGCATCAAGACGCCGCGCACCGCGATTGAGGGGACGTATGTTGACAAGAAGTGCCCGTGGACGGGCTCGGTCAACATCCGGGGCAAGCTCATCACGGGAGTCATTAAGACCACCAAGATGAAGAACACCGTCATCATCCGCAAGGACTACCTGCATTACATCAAAAAGTACAACCGGTTTGAGAAGCGGCACAAGAACACGCCGGTCCACGTCTCGCCTGCCTTCCGTGTCAAGGTCGGCGACGAGATCCTCGCGGGGCAGTGCAGGCACGCGCGCCCCGCACCACCCGCTCCCCCCCCCCCCCCCCCTCTCCTCTTCGAATCTCCGGCGCCAAGGGTGGAGGCGGGCCGGCCGCCGCAGTGCTGCGGACGGGAGAGAGGTCGGGGCGCCGCCAGCTGCGCAAACCGCGACGACCCGACACGTCGCCCGCTACCGCCGGCGGCTGGGGGAGTTTGGGGTGGGGGGGGGGGGGGACAACTTAGGGAGGTTTAACGGGTGCGGGTGCGGGGGGGGTTGGGGGTTTTGTTTAAAAAGGGGGGGGGGGGGGTTTTCCACCGGGTTCTGGAGGAGGAGGAAAGGGGGAGGTGGCTCCCCCGGTTCCGGTCCCCCTTTTGCCCCCCCTTTCCCGCCCCCATTTGTTGGCCCCCCCCCCCCCCCCCCCTCCTTTTCTCTTGTCTGCCAACCATCGGCTAGCTGCACACCCGCTGAGCACCCCGCGCCCACCCCCACCCCCAGGCCCATCTCGAAGACCGTGCGCTTCAACATGCTGAAGATCACGCGAGCGGCTGCCGGTGGCGACAAGAAGGGCTTTGCGGGCATGTGAGCGTTTATCGTGACAGAGACGCACCGGGGCAGCGGGCAGCCCCGGGGCACACTACTTTGAGGGTCTTAAACGTGGTTTTAAATCGATTAAACTGAAGAGTGTCAGGTCGAAAAACACCACATCTTGAGTTGCGTAGCGGCACGTGCGCGCCCAGCTACGAGAAGAAGTAGGGTGACTGCCTCACCACGTCGAGGTCGAGGTTGCCGCGCTTTGGCAGCTGCAGCGCCCCGCCCCGCCCGTCCCACCGCACGCGCGCGCAACCGGGCTGACTGCAGCGCCTCGGCCTGGTGTCATCGTCGCGATCGCCCACGCCGCGCACCGCCCGCCCCTCGAAGTGCTCGCACGCTGCCCCGCGCCCGAGGCTGCAGCTGTGCCTGGCTCTCCACTCGCCGAGCAGGGCCTGCAGCAGATTGGGGCGGTGCAGCTCGACGAACTGGTCGCGCAGGAGGGCGCCGAGCGCGTCGGCGTCGCACGCGTGCGACCAGAACGAGTCGTGCACCGCGGCGAACGCGATGCCCGCCTCCCTCGCCGCCGAGGCGGTCATGAGCATGTGGGACGAGTCGAGCGAGTGGACGTAGTTTGGAGGGATGCCCATCACCTGCGGGGCGAGTCAGTGGGAGGGGCGTTGGGGGGGGTAGGGGGGGGGTAAGGGGGGGAATAAGGGGGGGGGGGTGGCATGGGCGAGGTGCAGCCGAGGTGCGGCCGAGGTGCTGCCGAGGTGCTGCCGAGGTGCTGCCGAGGTGCTGCCGAGGTGCAGCCGATCGGGTGTGGGGAGGGCGATCACCTGCCGGCGCACGTCGACGGGCTCGTCGTCGCTGGTGCCCATGTCGCTCAGCGTGAGCCGCTGCAGCACGGTCCGTATCTCGCGCCGGCGCGGCTTGTGGTACGGCTGCACCACGGGGAGGCCGAGCGGCGTCGTCCACTCGACAGGCGAGCCCGCCTCGTGCCCGATGGCGGAGGCGCAGCTCGCTAGCCACTCCATCGCAACCATCGCCGGCTCGAACACCTCGCCGAGCGAGGACATCGTGTGCTTGGCCAGGTAGGACGCGAGGCGCGTGTACTGCCGGTCGGGCTGCGCCGCCGCCTCGACCTCCGCCGCCAGCTCGGGCAGCTCCCTCAGCCGGCGCTCGATCTGCTCGCGCATCCCAACGAAGGTGACGCCGTACACGGTCGTCATCACCGACTGCTTGACCACCTTGCGCACCAGGCGGCCGTCCAGCTGCAGCGCCAGCTCGCGCGCCTCCCCCTCCGCCTCCGCCGCGTCGGCCGCAACCTTGCGCTTCACGACCTCGAGCACGCCGGCGTACACGTCCGCGGGCCGCTCGCCCGGCGTCAAGTTGACGTGCCGCCCGCCCATCTCGTCCCGCCCGAGCGCGGCATAGTGCTGCAGCCCGTTGCAGGACCCGTCCTACGGCAAGGCTCCAGGAAGGTTCCGAAACGGCGCGGCGCGGTGCTGCAGCCCGTCGCTCGAGCCCCGTCCTGCGCCACCGGGATCGCGGACAAGTGTGCCGCGGGGTCGGCCGACGCGTGCGCCGCAGCGAGGTCGCACGCAACCTACGGGACGGCTCTCCACGCGTGGGGGGGGGGAGGCCCCGCGCACGCCTTCCGACGAGGCGCGTGCCCCACCGCGTAGAGCTGGAACGGGTTCTCCGCGCCAAGCAGCCACGCGCGGTTCTCCTCGTCGAGCGGCGCGCTCGCAACCGCCGCGATCCGGCCAGAGGCGAGCTGCGCGTCGACCCACTCGGCGCGCTCGTGCAGCGGCAGCTTGTCGTGCCCGTAGAGCGAAGCGGCGTGCACCTGTTCCCAGCACACACCGTGAAGCGGCGCCGCTCGCAGCCTGCGCCGCCCGCGGCGCGAGGGCGAGTCCTTGAGCCAGCGAAGCCCCGCCTCGCCGACCGGCCTTGGCTCGGCGTACTGCAGCAGCCCGCGCGCCAAGTCGTCGCCCACCACCGAGAGGTGGGGAGAGCACGGGTACGCGCGGCCGCGAAAGTCGAGGTTGTACGCAAAGTAGAAGGTCTCGCCGGCGAGCTGCCGCGCCACGCCCAGCTTGAGCTGCAGCGCGCAGCGCAGCGAGTGGTCCTCGGCGTTGAGCTTGTCGACGAGCCGGCTCTGCCGCCGCCACTCGCGCACCGACGCCCGCACCGCCCCCGCTACTCCGCCGCCGGCGGCAGAGCCGTCGCCCCCCTCCTCGTCGCCGCCCGCCCGCACGGGCGGCGGCTGCGGCGGCGGGCGGGGCAGCTGCCTCGGGACGAGGCCGAGGCCGCACGGGTGGCGCGCGAGCACGGACTCGACCAGAGCGAGCACGCGCCCGTTGACTCGCCAGCCCGTGGCGGCGCACGCGTTGAGGCCGTCGAAGACGGGGCGCAGCTGCGCGCCTGCGGACATGACTCGCACTCGGGCTCAGGGAAGGCTCACGCGCTCGCGATGCCTCGACCACAAGCTGCGCGCGCCGTCCGCCTCGGCGAGCCGCGAGAGCGCGCGCCGCGAGAGAGTGCGCATGAGCGGCGAGGGCGTGTGGTAGAAGCCGCCCACCGGAGCCCGGCCCGGCTCCTTGTGCCACGCGAGGGGCGGACTCACCTGTTCACACAGATCACGCCGTGGAAGAGACGCCGCTCCGACCCCGCGACACGCTGCGAGGGGGAGGGCGCACCATCGGGGACTGCTCGGGCAGCACCAGCCGCCGCACCGCGGACGGATCGCCGAGCAGCAGCGGAGGGAGCGCCGCGTGCATGCGGATGTAGCCCCGCGCCTTGACCCCGCCCTCGTGCCCCCTCGCGACGTGGTGCGCAAACGCCTTTGCGAGGCCGCACGCCGCCGCGCCCCCCTCGGGCGGGGCGGCGGGCGGCGCGGCGCACGCGGCGCGCATCACCGCGTCGATCTGCAGCGGCGCCTCCTCCCCCGCCTCCCACTCCCGATGCGCCTCCGCCGCCTCCCCCTCCCCCGCCCCCGCCGGCACCTCCCCCCCGAGCGGCTGTAGCTCGCCGCCCGGGCCCTCCCAAGCGGCCTCCCCGCCCCGCCGCCCCGGCTCGAAGTGCGCGTGCCGCACCAAGCGCGCAGCGAGGTACGCGCCCAGCTGGCACTTGACGTCCGTGTCCCACGCCGCGCCCAGCTCGGACACCAACCCGGACGCCGCTTGCCTCGCCGCCTCCGCCTCGCGGGTCTCGCTCTGCCGCTGCCGCGACACCGCAAAGGCCGTCTCGCGCGCCGACATGTCCTGCAAGTAGGCCAGCTGGCGCGAGGCAAGCACCACCTACGGGGCATGTCGTGGACGCGTCCGCCGGCACGTCCCGCAGGCACGCCAGCGGGTGCGCGGCGAGCGCAGCCTCGCTGCGCAGCCGCTCCGCCTCGGCGGCGTCGCCGCCGCCGCCGGCATGCCACGGCTCGAGCAGCGCGACGTTGCGCGCAGTCTCGTCGAAGGCGGCCAGTCGCTCCTTCGCGGCGGCCGCCCGCAGCCCCTCCCTCTCGCAGAGCGCCTCGCGCCAGAAGTGGAGCCGCACGACCGAGCCGAGCTGCTGGGCCAGCCTCGCGAGCGGGACGCCGAGCGCGTCGTCGGTCTGCAGCGTCTGCAGGAGGACCGACTGGACAGCCACCGCGGCGAGCACGTCCGCCTTGCGCGCGACGGACCGCTCCATCGCCGCGTCAAACGCCGCGAGCTGCGCCTTCGCCTCGGCAGGTCGCCTCCCCGCCCCCCGGACCGCCACGCGCACCGCGGCGGGCGTGGCGTCGGGAGGCAGGGCGAGCAGCGACGCGGCCAGCGACCCCGCCTCTGGAGAGAGGGCCGACAGCGCGACTGCGCGTGGCGTCGGGCTCGCCTCGGTCAGCAGCCGGAGGAGGAGCCGCTTGGAGATGCCGTCCGCCCGCAGCTGCGCCGCCCCGAGGGCTGCGCGCGGCTGCGCCGCCCCCGCCGCCTCCGGCAGCGCCCCTGCCGCGCGCAGGTCTGCCCCGATCGCCGCGGCGAGGTGGGGGTGCCAGCCGTGCGCTTGGATGCCCCTCTGCACCCTTGCGCGGCCGAGCAGCTCCTGAGGCGACAGGTCGCGGAGGCCGCGCTCGCCGGGCTCGCCCGACGCCTCGCCCAGCCAGCGCACGCGGTAGTCGTCTGCGGCGACGTCCACCGCCCCCAGCTCGGCCACCTCCTGCGCCCACTGCAGCCGCTCCCGCTCGCTCAGCCCCGGCGGGAGGGGCACGTCGCACCAGCGGTCGCAGCCCGCCGCCTCCCGCGCGCCGACCAGCTTGGCGTACAAGTGCGACACCTCCGTGCCGTGCACGTCTCGCAGCACCGGCCGGTCCAGCTCCCGCGCCGCCACCCTCGGCGCCGCCTCTCCCCACTCCATGTCGACCCACCCCCACATCGACCACTCTGCCTCGGCCGCCTCGGCCGCCTTGGCCGCCTCGGCCGCCGCCTCCGCCGCCGCCTCCACCGCCTCCGCCGCCTCCACCGCCGCCTCCATCACCTCCAGTCCCGCTGCTGCCTCCGCCTCCGCCGCCTCCGCCCCCCCCTCCGCCACCTCTGACGCCGCAAGCATCGGCTGCACAGCGCCGCGCGGCGAAAAGGCGTGGTACGCGTCCGGGAAATACTCAGCCACCCGCGCCTCCTGCTCCTCGGCCGCCTCGGCGAAGTCGAGGGCCGCGTCCAGAGAGGCGTCCAGGGGCGCGACGTCCCGCTCCGCCGCCGCGAGCAGCGGGGCCCGGCTGCCCCACCGCCCGACGTGTGCCGCAGCCAACTCGTCACGCGCGGCCGCCGCCGCTGCCGCCGCCGCAGACTCGCGGCCAGCGCCCCACTCCGCCTCTGCGGCCTCGGCCGAGTCGAAGGCGAACTCAAAGCTGTTGCTCGACGCGCGTAGGCTGTTGCTGTGCACGTGCGCGTTGAGTAGCGACACCATCGACGAGAGCACCACGCCCTCTCTCTCGAGGCTGCCGCTGCCGCCTCCGCCGCTGCTGCTGCTGCTCTCGCGCGCATGTGGTGGCGGCGCGTCGCCGTCCAGCCGCCGCCGCCCCCGGCCGAGCGATCCAACGGCACGCGCGACCGCACGCTCTGCACGCGCGCTGGTGCCACGCATCTCCGCGAGCGCCAAGACGCCCCCGCTCGCGGCCCGTGGCCGCCGGAGATGCAAATCGAGGCGCTCCGGCAAAAATACCTGAAAGCTCTGCCGCTGCGCCTGCGACGACAGCCACCGCCGTAGCGACCGCATGCCGGGAAGTCAGCAGGTCATGGCGACACCTGGCCGGGAAATCAGGGATACTGAGCGACACGCGACGTGAGATGTATCAGAAACATACAACGGAAAAAGAATTCCCGGTCAGGGCGCCCGCTGGCGACTGCACTTAACACAGTTACACCACGCCCAGCGACGTGAAAAAAGAAACGAGCCGTTGCCGTGGACTATGACGCACGTCCTGCCGACGACGACCCCGCGCTCACGGGAAGCGAGGAGGGGAAGCGCGCTGACTCGACGTTTGTCGCAGTGGTCTTGATGGAGAGCTCAGCACCTTCCACGGGCAGTGCCACCGGAGGCAGCGATGAGGGGCGAGGCAACCCGGCTTTCCCATCAACCGAGCTGCAGGCGTGGTGCCTCCTTTCACTCACGATTGTTCTCGAGGTCTGTGGCACCTCGGCGATGAAGCTGGCTGGTCAAAACAGCTTGTGGTACATCGCGGTGTACTCTTTCTACGCCGTCAGCCTCGGCCTCTTCCCCCTTGCCCTCACCCAGCTCAACCTCGGCACCGCCTATGCTGTCTGGAGCGGCATCGGGACCGCCGCGACTGTGGTGGTCGGGACGTGTCTTTTCCAGGAACGTCTCACTCTTCCCATGGCTGGTGCGGTGCTTCTCATTGTCGTTGGCGTTGTCGGCCTACACATGCTAGCCCCAGAGGAGGGCGATGCGACCGATGTGATAGCATCAGAGGCGAGGCGAAGGCGATCCTCCGGGCTGCGGGGCTTGGGTGCCGTCCCGCTGCCTCCCGCAACGGGATTAGCAGAGACGCACTCGGAGGAGGCGAGTTTCAAGTCCTGAACAAAGCTTGCAGGGCTTCCACGGGGGTTGCTTCCACGGGGGTGCGCCGGTCCGCCGGAGAAGGGCTTTGTTTCTATCCTGGGCAATAAACAAATGAATAAATCGGTCAAACTCTGAGACGAGATGGGATTTAGGGACATGTCCATGCACAACATGTGTCCCCGCCCTCAACGATCTTGGTGTGAGGCTGGGATCTTCAAGTATCCTGGGAAAAATCCATGGGCGGTGGTGCCCTGGGGTGCCGTGTGGGCTTTTTTGCATTTTGCTTTTTGGGCATGTTAGCCCCCCGCTACCCGGTTGCACTCGTGCGACGTAGCGGGGGGCCGCGACTACGTTTACGAAAACATAAGTAGTCCCGCGAGGTTGTGAATTTGGCCGCCCAGTTACCCTCCATTTCGCCTGTAGAGCGATGTAGAGGCGCTCTACAACGTGAAACCTCTACAACAAACTCTACATCATAAGCGGCGAAGGAGGCACGGAGATGCGCACCTGCCACGCGATGATCAATCCACATCCGGCTCCACCTCGACGATGGTGAACGTGACGCCCTCGACTGGCCCTACGCGCTCGATGCGGCCCGTCGGCTGACTGTGGCGGCACCGGAGAAGTTCACCTGACCTTGCCGGGTACACGCAAAAATCAAACCGTGCCAAACGCGGCGCGCACCTGCTGTCCTGCTCTAGCATCGTCCCCGGACTTTTTCGTGGCAAAACTCGTCGAGGCGTGATACGCCAAAGCAGATTTCACGGGCGTTCGAAGTGCCCAGCGGCCTGGTTTTTCGGCGCGCGTCCCCAGAGCGTCCAAACTTGTTTTGGGGGGCGATTCCTTCCCCGCGCGCCGCCGCGCTTCCCTGCACCTGACTGCGCTCGAGCTGCGCAGACGGCGCGCTCTGGCAGACAGAGCAGCGGCCGCCCAGGCGGTCGGCTGCTCAGCCCCGTCCGAGTCCGTCCGTCTGCGCGTACTGCTGCCGCCGCCGCCGCCGCTCCACCCGATCCCCGTGTGTCGTGAGAGTAATGCTTTGTGTATGGCAGATGGCACCCGCGGTGACCGGTGTGTCCCGGCTCCCGCGTGTGTGTGGGCTCTGGCTGAGGTCATGGTGACCAA